TTCTTTGCATAAACGGTGTTTACAATGAACCATGATCAGAAAACAACAACAACAACAACAAATTCGTTTCTGTTCTTTTGATCATCATAATCATGATGAAATGATGAAATTTAACATGAACAAACAAACAAACAAAAAAAATCCAAAAAACAGATGTTGTTTTCTTTTTATTCTTCTTCACCATCATTTCATTTCTCATTCATTTACCTTGGCCAATTTGATTTTTTTTTCTCAACAAGCAGATTGTTTTTTTTTCTCTGAAAAACCCGAAAAAAAATATATAAAGTTCATTATCAAAGCGTAGTTCCTTTTGTTTTTTTTTTTTTTTTTTGTTGTCAAATATAAAATTTTCCTTACTACTTTGTTGTTGTTTCTGCTACTAACTAACACTAACTAAATAAACAACAACAACAACAACAACAATATTTGATATAAATTGGTTGTGAAAGAGTTACAATTTAATTGATGTGTGTGTTTTACGTAATTCTGATTCTAGTTGATGAATAAAATTATTAAACAAAAGAAAAAAAAATCAAACCTAGCAAAAAAAATGGTTGAACAAAAAAAAAGAACAACAGCATGGAGCTCACGCTCTCCCACTCTATCTTGCTCTTGACATTTAACCTTCAGGGCAAAGGCGATTTATTAATTTACATTTGCTAGTGATGTTTTTTTTTTTATTTCCTTTGTTTTTCAAGTTATATTTCGTGTGTATGTACGCTCACAATGTGAATGATTTGATTAGGCCCCACACACACACACACAGTGACACAAACAATGGAAATCCAAGAAAGAAATCCAATTGGCCATAACGAGCAAAAAAAAATCATAGAGAAAGGTCAATTAACACAATCAACATCAATTTCGTTTGATGTTCATTTATTCATTCAAATTTCTTATTAGATCAATTGTCAAGGTCAACACTCACTCTTACACACGCTTACATTCAACGATATTTACCTTGATCTTGGCCGTCATTTTGTTGTTTTTGATCAGAATGGTGTGTGTGTGTGTGTGTCTTATGCAAGATGCAAGTTATTATTATTATACCCCAAATGGTGAAATTCCGTTGAAATCCTTCTTTGTCCATCCATTGATGTTTGTTGGTCGGGATGGTTTTTTGTTTTAAGTTTTTTTTCTTCTTCACTTTTGACCATCATCATCATTGTTTCAATTGACCATGTGTTTTTGTTTTTGTTCGGGGACCAACAAACAAACGAAAAAAAGAAAAAAGAATGTGATCATTGAATTTTGATGGATTCTTTGGAAACCAAAAAAAAAAACACATTCATTGCTTTTTTTGCATGGACCATAAAGATATTTGTTTTGCCATTTTTTTTGTTTCTTACTTTGTGTTTTCTTTTTGGCCACAAACATGATTATCAACGGTTACTACACCATGACCACATTGAAGACACACACACACACAAAAAAAAATTATATTGTCGAATATCCGATATATTTTCAACAACAACCAAATATCGTTTTCGTTATTCGTTATTTTTTTCCAAGGAATGTTTTTCAATGTTTTTTTTGGATGATGATTCGGTCAAGACCATTAAAACAAAACACATATATACGATCGAAACTTCATTATGATGATGATGATGATGATGATGATGGCCATAATTCACACTAAGTCATGTTGTTAATGTTTTTCAACACAAAAAGAAACCGAAAAAAAAATTTTCTTCAAGAGATGTAAATCTTCAAGATATTTATGGACTTGAAAAAAAAATAAAAATAAAAATTGTACCTTCAAAAGAAACATTCGAATAACAACAATCGATTATAAACATCGATTAGAAAGAATCGATATGCGGAAACGTTCGAAATGAGAATATATATCACCGTCATCATCATATGGTGAAGGAAATCCAATCCTTTTCTAAATAAAAACCAATTAACTAAATTGGTGACTAAATTTTTAAATTATTATTATGATAGTATCTCTCTTTCTCTTTTGTTCTGGATCAGAATGAGTTTTTAAAATAAACTTTTTTTTCACATTTTGTTTACGTTCATTTGTAACACGTTGATGAGAAGATGAGAAGACCATTTCAAACTTTGCAACACTTGAAATTTTTTTTTTTTTAAAGCAATTAAACCAAAAAAAGCACTAATAGAATGAATGAAAAAATGCTGAGCTTCAAAAACGACAATGGGATTGACAATTAATAGAATTAGTAACTGGAATAAATAAATAAATAATGAAAGGCCATACACATTTTGGATCACTTTTTTTCCATTTTGCATAGAAAATGATAGATAAAATTACCGTTTTTTTTGTTTCTTTTTTCCGAAATAAAAAAAAATGTTACAAAAATATATTAATTCTGGTCATAACAATAATGCTAATTAATTCTGGTCGTTGCATCTAAACGATCGAATTGAGATGCACACCACCATCACCACCACCACACCCCCTCTTTCATTATATATTAGTCAATATAAATTCTAAAGTGGATACATAATCCAATTTACAATGTAGATGATGATGATGAGGAGGATGATGGCGGGGGTGTATTGTATGTGATGTGACCATCTGTATAATGTATATTCTGGATCAAAGTATAATAATGGCACGAAATGAACAAATTTAAATTATTATTATTATTATGGCATGCCATAATTTTAATTAATTGTTATTAATCCTCTTCCAATTATACTCATATGGATGGATCATATTCTTTAGTTTTTTTTATTCATTGTACAAATATATTTCAACCATCGTCAATGTGATATGGTTATTGTTATTTTAAAAAAATAAAAATAAATTCTATCATAAAGACTGAATGAGATTTGGTTCTGGCAGCTGCTGCTGCTGCTGCTCTTCAAACATCTACTATTACTTTAGTGCTTAGTAACTAGGCCATTTACCTCTTTTTTTTTTGTTATCTCTATTTTATATGGCTTTATCTTCATGATTTTCATGTTCATTCAGTTCATATCCGCCATTCATTTAGACATTGACGCCCAATTAAAATCAAAACAAAAACCAAAACCCAAAAAAAACAAAGAGAACAAAAACACCACTCTAATATTTAATAATTTTCCCATATATAACTAGTCTTCGTTTCATTATAGTGTCAGAAATAATGAATTGAAATGAAGACTGATTGGGCGCCATATTCACATTATTAATACCAAATCAGCCAACCAGCAGCAGCAGCAGCAGCAGCAGCAGTAGAGTTTTTGTTTGTTTTGGATTTGGAGTTGAGCCAAATTAATGGACATTTTAATGTTTAACAAGAACAACATTGACATAATTGGGTATGGCTAATTACGTATCTCTTTTTTTGAATAAAAAAGAAAGAAAGAAAGCCGCAGGCAAAATTAAAAATAATAACGCGAAATTAAGATAAAACACTGATAATCATTGATTAATCAAATGATTATTTGTATGGCGAAAGAGAGAGAGAGAGAGAAATTTGATTATTTATTGGGAGTTCTTATCACATGTTTTGAAATAAAACATTCATGCAGCGAGACTAATAAAAACCAATTATCATCAATAATTTGTTGAATTTTTTTCTGACATATTTCCGGTACTTCATACGTGCATTATATTAATAGATAAATAGATTGTGGTTGGTTAGTTGGTCGCTGTTGATGATTTTGGTGATGAAAAGAATTGAATTTTTCTAAATCAAGATCAAAACACCATTGAGATTAAGAACAACAACAAAACAAAAAACACACAAACACGTACACAATTTATTTGACATAATGTCGTTGGGTTCATGATGATGATGATGATGATCATCATGAAATTAATGACAAAAGATAATAATAATAATAAAAACAACAGGTCTTTTCCTGATGACCTTTGAAGGAAATGATGATGATCATCATCAATGACTATGGTGTTCATGATGATGATGATGATTACATCATGGATATCGTTGAGAATCAAACAAAGGAAAAAAAATTACATCATATCATTATAATGGCGCCAATGATAATGTATTGCATGTAAATTGCATGAGTTTGGACAATTTTATTTTGAATAATTTCAGTAAAAATGAAATCAATTTCTCGATAATTTTGCAAATGTCCAAATGTTTTTTTTTCTTATTATTTATTGAGTCACTTAATCGTGGGAAAATAATATCGATCAATCGATTGGGAAAAATTTTGATCAATTTTCGAAACGACAATCAATTTTGTGAAGATTTTATTCATTGATGATAATAATTAATCACAATTGCTTTGTTCATCACAACATAACATTGGTAAATCAATAATCACAGTGTGTGTGTGAGTGTTTGATGTTTTATATGCGGTGAGTGATAATTTTTTTTTTGACCAACAAAAAATTTATTCATCATTTGCTTCCCCACATTCGAAACTAAAAAACTATGGATTTTCATATTCGTTGACGATTGTTGTAGTTGATTTCCGATTTTCCCCCAAAACAATGTTTCGAATGCTCAAAATAAATTGGGACCCGCTTTTTATAGCTAGTTGTTTTTTTTTCGCTGTCGTTGAATTCTATCCCCATTTTGAAAACCAATGATAATGATGATGATGACGAAGACAAATTCTATGATTTTTAGATACCACAGTAGGAGGGGATTGTTGTTGGGTACCATAAGATATAAAGGGGGCTTAGTTATATATATCTATCTATCTATCTATATGCCGGGCGCCGTTTATATAAATATTCTGTTTGTTTTATATTTGCCGACAAAGAATTTTCAGAAAAAAAGAATCCAAATATTATCTACATCTACATGGTTTCACAAAAAAAAATATTCGAATTCTAACAATATATTCATAACGAGAACACAGACGCCATCTATTGATGAGAATTATAAAATAGTCTATATATGAAAAATTCTATAGCACACGGATTCTAATCACACACACACATTTTATTCATGCATTAAGCGATCCAAACGAAATTTTTTTTTCTTTCGGTTATGTTGTTTTGGTTGTTGTTTTGATACATTGTAAAAACTCACACACACACACACACACACCTGCACACATAGACATCAATCATGTACGTATAAACAGATCATAAATACATGACTGAATTTGGCATTAATTAATCAAATTAATGATTGTGTAATGATTTTATGATGCTAACATTTTTTTTTTTCATTTTCAAACAAATGATCATAGTACATGCAAGCAATCAAGCAAGCAAAAATGTTAGATTTATATGGCTTGTTTTATATGTGATCAGCATCACCATTTATGGATGATGTGTGGATCATTTTTCATTTTTTGCTTGTTGTGAATATAATCAAATAGAATTATAGTATTTTTTACAAAAATAATGGCAACTTGGCCATTAAAAGCCCATTATCTTCTTTGGTTTGGATCGCTTAGTGGAATACTGCCATATGTATCGATTTTTGCCCGTGAACATTTACAAATATCAGCCGATGCTGTCGGTATTTTATTCTTCATTCTACCATTCGTCGTTTCTATTGTTAAACCATTAGTATGTTCGATTGCCGATCGCTATGAATGTTATTCCCTTACATTGATTCTATCACAAATATCAACTATTTTGGGTTATGGTTTACTATTAACATTACCATGGTTATTACGATGGATTTCAACGGAAATTCTTTGGTGGTTTTTCTGTCTATTAACATTGATTGCAAATACGGCTATGGGTGCAGCTATTTCACTCACCGATTGTCTGGTCATCAATGAAGTTGTCCAATTACAACGTAATAATGGTGATAATCATACCAGTTATGGAAATTATCGAATTTGGGGTACAATCGGATTTGGAATTTTTGGTATTAACGTTATTATTTGTATAGATTGACATTTTTAAATTTCCGTTTTTTTCAATTGTAGGAATACTATCCGGTATAATTAATGATCATCCAGGTGATCTACCATATCTAGTACCCGGTCTAATTATGTTTGTTATCATTGAATCCTTGGATCTTATTACTATATGGAAATTTTATCATCGACGTATTGTTGAACCAGATCTTAATGCTGAATCCGGAAAAACATCGTCTTTTCCGAATGAATTGGAATTTCAGACGGAAGAAAAATCGTCTAAAAGTGGCATAATAATGTCGGTTATTGAAATTTTCTGTCAAATAGGCCAATTATTTCGTCATTATCCAACTTTGATACAGCTTTCTTTGATCGTATTCTGTTTCGGCATACTAACCGCGTTTCATTGGTCATTCTTTTTCTGGTATCTGGAAGATTTACGTGGTAAAGATGCACTACTTATGGGTCTTTGTATTTTTGTCGAAAGTTTTCTTGGTGAAATTCCTATATTCTATATTGCACATCATATCATCAATCGTTTTGGTCCGATTTGGTCATTATGTTTAGCATTAGCTGCATTTGCCTTACGTTATCTTGCCTATGGTTATTGGCTTGAACAAAATAATGGCCTTTATTGGGATATTTTATTGGTGGAAATATTACAAGGTTTAACATTTTCACTTTTCTATTCTGTAATGACACATGTAGCTAATTATTATGCGGATAAATGTGAAAAAGATCAAAAACAACAACATCGTCAATCAATCAATGATAAACAAATCAAACCAAGTGCAACAATGCAGGCATTAATGTCAGCATGTTATGAAGGTATTGGCCTTGGCATTGGATCATTGATCGGTGGCTATGTAACCAGACATTATGGTATTCGAACCATTTGGCGTCTTGGTGCCTTCATCAGTATCGGATTGATTGGTGTGAATATCCTAATTGAATTGATCAAATTCAATAGGAAAATGAAATAATTTTAATGATTATTTTTTAATTTTTCTTATAATGTAATATTCATTTTTTTTATATCAAAAGTTTGATAATTATTTTGCATCTGATAATGCTTAACAAAATTTGATTAATATTTTTTCTTTTCAAAATAATAAATTTTCTAATTTCTTATTATTCTTTGTTTAAGGCCATTATTTTCGATCATATTTTGATGATTAGATTTGTCTTTTTTTAGATACAAATCATCATCATCATCATTTTTGTCATTCATAACGAAGCTTTGATCATGTGTTCTTTTCATTGATTTTTCCTGTAATATTTGATCTTGTTGTCGTTGACGACGACGACGATACATTAATAATGCACGCCATATATCCATAGCATTACGATTATAAGCTTTCATGTAAAAATCCAAAAATAGCCAAAAAAATAATGGTGGCTGTGTAAGGCCTATATATAGCCAATATACTGGATAATTTTGACCGAATATCCAAATGGCCATACCATAAAAACCATACAGAACAAATTGATAAAGCTGTAGAATGGTTATATATTTTTTCCACCATAAAAATGGCTGTATCCATGGTCCTAAAGCGGCTAGTCCATAATATGAATACATGATAACATGTATGGTTGAATTGACCACTATTATTGTTACAGAAATTAGATTCAATGCTAATTAATAAAAAGATTATCAAGGGAAAATATAATACTTACAAGAGAATAGAAAAACACACGGTAATACAGGATTAACGCGCATCAATATAAAACCAAATAATGGAACGACTGTATGATGATATACGTGTAACAGAGTTACCTGGGAGAATTTTTTTCGAATTACAAAAAAACTTGTATCCCATAGATCCAATAATTTTGATAACCAATACAGATAGCCAAGATGTATTAGATACAATGTTTTCGTTGAACTATCCATTCGATTGGGATAATCAAAATTCCAAAGGACACGGAAATAATCCGATAATGTAATGGTTTTATAAACAGCAAAACAATTACAGATAGACATGGTTACATTGTATATAAACATTAGCCAACGAACATCGAATGCTGGTAATCCACGCATTAATTCGGGTCCCAAAACTTTGGCGAATACGACGAAATTAATGATGGCCCATATGGATAATACTGGTGATACATTTATCCAAAGAAAATGTTTGATACGATAATCCGGTGTCATGCCGACATATTCGAATAGAAAATCCAATTGTGATAATTTCCACCACATTTTCTATCACCGATGATGATGTATGTATTTTGGATCACTACAACGAAAACAAAATAGAAAAATCTTCAATTTTTAAAAGTATTCGATTCGAATGCTAACATTCAAAAGAAATGTTTGTTGTTCGAATCTTTTTCTGATTCTCAGATTGATTTTTTTCCTCTTCGTTTCCTTATCTCATCATCATTACTGTTGTTTTTCCTCGATGAAAAACCAAAGCAGATAATTTTCGAATCGATGCACTGAATTTGAAGAAAAAATTCGTGACATATTGATTTAGTTTTTTTTCCTGGTTCAATAATATATTGATTGATAAAAAGGAAAATAAAAAATTCAAAGTGAACTGAATAGTTCATTGAAAGCATGAAAGATGGCGTTATGAAAATATTGATTTAAAACTTGTTCATTCATTTACAGGAAAAAAGTTCAGATCAAACTGGTCTCTTCTTGTGTCCACAAAAAAAATAAAATACATGAAAAGTAAATAGGTCTGATCAACCATAATGGTTGATGACGACGAAAACGAGTATTGGTAGATGTTTTTGAGAAAAAACAACAACAATGTCAATCTTTGCAAAGGCAACATTCATACCATCATTAGCATATAACCTCATTAGGAATCGTTGGTCATCATGGAATTGGTTCGATCGTATAGATAATCGGGTCATTCTTGGTGCATTACCATTTCACGGTGCAGTTACTAACCAGCTATATAATGGTGAAAATGTACGTGCAGTTATATCGATGAATGAAAATTTCGAATTATTATTTGCCGTCACCAATCATTATGAATGGCGATTATTGAATGTTCGATATCTTCAATTAAATACAGCCGATATATTTCATGCACCAACATTGAAACAATTGATTGATGGTGTTGAATTCATCATGATGGCTAATGATATCAACATTGATAAAACGAAATTGAAATCTGAATCTTTTCAAGAACAGAAATCGATTCAAAAAATTCTTTACAATCATAAACCATTACTTGTGAATTGGCCAATCAAAAACAATAAACGAATTATCGATGTAATCGATAATAATGATGTTACCAATATTCCTCCAACCACTTATATACATTGTAAGGCTGGTCGTACGCGAAGTGCAACATTAGTTGCCTGTTATCTCATAAAACAATATAATCAAACACCAGCCGAAGCTGTGAAAGAATTACGAAAATTTCGTCATCAAATTCTATTGCATCGGAAACAGATGCAAGCATTGGATCAATTCTATGCATATCTTTTAGACATGAAAAAACAAAGTTGCTTTTGTTGACATCATATGATTTTTGTGTTTTATTATAAGATGTAAATTATAATTTTTTTAAAAAAATTAATAAATTATTTAAGTAGATTTTTTGATTTTATAGATCGTATTTAGTTGCATCATGTTGACGTTCCAATTGGCAAAGATTTTCATGAATTCGCTGAAAATTGCCCATTAAATCACCGTACCAAATTTTGAATCGTTCAATCAATTCTTTTGTTTCGTGATCCAATTCTTTGGATTGTTGTTGAGCGGCCAATAGTTGTAATTTTAATCGAACTAATTTTGGTTCAAGTTCAGCCATTCGACTCAGATGTGTCTGATCCAGTGTCGGCTTTAATCGTTCAATTTGACCAATACGTTCAAAATCAGAACGGATTTCATCTTCAAATGCAAGAACTTGTTCGAATTTCACCACAGATGCATGACTACCAAATGTTCGAATCAATAAATCCATTTGATCATCTTCTCGAAGCCATTTTTGCAACCGTAGTAGTTCATTATAACATTGATTAAATCGATCTTTACCCATGGTTAAAGATTTCAATTTAGCTTCGATTTCGGCAATCATTCCTATAAGATTTACGTTATGTGGTGCTACGGCATGTATTGCATTTTGATGTTCGGCAGATATTTTGGTTGAAAAATCTGGATTGAAACCATAAAGCCGTTGTTCAATATCAGCCAAACGTAGTGATAAAAGATCGATTGATTTATCCTGAAAAAAATTACGAACAATTTTATTAATAAGAATCATAAAAATGGAGAAAAAATAACAAACCATTTTTTTTTATCAAAATTGTCAAAAAGAAAATAACTGAACAAAACAGATGATTTGATTCTATAATGGCTATTTCAACCGAATGATCTAAAACTGATCAATTTGATTACAGTGATATGCTTTCAGCATGGTCTAAATGAATTTTTCTTTGATTTTTAGACCTAAAATCTTTGATTTTTTTTTTTTCGTTGACACCATATCAGATTGAAATAGAAAGTGTGGACAATGGAATCGATTGGGAAAGAATGTACCGAACTTAAACGTGAATATGATCAATGTTTCAATGTTTGGTTTGCCGAAAAATTTCTTAAAGGTGATCATCGTTCATCAATGTGTGATAAAATTTTTACACTTTACCAGAATTGTGTTCGTGATGCAATCAAACGACAGAATATTGACCTATTACAATTGGATAAAGATGTATTGGGCTCGAATGATGAACAAAAACCGCCACCAAATTCACAACAGGAGAATCAACAGCAGCAGAACAAAACATCATAGAAAATCATAGAAATTTTGTTTTTTTTTATATAAATTGTCAATACACATTGTCCATACTATTATTTTTGATAAAATATTGTTTCGAATTTGTTAAGATATTATGTTAGTAGAAAAAATTGAATTTTTTCTGAATAAAATCAAAATTTTTGAATTTTTTCCAATTTCGATTTTTGAATCGCTGGTGTTATGGTTAAAATAGTCGCTGTGTGGAGAATTTCGTTTGTTTTCAAGTTGTTCACGTTTTTTCTCGAACATGATGATTTCCAAACGAAATAAACGACGCAAATTAAAGAAAGAATTGGAAACAATCGATGTAATTCTAAATGAGCTATCACAACAAAGAAAACTATTGGAAGATCGTCTACAACAAGTTTATTGTCGGAAATTTTTACAACCCGTGTCCGTGGTTGAAGATCAACCATCCGATGACGTTCAGATTCCAGTCACCAAATTACCAAAGGCTAAATCAGTATCCGAACAATTTCCATCTACATCATCATCGTTAATTCAGCTTGATCTAAGTGTTCCAGATTCATTCAAAATGAAATATCAAGAAGAAGAAGAAGATGATGATGATGAAGAAATGGAAAATGATGATGCTGACATCGATTCAACAGATAATAAAGAAAAATTACGAAAGTTATTCGCACAGTTACAGCAATTTTAATAGAAGAAATAATCAATGAACATAATGATAAAAAAAGATAATAAGAAAATGTCATTTCAAGATTTATGTGACTTTAGGAATCGATTTCATCATTCAATTTGTTTGAATTTTGTTGTTGTTGTTTTGTTTCCGGTTCGACCGGGATCGAGATATGTTCATATTGACAGAAGCCATCTTTTTCAAAATCCTGTACGACATGGCCTTGTCCAATCAATTGCCATTTAGTTGTTAATAATCCTTCAATACCAACAGGACCACGAGCATGTATACGACCCGTTGATATACCGACTTCAGCACCCAAACCAAAACGATAACCATCGGCAAATCTTGTTGAACAATTATGGAATACACAAGCTGAATCGACATCTCGTAAAAATTCTTTTGCACGATTTTCTTTATTATTATGATGTGAATTGACAACAACCAAAAAAAAAAGAAAAAAAACAATAAAGAAAGAAAATTATGTTAATGGATTTATATTTGTGTGTTTGTATTTTGAAGCTTATCCAATCCGAATTTTTGGATTTCCTTTCGCCGTTTGCATTTTCTCACTCTCATTCTCCATATTCATCTTTCTTTCCATTGGTACTTAATGTTTATCTTTTATGTCATCATCATCTAATATTACCAGAAGACAAACCGGAAGAAAGAAAAAAAACCGGACCAAGGCCATTGGTAATATAAAACAGTCATCATCATCATCATCATCATCATAGCTATCTCAATAAAGCCATTTGTCTAATTGTCAATCGTTTTTTTTTCGACATTCGACATTGGTATATATATATAAATATAACTAACTATAAATGCTGTAGATAATAATATATATAATACACTCTGATCCAAATAGACAATAATCCATTTGGATTTTTAGGATCATCATCATCATCTGTTTGCATTGGCTTCATTGTTGTCCATTATGTATTATATTTATAGTATATATAAATATATGTTTGGCAATAAAATCAAATTGTCCATGACTGAAAGAATGAATGATGTGAACATCATTTATGCGAATTTTTTTTTACCGTTGTGTCAACGGAAACCCACACACACACACACATACACACTGTTTCGACCTAATTCATTCAAATGATACTGAATCTATCATTTTATCATCAAAACTATATGTATATATGTGTGTGTGATAATGGCAAACATGAAAAAAAACAACTCATTGATCACTTACCATCATTGGTAACAATACATTCAGTATGGCCACTACCATGAAAATTAATATGATCGATTGCTTGAAGATAATCATCAACAATTTCGATAGCCATCTCTAGGCCACCATATTCGGTTGTAAGATTTTTTGCTTTGGGCGGTCCAAATGTCAATAATTGATGTAAACGAGGGCCAGAATATAATTTTACCGATTCTTGTTTCAATGAATTACAAAGTCGTACGAAAAAATCATCATGATCAACAAGATCACGATGAATCAACAATGTTTCGACGGCATTACAAGCGGATGGATAATCACATTTTGAATCACGAACTAAATTCAAAAAAAAATTATTATTAAAATCCATCGATCATAATTATTTATCAATGAAACTTTTTTACCAATTCGAATGGCTTTTTCCATATCGGCACGATCGTCAACATATATATGACAAACACCTTCCGAATGACCAAGCACTGGTACATGTTGACTTTGTTCCTGTATTGAACGAACTAATTCACTTGAACCACGTGGTATAATCAAATCAATGCCATAATCAGCTTGAATTAATTCGGCAACATCTTCGCGTGTTCCAACCAAATTCACAGCATTTCGAACACCATCCGAAATCGATGATAAGGCTTCCTGTATTAATTGATGTAATGTTTGATTTGTTTCCTGCGCTTCTTTACCACCTTTAGCCAATAGACCATTTCCACTTGCAATGGATAAAGCAGCAATTTGTGGTAGACAATCAGGACGTGATTCAAAAATGACCAACAATACTCCTAATGGTACGGTTATCTGGCAAAGATCAAGACCATTTGAAATACGTGTACGTCTTCGTATACGACCTAACACTGTTTCTGAACTATCGGCTATTTGTCTTAAACCAGTGGATAAGGATTTTAATTTCGATTCAGTCAATGCTAAACGATCAAGCAATGGTTTAGCCAAATCTTGACAAAAATGATATATTCAAAAATGAAATAATGATAAATTCACATTGAACTCAATTCACATAAATCATCCCTTTAATGATGATGCTTACCTGATGCACGAGCCTTGATCATATCGCGTTCATTCGATTCTAATATCGATTTTGATCGTTCTTCCAATAAATTTGCTAATTTATGAATGATGGCACCACGTTCATGGCCATTTAATTTTTGTAATAAACGGCTACTTTGTCGCGCTATCAATCATATCATCATATATTTGGAAGAAAAAAAAATTATTCATGAAACAACAAGGAAAAATTTTAAAAATTATCATCACAATGAATTATGACACACTTTGAATATCACATCTTTTGAATAAAAAAAAGAAGTTAAGATAAGATCGTAAATTTTTTTAAATTTCACTGGCAATGAACAAAATGTATTTGGTTAACAACAACATTTGTTAGCATAGCTTTCTTTTTTCTTTTAAAAATCTATTTTTAGCTAAACTTTTCTTTTTATTTCATTTTGTTTAAAACGATAATAATAATTCGTAATAATTTTACAAATAAAAACACTTACCATTCTGAATCATTGCCTGTGTAGATTCAATCTGTTCCGGTATCTGTGTAAAAAAGGTTCCAACACGTTTACCGGCCATTATATTGGCAATGGCATCATCCTGCATACCATTACAAATGACAACGGATACACCACGATTTAATGCCCATACAGCTGAATTGACTTTGGATTCCATACCACCGGTACCTACACGTGATCCTTCACCAAATGTTATACTTTGAGATATACTTGGATCATATGTATGCAATAATCGTGCTCCATCTTGACTTGGTGGTTTCGTATAAATACCATTTACATCGGATAATAAGAATAATGCATCGGAATTTACTTCGACAGCTAGATGTGCGGCAAGAATATCATTATCGTTTACACTGATAACACCTTCAAGGTCTACATCAGGCAATGCCGGTGAAACGACAGCATCATTTGTATTGATTATTGGTATAATATCGAATTTAAGTAATTCAAACACAGTAGATGCAAGATTCTGACGTGATGTTGGATTACCAAAATCTGTTTTGTTAATTAAGATTTGTGCAATAGTTATACCATATTGTGCAAACATAGCATCATATAATGCCATTAAACCGGATTGACCAACAGCAGCAGCTGCACGTGGTTCTAATAATGTCAAACCACGTGCTTGAAGATGATCATTTGCACGTGATAATGTTTCACGCATTGACATTGACATTCGTAATTCGGATGCTAATTTTTGTTTACCGAATGCAACCGCCCCACTTGTAACCATAAGTACATCACGACCTTCTTTATGTAATTCAGATACTTGTTCAACGATTGATGCTAATCTTCCGAGTGCTAGACCACATTCATCATCACGTGTTATAACAGCCGAACCTAATTTTATTATAACACGTTGTGCTCGTCGTAATTCACTACGATTTGCAAATGATTCTCGTACAATATTGGCTGTCGTTGAGTGTCCATTATTTGTCACCGTCGATTGTAGCTGTGTTGATTGACCGTTAATCGTTGTTGAAGATAATGATGAGGTTTTGCGAATATATTGACGAAGATTCGGATTTTTTGTCGAATACAATTGTCGTATATAACGATAATGATTCCATAGATTTTTCTGACAAATAATTCTTGGAGCCATTTGTTTTTATTTCGTTGTTGAATTCTCTTAATTATTTATTTATGGATTATGGAAACTTTTTTTCGATCAATTTCTCTCGACAAATACACACACACACACAAACTTCAAGTTAATGAAAATTTTCTACATTTAGTAAATCGATATTTGTCACTAGGATAAAAATATGTTCAATCAAACACTTTTATATAGTGATTGAAAAAACTTCGAACAAATCCAAAAGTCATAATTGATGAAAAATGAATGTAATTGAAAAAAATCACAATCGATTGATGACGATGTTGATTACGGAAATTGTTTAGTCAAATGATCTTTGAAAATTCCAAATACATATAATTCGGTTGCAGAAAAGAAAAAACTTTAATCAAAAAAAAAAAAAAAAAAAAATCAAATTCAAATCGAAAGACAACGAAATGTTTTTTATATATATTGCATATACTGTGACATTATTCATTCATTCAAAAAAAACAGAAATGTGATTTCTGGTTGGATGGTTGTAGTCGGATCGATCGATCGATGACGATGATGTGACGAAGACAAACTCGTTTTTTTTAAAGTTCGTTATGGATCCGTTTTTCTTTCTTTTTGATTAAATACACACATACACACGAATCTTATCAAACACACACACACACACACATCGAGAACCTGAACTTCGGTATATGTTTTTTTTTTTTTTGATCTGAATATTTGCTTTTTTTGGCATTTCATTTTGCTACTTTTTTTCTGATAATCAATTTAATCGCGTGTTTCTATCTCAAAGTTTGTATGTAAAATGGAAATCTAAACATTTTCTTTTCACATGGTCATATATATAATTATTATGATTATATCGTAAATTTCTTAAAATCACACAATCATACAAATATACAACAAAATCAATGTTCAACAAGTATGACAAGTATTTTTTTTTTTTTGTTGCAGTAAGATCGGTTGATTCATACACACACACACACACTGAATAGAAATACAAGTTCTACGACATTTTTTTTCAAACTGTTTCGAAGTTCAAGTTAGCATGTGTATGGAGATCAGAAGACTAAAATGATTAAATGATGTTAATGGAAATGATCGGAGGAAAAAAAACCAAACTTTTGGACATCAAGATCATGGATCAAATATTTATTTAGTAATTTTTTTGATCAATTTGTAATTCCAAAAAAAAAAAATTTTTGAGAGAAACAAAAAATTCTAAATATGATTCCAAATGAGATTTGTGTGTAAATATATGATAATAAATAAATAAAGTATAATTGTAGTCATGATAAATTATTTTTTTCCAACAAAAAAAAAATAGAAAAACGAACGGAAATTTTTTTTTCTCGGTTTCCAGCATAGGTTTAAACATAGGATTCATATGTAACAAATTTTGGATCATTCAATATTTCTTCAATGATCGATGTTGATTCGGTGCTTATTGTTTCCTGCATTTTTTCATTATCATCAGTATTATTCATTACTATCTGTTGCGTTTGTTGTTGTTGATGATGATGATTCATTGGTTGATCATCGATTATTGATACTCTTGAAGAACGTTTCATCATTCGTTTACGTCGATATTCGGCTGTATGTTCTGATGAATATATTTTATTCATTAGCCGTGATGATGATGATGATGAAAATGGTTGTGGTGATTCCTTTTTTGTTGCTACTATTATTACCGATCCAGTTGCATCAGATGATGAATTTTCACATGAACGATTTTGATATTGACTAGATGAGCCAGATCTTGATGATTGTATTGAATCGAATGAATTCTGTGCTATTTGTTGACAATTGTTCATTATGACGTTTGAAAAAGGATGATGAGGCATGATGGCAACGTTAGCAACATTAGAATCGACAGGTACAAAACAATTAGTTGCTGTTGAACGAATTGAACTATTTTGTTTTAATGAACCATCACCAACCGACGATGATGCTGTAGTTGTTGTTGTTGTTGTTGTCAATGTTGTTGATTGTCGCATAAGAAAAAGTCTATGTCGACGTTGATTAAAATTAAGCAATTGACTAACAGTACCGGTTGCTGTTCGATGTTTTTGTGGTTGTCGTCGATTTATTCTATTATAATGATGATGATGATTATGATGAAATTTTGATTGATTTGATTGTTGATGTTCTTGTTGTTTTCCAATTGTATCCAATGATGATGAATCAATAGATTCAGAATTGAAACAGCAGCAGCAGCACCACAACGCACACCACCACCATGACCACCAACAACAACCACAAAAATCACAAAAGCAACAGTTATTAAATAATTGCTTTATTGTATCGACAAATGCACGACGAAATTTACTCGATACAACCGCATATAATAATGGATTCAACATTGAATTTACATAAATCATTACGCGACAGAAATATAACAATTGATAGAAACGTTCCATTGATAGGGCACGAATCTCTTCCTCAGTGACCAACACTAACCATAATGTAAATAACCGAAATGGTAATAGACAAAGAAAAAAACATATGACCACAGCAGCCAACATTATAATCACTTGTCGTCGTGATCGAGCTACTGAACGTGCTGCAATTACAGATGAATTTCGTCGTGGTTGTTGTTGTTGTTGCTGTTGATTCAGATTTGAAGCAACAGGTCCAGATGTAGAACCCCGACGGCTATTCGCGCCTAGTGATGCAATTGATCCACGAAATAGAAACATTGCGGCCGGATGATGCCATATTGATGATTGATTCATTGTGATTGTAGTGCCGCACGTAGATTCATTACTTAATGATGATTGTTGTATAAATTGTTGTGGTAATGAACCGGAACGTAATTTTTTACAATCACTACCATCAGCCATTATCGAACCGGATGTAGCAAGTGTTGAATGAATAGATGCAATCAATAAACGTCGATCATCACGAACCAAACGTTTAGTAATAATACAATAAACAACGATCAATATGACCAATGGTAAGGCAAAAAAACCGATAATCGATACGATAAAATAAAGTCGTTGCCATGTTGTATTTGCTTTCGTTATGCAAGCCGACACAATCGAACCATCCACATATATTGCATCGACTAATTCAGTACCGAATAATATCGGTATTGTAGCAATAATGGCCACGGTCCATAAGCCACATATTGTCATAATAGCACGACGATTTGTACATTTATAATTCGCTTTCAATGGCTTACAAATAGCATAATACTTTTTTTATAACATAATTAGCATTGAATGAATGAATAATTATCGATTAAAATTCAAAAAATGGCAAAAAAACTTACCCTTTCAAACGAAATTGCCAATATGGTCAAAACTGAACCATGTGCTACAACCAACTCAACGAATGGTACTGTTTTACCTGGATTCGGATGTCGAAGAAAAAAAATAATTTTTTAAATAAAATTTTCTAAGAATTTTTGATAAAAAAAAGTCACTTCTGCATGAAATGATTCCCAAAATGACCTTGAGCTGTGTATGTGCGCCTCTACACTTCTAAATTCGATTTACAATCAATGCTAGGTTCATAGAGTATATACTAAAAAACGTGTATGATACGCTCACACATCAGTTCGAAATAGTATTTCCTCAATTTTATGATGCCTCGAATAAGTGTAGTTAACAAAGACACTGCAAAGGAAAAAAATTGGATTACAGATATACCGAATTATGAACCACCACCAATCATCGATTATAAGGAACCAACCTATAATCATAATAATGATCAACTTGTTTGGATACCGAATCTTGTTGATGATAATGAATTGGATGAATTTATCGCTGTTGCCAAAGAAACAAATGATTGGACCTTGGATCAATCCCATTGTTTTCTGCATGCATTCGATTATGATATAAAAAAGGCATTGAAAAATCTAGCCATTTTTCGTACCGTTCGTTCTAAACCGTTTGATCGTTGTCAACAAATAAGTATGCAACATATGATGATTCATGATAATCGTATTAAAACTAATCGTTTTCCTAATCACTACGAATTGGTAAAATTTTTAATATGCGATAATCATGAATCATTGATTAGGAAAGATATTATAAGTGAAATTTTAAAATCTGAAATTGAATATGATGAAATATTGAAAAGGTAAGAAAATGTTTTAGTTTATTGTCCGAAAATGAAATGTAAATTAAACATATTTTTTTACGAACAGAGAACAAGCCATACGTGAATTAGCACAAAAACAACAACAAATGATTAAGAACAAAAAGAAAATGCGGAAAATTAAAGATAAATAAACGGAAATAATTAAGCGAATTACATACATACCCACCAGTCACACACATCAATTTCTTATCTTATAAATTTTATAAAATGAATAACATTTCCTACTACATCTTACACTATGGTCATTTAATCTCCATTGTCCAATTGTATTGAATCAATTTGATTGTGAATGAATGAAATCTGTATATTCGAAATCAAAAGCCAACTCCATCACTATTACTGTCCCCACCATCAAGAAAAAAAAGATTAAAGCTACCATCATTATCATTATCTGGTTTGTTTTCTATACTTAAATCCAATAAATTTAACAATGCTATCAATTTCTGATTATTGTTGTTGTCTGTGTCATTTGATATTTTTGACTTTTTTCTTTGTTTTTTTTATAAGAAATTTTTCTCTTTCAAAATGATGATATGATTTCATTCGAATAGACAAATGTTGTAAAAAAAAAATAAAACTAAATGGCCACTCTTATCGGGAGCTATTTATAATGGACACATATATATAAATATTTATCCTTATCGCACGATTGAACATCCATAAATAGCTAGACACACAGGAAAATGATGGAAATTAATTCCCTTTCCTTTCAAATCGTTAGTCTGCAACAAATTCTCACTATCCGGAAAAAAAACTTAAGAAAAATGGTGACATTAAGAATTTGATATTTTGTTTTGCTTGTTTTGTGGCGTTTTGAAGCAAGAATATTCGTGGTTTCTCAAATTTCCTCATATTTTTTTTTGTACAATTTTTCTAGAATATCCCATCTCCTCCATCATCATTACCATCACCACCACCCACAAAATGTAACTGAAGTATCAATTAAGTCACACTATATTTAGGTCATTGGAATTAAGAATTGTGGGTTTGTGTGTGCATGCATGTGTGGGTTGTTATTGTCTGTAGTAAATTGAATTACATCCCCAAAATAATAATGATAATGGTGAATTCTAGTGAAATACATGAAGACAAAGAAAGAAAAAATAAAACAAATAAAAAATCCTGTAACCTTGGATTTTGGATATATATTGTGTGGGGGATGGGTGGGGGTAACACCATTAAAAATAAACCACGATATAACGATGAATAAAAATATGTGGATTCTTTCAATATCCACGCATGGAAAACATTCACTTGAATGAATAAATTCGAGACCAAAAAAAAAAAAAAAAAATGATTACGATTCAATAATGGGACATCATCTGTCATCAAACATAATAAACACAAACGATTGTGAATGCGAAAGATGAAGAATCAAAGAAAAAAAAATGGGTAAAATGAACAAAAAAGCAACAAAAGAAAAATAAGATCTAAAAAAACAGAACCAAGGGGTGGGGGCAAAAATCAATAAACAACAACAACAACAGAAAATAAATGAAGAGAAGAATCCTACGACAGATAACATATTTTTGTCACCATCAATAAAATCATCACCAATCATCAATCGATTTATCCAAAAAGGAATTGAAAAACAGATCGAACTTATATTTGTCATCATCATCCTCAATGATTATTGTATTTGAACATTAACAACGATAACAACGACGACGACGACAAAAAGAAAAAGTCAAAGATCAATATCCTTTTCTTATAATCATTCAACAACAAACAAACAAACAGACAACAAAAGCATCGAATCGTCATTCTGCCTGTCGATGGATGGACAAACAAACATTCGATTCTTTTTTATTCACTCTCTCTCTCTCTCTTTCTGTAAATGTGTTTTTCATTGATTCTTTTTGCTTATTAATAATATCAACTTGGTAATGGAAAAAAATAATAATAATTCCTATTACAAATCATCATCATAGATGTTTGGATATAAAAATAACCACAAAACAGGAAAAAAAAGAATCGATAGAAATTGTGTAAGTTAGTAAGGAGTATATATAATAATTCATTATGACGCTTTCTGTATGTATATTTCTATTCAATTCAATTTTTTCTTTTGTTTTTGTTTTGTCAAATTCTCACTATACTTCAAACAAATCATCATCATTCAATTCATTCATTAAAAGATTGTTGTTATATGAATGAAAGAAAAAAAAATGTTACATTCATTCAATATTCTTTCATTCACATAAACAACATACGATTCTTTTCGATTTCGATTCAAATCGACAACCTTTTCATCTGCTCTCTTCTATAACAAAGAATCATCAAAGAATAATAATAAAAAAAAATATGATGATGATCCATATATATCGTCTTTTTAAGAACGTTTTAGCTAGTTCTTGTTATTATTGTTGTTGTTGTCTGTTGTGGTTGGTTGGTTGAATTCAAGATGTTGTTTATTCATTTGTTTTTTTTTTTTTTTTTGATGTGAATGACATTCGACAACAACAAAAAAATGATGATGGAAAATAGAAAAAGCGGAAATATTATCACTTGTTCTCGGTTTCATTTTTTATCCTCCTCATCATCTCACCATCATCATCATCATCATCATCATTTTGGATCTTATATGAACGGGTAAATGGAATGATGACAACAAAAAAAAGGAAAGAAAAAAAACAGCTCCAGTCACAACAACAATAACAACAACAGCCATCACCAATAAAAAATCAGACAAACTGATTCAGAAAAGAATAAAATAAATAAATTCTTTTTTCCATGTGAAGAATTTATTTAGTTTTTTTCTTCATATTTTCATATTCATTTTTTTCTTCTTCACTGCTATCGTCGTTTTTGTCGCAAAAAAACAACAAAAACTGGAAAATTCTTTGTCAACAAAAGAAAAAAAAAATTTACTTTTTCAACAACGAATAATGACGTCGATTCGTTTCAAGAACTAACAACAACAAAAACAAAATGTTTTATTATAAAAAAAAATAACAAGAAAAGACCAGACAAACACAAACACACACACACGCATGATATAAAGATGATGGACAGATCATTTTTCTGGTTTCTTTACAATAAACAACAATCCTTTTTGAATGAATGAATAATACTAAAAAGTGGAAATGGAATTTTCCATTTTTAAAAAAATTCCAAATACTTACACATACACGCACACCAAAATTTTAGGGACAAAAAACTGTGTAGGAAAAAAAATAAAAAACGCCCTCCCTCCCTTCTCCTTCAATCGGAAATTTAAAAAAAACGAATCCAATCATGTATCATCAACATCAAGATATGCATCGGACATTCATTGGATGATGAATTGAATTTTTTGTTTTTTTTTTGTTTTTATTCTCTCTCAATTCTTGTTGTTTAAATTTATGATGTTGATAATATTGTTGTATAGTCAATTTAAAGTGTTAGATTTGATTTATTATCCTTCGCGAATACAACACACACACACACACACACACACACACTAATTCAGCAATAACTTAAACATCAAAATCATCAAATCGAAAAGTTATGATCATCGTCATCATCATCGACAAAGTCAGAGAAAGAAAGAAAAAACTACCAACATGAAAAGTTCGATCTAAAAGAATTTATTCTTGCGAGTGAAAATTTATCACGTTTCAGAAAAACGATAAACAAGAAAAACAAAGAATAAAATGATGGAATTCATTGCCCTATCATCATTTTAGTATTGTTAACAAATGAACAAAAAAAAATATTGAGAAAAAAATGATTTATTCTTATGCACACACACACACTATATACTTATATTCATGTCATTTTTTTAAAAAAGAAAACTACTTGCAATTTCTTGAACTCATCATTGAATAAAAGGAAAAAATTCTTTGTTTTTTTTTTGAAAAAAATGCAAAACTCCTTTACAACAAACGCCCACTCACATACACACACACACACACACACAATCGTTGAACCGAACACGAAAATTTTTTTTCCATAAAACAACAACATCAGAGTCTATTTGTGATTCATATGAATTCAAAGAATCATCACCACTAAATACAACAACAAAGAAAACATGTGAATAGATTTAACTTGACTTGGCAGAATTGTTTATTGTTTTGTGTTGACAGATTCTCTGTGTGTGTGGCAAAACATCGACATAGACATGTTTGTGCTAATCACCCATTATTATCATTATTATTATTATAGAATCAGAATCGCACAAACATTAAAAACAAAATAAAACAATAATTTTAACGAAAGAAAACTAAACAATTGTTTTGACGAGAGTCGACAATGATGTTTGATGATTTACAAATCATTTAATTTGTTTGTCTGGTTTGTATGATGTATGTATTAAGAATACCGGAACAGAAAAAAATTTTCCGTACAAAAAAAAGAAGAGAAAAAAGTACTGGAAAAACATAAAAATAAAAATTGATTCCATCAATTCCAACACACACACACACAAACTCACAAAATATTCTGTGTTTTAAATTGACTTTTTCTGAATTTCCTGGTTAAAGTATTTAAGCTGGCGAGACAACAGGAATAAAATCCTAAATTGCACTTTTCTTTCTCTATTCTATTATCTTTGATTCTTAATTCTGTTTTTTTTGATGTTGTTTTTAATGTTGTTACTATGAATAGGAATTCAAAAGGCGTCAAAATTAATGGAAAAGTTATCCTAAAACTCGGATACAACAGACAAAATTCAATTGGTTCATTTAACAAAAATTTCATCATGATTAAACTTTTGTTAGTCTTTTGAAGATGGTGGTCAAGCCTTGGTCCTATTTATCGATAAATTAACTCAACATAAAGATGATTTATAAGGAAAACATAAACCAACAGATATCGTTACTTGGTTAGTTTTTATAATTTTATAATATAATAACCGGAAAAAGAAATATACGCGATTACTTACACATAAATTCACCCAGCGTCCAAATTTCCGGTTTTGAATGTAATTCAATCAATACGGTTGGTGTACACACAATAAGTACAAGTAAATCTGCTATGCTTAGATTTATAAGGAATATGTTTGTTGAATTATTCGATAGAGTATCACGTTGTCTACAGACAACTAATGGAACAAATAGATTACCAACTACGCCGAACATTAGAACGGTTGCACAAACAGACGAAGCAATAATTCTTAATGAATGTGGGAACTCCATTGTTGATGATGAATTTTGAGACATCAATGAATGACTATCATTTCTGTTGCTATCATGATCGATAGAATTTTCGATGATTGTCGTCGATAAATTAGTTGCCGTATGATTTTGATTGCCATTTACCCGGGCAATATTCACAACAATAATGATGATAATAATGATGACAATTATGATTGATAATGATTTTGATGATGAAGACGATATTAGAAACTGTCGGTTGTTTGATGTCGTTGGCTTATTATTACCATCATCATCATCATCATCATCATTATTATTATTATTATCAGCGAATTTCCAAGAAATTTCTGAATTTGTCACTTTTTTTATTGGCGTTGACGACTCCATTACCAGAATTATTCACTATACGGAATTTTTCCCGTTTGAAATCTGAGAATAAATAAAAAAAAAAGGAAATTAAATCTTTCGACAAGTAACCAAAAAAAAAAAAAAAAAAAAAACATTCGAATCAAGTGCGAAAAAAAAAAAAATTTCCGAATCAGGTTTCAAGTGTACGTGTGTGTGTGTGTAAGTCTATGTGGATATGGTTGATTTGTGAAATTAATTCATTATTCATTCACAAACACACACACAATGACACTTTGTTTCATTTTTCATTCAATTTTATTCAAAATTCTTTGGTTGGTTGGCATATTTCATCATCATCATCATCACAAAAAAAAAAAAAAAAAAAAAATTTCAGACGAACGAAGACAATGATGAATGGAATTAAATGAAAGATTGTATGATGATGAAAATGGCATGAATTTTTTTCTTCTTTTTCAACGCAATTCATTTAAGCTAATTTTAGCCATCGAAAAAAAAACAAATACCGGAGGCCCGTTCTCTTTAATCACAACGACGATCCAATGGAATGGTTTGAGTGTGTGTGTGTGTGTGTGGATGTTTTTTTTAAAACATCATCATCATCATAATATAATTGATGATAATTGGCCGCTTTCATACTTTTCACTGTTTTTCAAACGTCGTTCATTCACACATTCTTTCACTAACTAAACGAGCAATGAAACCAGACAAATAGAATTAATAGTTAAATATTTTCAAACATCAAAGAAATAGACAAACAAACAAATAGAAAAAAAAACGATGTTGATGATGACATTTTCATATGATAATGATTATGAATCTGAACATAACGGATTATAATTTTTTATTATTTTCATATTCAGAGATGTGAATCAACCTACACACACACACACACACACAAACACCAATACAGAATTCAATTTGAATCTATATTGCTGCAGATAATGATGATGATGGTGATGTTTGGATTCGATTAAACAAATTGAATTTATTCATTCATTCGTCGTTATCATTAAATTAATAATGGCAAGGCCATTTATTATATATAGCCAAAATATTTTGATCGATCAATTTCGCACACATAATGATTGACTAACTTTTGAATGAAAAAAAAATTTTTCATAAACTATAGACTGGTAAATTGAAGAAAAAAAATTTCTGCTTCATTTTTTTTGCTGCACAGATGTGCGACTACATATTGATGATGTTTTCAATGGAATTTCAATTTTTTTGTCGATTTTATATTCAAAAGTTAACAACAAGAGAAACCAGAAAAAATAGCAGAAAAAAAAATTAACAAACCGTTATTTTATGGTGTTGGCGGATGGATGGATGGATTGAAATGATTGAAAATTTTGGATGGATCGTTTTATAAATGTTTTTTCTTCTTTTTCGTCGATTTGTGACAGTTTGACGTCTGAATTTTATTTGGTTTTTTCTCACTCCCCGGAATCAACTAACCAGAAATCACCAGATTTGTCAATGGATAAGAATTTTTTTTCGAGTGAGTGATAGATAAATAGAAAAAGGCACCAAAAAATACCATTGATTAGCCAATCGATGATAATGATGAAATGAAATGGTTTTTTTGTGGTTCTTCGTTTGTTTCTTTCATTCGATTCGAATGCTTTTTTGACAGTTCAATTTTTCATGTGGATTTTTTTTTAAAAATACATTTTATTATGGTAAAAACTTTCGTTTCATACATTTTTGTTTGAGATATATTGATAGTTGGATGGCGGAAAGTCATTTGTAATGACGTCGTCCATCATTATCATCATATCACATATCATCATTTGAAATGGATTTGATGAATGAATGAATAACAGAAACGGAAATTCATAATGATCAAATCATTTTTTTTTGTAAATAAAAACTGTTTCAACAAAAAAAAAAAGATGAAACCATTGATGATGATGATGATAGAATGACGGTTATCCACGTCCAAGCGATCATTCGACAAATGTGTTCGCGCTTTTTGCGTTCGATTCTGTGTTTTTATTCGATTGTCGTTGTTAATGTTACTGCTTTTTTGTAGCAGTGGTTAAACTATTAGGTGAATAGAAACAAATGCTAACGGTACATAAAATTGTTACACCAATGATTATGTTGTGTGTGTGTTTGTGTGACTAGAGAGAGAGAGATAGACGATTTTGAAATGATTTTTATCACAATTGTGGCCAACCAAACCACAAAAACAAATATAATTCAGAATATTGAATATTAAATCGAATCAAATTCTTTCAAAAATTTAAATCGAATCTCCAAATCGAAAATCGTTTTTTCCATGCAAATACAATAACAACAACGAAAAAAAAAAAAAAATCCACCACTAAACCTCCTAACCACCATCAACCACAATGGACATTGACAAATATCTATTTGGCCTAATGAAAATAAACAATGATGAGATGAAATTATTATATCGAAATTTTTTTTTACACACTATAAAAAAATTATCCTCAATTTTTTTTTCGCCATTATTTATTCCATGTTCATAAAAAAACTATGATTATGATGATAATGATCACGATCTAAATCGTGTTTGACCTAAATTCTTTTATTCGATCAAAAGGAAAAAAATACTTATCTGTTTGCTTGTTTTGTTTTATTGTTGACTATTGTTTGTTTTTGTTTTCATCATCATCATCATCATCTGATGATGATGATGATGATCATTTCATAATCTCATGATGAATCTTTATTTGATAATTTCATCCATATTGATCAATTGAAACATTCTTTTGATCATCATCATCATCAGCAACCATGTTCATTTCAAATTCAATTTTTCTACTCAATGCTCATATTGTGGTCACAGATTAGTAGATGGCAGTACGGGTAGTGTTTGAATATTTTTTTTTTTCGAAAAAGAATTTTTTCAAAAATTTCAAAAAAATTAAAGATTTATCATTTTTTTTCTCGTTATTATTATTATTATTATCATATATTACCAATATAAATTGATTGATTATTTTTGTTTTTTTTTTGCTGCTTCAACATTAATTTCATCCATAAATGGTAAAAAGAATTTGTTGTATTGTTTTTTCTCCCAAAAATAACGGATGTTTTCAATTCCACCCACGAATCTGCATCGAAAACGATGATCAATGTACGTGTGTGTGTGTGTGTTGTATATTGTATATGAATATTTGTATGAATTTATGTGTGTTTGTTAGATTTTAAATTTCATGTGAATAGTAATAATGAAATATCATCGATAAAAATAAAAAGATTTAGGCAAAGAAAAAAGAATATTCTTTTTTTTTGCAAAATAATTCATCCAACAAGAATCATTCAATTAATTAATGCATCAATTAAGTGATGGGAATTCATCTTTACGTAATACAAATAATTTCTCACATAATGGACAATTGACATTGATATTGTTATTACTGGTGTTAATGTTGCTGTTGTTGGTATTGTTATTTAATATCGAAGAATTTGCTGCTGCTGCTGCTGCTGCTGTCGTTGTCGATTGGATACTTTCAAAACACTATTGTTGTATTAGGAGTGTAAAACAAAAAAAAAGAAAATCCATTAGTTTAAAAATCGTACAATAATTTCTCTCACTCACCTCTTTATGAAATAAATGTTTACAATGTGGCATATAACGGAATCCACCACCACCAAGTTTTGTTGCTAAACTTGTAACACTATTATTATTAATAGTTGGAGCCATCATTGTTTTATGACATAAGGCACAATTATGATGATTACCACTGCTACCATTATTATTGTTGTTATTGCTATTATTATTATCAGCCATCAATGATGACAATGATGACGATGTAAATGATGTATTCATCATATTCATATGATTTGAATTTACCGATAAGGATTGAAATTGATTATTTAATCCAAAACTATTATTATTATTATTATTGCCGGTCAACGATGTAGTCGATATTAATGATGATGACGATGTCGATGATAATGGTGTTGATGATGGTGTTGGTTTCGACATCATCATTATTGGTGATATCATTCCGATAGGTGTCGTTGCTGATGATATTAATAAACCGGATGTTCCTGTCATCGTATTTGTTGTTGCTGTCGATGTAGATGATGTTAATGATGATGCACAACCAAAATCTTTAACTGTCGGTGTTGATGGTATCGATGATGATGAACTATTTTGTGCGGCTATTTTCGACCAAGATATTCCACCTTTAGATGCTATCGTTGTAGTTGTTGTTGTTGTAACAGTCGAACCATTCACTATTTTGACAACAGACAAAGGATTATTCGAATTCAAACACATTGTATCGATCGATTGTGATGGTGTTGCTGATTGAACGCCCTGAACCGAGAAAAAAAATTAAATATGAAAAATTTGGTTTTTTTCTCTCACTGATATTCACCATTTCAACAATTAAATCACTGATAAATTTTACTAATTGTCCCATTTTAAATCCAGAAAATCCGTATTGAATTTTATATCGTTTTACTAATATATATTTTGCTTGCCGTATGATTTCGACCAATTGATTTCTAAATATAAAACAATCAATGATGAGTCAACCAATTCCTTAAAAAAAATATCAGACTTACATTGGCACATTTGGAAACAATGTACGTAACCTGTTGATTAATTTCAACATTGATGTTGGAACTGTTGCTTGTGAATCCTGTGAGATTATCAAATTATTGTTACCTATCGAATCCGATATGGATACGGAAAACTTTGGTTCCAATACCAGTGTACCTGTCGTACCGGATCGATGTGTTTCTTGTTCAATTGTTTCAATTAGATTCCAATTATGTGTCAAATGTCCAATGATCATACGTTGACCTGTTTTTGGTGGCCGATTATAAACAACCGTTATTGGTCCATGAATATTTAGACTATCGGCTGACATTGGATAATAATAAGGAAAATATAGTGATTGCTCCATTCGTAGTCGTACAATTTGTGGATATGATTTTGATTTATTTTTATTCTTATTCGGTGTTATTGTAGCAGCAACATCATCATCATTACCACTAACACCACCACCACCACCAATAGTAGTTTTACAACCATTCATCATTGAATTGCTACTATTATTATTCTTGTTTATCGCCATCAAACTAGCTGAACTTGTTTTCCGATTCTTTCGATTATCTATAAACACAAGCAAAAAAAATTAATTGATTAATTATCAACTAATAATAATTTTTTCTTACTTTTTTTCAATTCCATATCATTCGAATATAATAAATGTTGTTGATTGGCCGATAGACAACGTACACGTTTTAAAAATTGTCGATATGAATGTTGTAGTTTTCGTTGATCAGCTATTGTTGTTGTTGTTGTATTGCTGCTGCTAATACAATCGATCGATCGACTGGATTCAGATTCCTGATCAACATCGCTGAATGCTTCATCGCTATTATTACCATCATTATTATCATCATCATCATCATCACTACTTTGATCATTAATTGATGAATTTTTTGCATTTTTCAATATTTTACTATCATCATCAATATTATTGTTGTTGTTATGCTGTAATTGATTTATAATTGATAAATTCAATAAAATTTCTTTCGGTATCATATTGAATAATTTTCTATAATATTTCAGTAATCGTAATACGGTTATCTGAAATTGTTTTAAACCACTATCTTGCTGTAACATTTTTAAATCCATTTGTAATTGTTTCAATTTATCCTGTACGTTTGCCATACATTGTTGATAATTTTGTATTGATTGATTATTGTTATTATTTTGTTCCAATGATGATGATGATGATGTTGTTGTTGATGATCCAACTGTTTTCGTTGTGCCAGAATCAGATTCAATATTTATAGAATTCATTGAATTATTAGATGATAATTGCATAGCACTCATAAACCATAATGTATAAAGTTTTTTCATTTCTTCCAACTTTGATTGTATCAATACTTTATCCAGATATTGTAAACGTCGTTCATTTTCCTGCAGATCATAATAAACATTGGCAAATTCATCCCAATCAGAATCCATCGAATCACCGGATGCCGGATTCGTATCTGATTTACGTGACAATAAACGATTCAAAATGATTTGTTCCATTTCAAGACTTGATGATAATGGATTCGATTGCTGTGATGTTGTAGGTGTTGATATATTCGTTGATCGAAGTGAAAAATTTTCCATATAAAAATCCAACATTGTTTTCGTTACATGTAGATCTTCTTTCATGAAATACTAAGAAAAATGAAAAAAGGCAAAATCAGAACGAAAGAATGTAAAAAAATGAAATAATGAAAAAATACCTCAAGATTATCGTGATAAAAATCCAACAATAATTTTGATTGTTGTTGTGATCTAAATATTGAATCTTTGTTGATATTGTTATTGGATGAAATCGATGAATTGCTATTATTCGAAATCGAACCATATAACGATGATGTCGATGATAATATTGGCATCATTAGATTATCAACATTATTGTTTTTTTGCCGTAACCATTGATGATCAGATGACCATATAATGGATGAATCATTCGGTGTATGATGAACATGATGATGATTATTATTGTTATTGTTATTAATAGATTGATGACCAAGAATTGTATTCAAATGTTCATTAATTGAATCAACAACAGTTGTATTACCAACATTCCATACATTGAATAGTCCATTAGATTCCTGTTGATTATGATTCGTTGTTGATGATGGTCGATTCATTTGTATATTTATGGTATTAGAATGAGATTGTTGATCTGACCAATGTTGTCCACTACCAGTCCAAGATGATGATGCGGTTGAATTCGGTGTTGTTATAGTTGATTGATAATTACTATTATTACCACCAACACTACTAATAATAGTATCATTCGAATTGTTTGTATCAACAAATGAATTATAAATATCACGCATTGTTGCCGGTGATGATGATGATGATGATGTTGATGTGGTTGAAAGGCCAAAATTGTTTGTATCAACTATTATATGATCATTATGACCATTGGCCATTAAACCGGTAAATTTACCGCCAACAGCTGTATTAAATCGTTGTTGTTGTTGTTGTTGCTGTTGAAGATCAGTAAACATTTGTTGAAGTATATGATCACTATCTTTTGGCGTTGATTGTAGCCATGATATTGATTGATTCGTATGAAATAGGCCATTTGTCATTGTCGATTGATTACCATTAGATTTCCACACATTTTTACTTCCAACACCACTACCAACTCCAATAATAGGGGATTGATTTGGCATTGTTTTTGATGGTGATTTATTCACATTCTGTGATGATGTTGATGAAGATGTTGTTGTTGCTGTCGATGTAACCGATGTTGATGTTTTCCTTATTTTCGAACCATTCGATGATGGTGAACCAATTGGTGTCCGTTGTGGGTGTTGTTGAACAATTTTATTCATAACTTGTTGTTGTTGTTGTTGCATATAAAGATGATTTGTTGGTTGTTGTTGTTGTTGAAAATAATTACCAACCATATTGAAAGTTGATTGATTTGAATTATGACCAAATTGTTGTTGTTGTTGTTGTTGCTGCAATTGTGGTTGTCCAAATAGATTTTTAGATGTTGTCGATAATTGATCAAACAAAATAGATGAATTATAATCAAATGAATCGACACCGGTTTGATTATTGGTATGTTGTTGTTGGTGGTGGTGATGACCACCAACACCGCTCATCATCATCAGATTACTTTTCATCATATTCGAACCGTTTGAAAATCTCCCAGATCCTGGTACAAGATTCGATAGCATCGACGATGATGATAATGAAGATGTATCATTCATCAATGATCCAGTAGCATTTACAGCAGCAGCGGCCGATGTTAATGGAGATGATGTAGAATTATTATTTATTGTCGATGATGATGAGGATTGATTCATAATTGTAGCCGATTCCATTTTATTTATCGTTGATGAGGATGTTGATGAAGATTCAATAGTTTTATTTGTCGTTATATTGGCTACTTCCGTCAACATTATCATAAATCAATTTGATCACTTCCTCTCACAGTCTTTCTCTTGCCTATTTAAGGTTCCGTAATTCGTTATTTCAGGTTTTCACAATTCCAAAAATGATGAATTTTGTATCAGGCTAAATAAAATGAAAAGAATAGAATTAATAAAGCGAATTTAAAAGTAAAAAAAATAACCAGAACACAATCGAAATATGATCTATAATAATTGTGAATCATCATTCGAATCTTAGGAATATCAAACTGTTGTTGATTTCGATTTTTTGTTAAATTGGAATCCAATTTCATAAACACATACATGGCACATACCAATAGCAGAATCAAAATACAAAACAAAAAAAAATTTCAAAGAATTTCTCACAAAAAAAAAATCAAAAATTCAATGTTTTGTTCTCTCTGCCAACACAAAAATAACCGTTTGTATGCAAATCATCAAATCAAATCAATCAATCAAACGCAATTAAGAAGAAAAAAACAAAAGATTAGAATTTACTTATTTAAAAAAAACAAAACAAATATGATACGATGGCCAAAAAAAAAAAATTCAATGATCATTGAATGAATAATTCCATGCACACACACACACACACACACACACATGAAAAAAAATTCAGGCTAAAAATCCACTTTTTTCAACAAAATTATAATAATGTTGATGATGATGATGCTGATGAGAGAGAGAGAGAATGACTTGTATGTGGAGGATGAAAAAGAAAAAGGAATATTTTTTTTGCAAATAGAAATATTAAAAAATAATAAGAAATATAATAAGAAAAAAATGTGAGCAACGCGCGATGACGACGACGACGACAACAACAACAAACGTTTTGTGTGTTTCTTCTTCTTTTGGATGTTGATGTTGTTGTTGTTATAGATGGATCCTCAACTCACACACTAAATTCAATGATGTTGGATTTAGTGTGTGAGTTTGTGGATGGATAACACACATTCAAGTTATTATATTCCTTATTGTGTGGAAATAGACGCCAAATGATTCAAAACGCTTGAATTTGTCTATCTCTCGTTGTGTTTGTCTATGTGTGTGTGTCTATGTGTGTGTGTTTGTGTGTATTCAGTATACAAAGCGCGAGATTTGAAAATTTTAAATTTTACAAAAAAAATTTTTATCAGTGAAAAGAATTTATTTAAAATTTCAGTTTTAATTATGTGAATGAGATTTGTGAATTTTTTTTATATCTTTTTTGACCATTTGATTAGATTTTCGTCTTTGATTTTATTTCTTTATTCTAAAGTATTGATTGATTGATTTTATTGTATAGAATTTTCGTTGTTGTTTTTTTTATCCATTTGTGGCAATATGAATTATGAATTCGAATGTTTGATTGATTAAACTTGAATCATATAACACACACACTTTACTCATATACGTAATAATATATATATGAAACAAACGAATGACGGTTACCAATAACAACAATGACGAAATTCTGGATCGTGGATTATTGTATGATTTTTTTTTCGATTCCAAGGTCATTTTTCGTTGTCTGTGAATACAGATGATACTATTCATCATTCAAAAAGGAAAACAAAAAAAAAATACACCATTGATCAACAAACAATTATGAAATGTTGATTGTAATATACGGTTATTGTTGTTCGGTCGGTCGGTTTGGTTTGTCGGATGGATAGGAGTAACGACCACATAAACAAAACACCCAATTGCAACAGCAACGACAATGAAAATCCCGAAACCAAAATTACCGCAAAAAGGAAATTGTTTTGTTTTTTGTTTTTTTTGGTTCGCTGCAGTTATTGGTTTTTGTCATCATCATCGTCGTTGTCGATGATGATGATGATGATAAGAATAACTAACCACTGAATAATAATGTAAAATCCATCAGGAAAAGCGAAAGAGAAAAACTCAAATCACTAAAACGAAAAAAAAAATGAAGCTCACAGCAACCAAAGAATGGAATCGTGGTGGAAATAGAATCGAATAAGATTTGTGTGTTCAAACAACAACAACAACAACGTAAAAAAAGAACACACTTTTTTCTGTTATTACTCCACGGTGTTTTAGTGTTCGAATCGATCAAACAAAATACGTTCGATTCGATTTTTTGATCAATTTTTTCAATTTCACCTTGTTTGTTTCATTTTCAGTTCATTGGATTTTTCTTTATTCTGATTTTTTTTCACTGTTTTGATCATCATCACCATTCATCGATTCAGTGATACAAATTTCTATCCTTATGTAATAATGGGATGCACAACATCAACACAATTGATGCAAAATAATAATGGTGATAAACGAACAATATCCGATATCGGTTGTCCATCCACAAATCAAACGGATCATATTAATGATAATTTCGGTGGTTTTGGTGGTGATGATAAATCAATCATTAAAGAACCAAATGAATCAATGAAAAGTGATGTAGCTACAATTGGTACAGCCAATACATTGATTGCTAATGATGATGATGAAATCATAATGAATTCATCATCATCAATAATGAGTTTTGATATCAATGATAATAATGATGATGATGGCCATTCTTCATGCACATCAATTTATCATCATCATAAACATCCAAGTCCATATATTCATAAACAATTGGCAAATATACAGCAACCACCGCCATCATCAGCAACAACATCGACCATATTTGAATTAGATCCAAATGATGATATGGATGATCGTGCTAGTACAAGACCATTAATGTCGATTAATGATCTACAACAAGCAACAGCGGCAGCTATCGCTGCTGAACATCGTGAACAAAAAAGTAAATATAAATTCCTGTAATATTTCTACTCACCATTCATAGATGACGTTACTGTAGCATTTAATCTTATTCAAATTCTGATTGTCTATAAAAATCGATGTGTGTGTGTGTGTATGTTATATTGTAATTTTTTTTTATTATATATTCTTTTGTTTCTAAATTTAAATCTAAAATTAATTGCCCCGGTGTTCCTAACATTTCTGTCATTGAAAAGCAAATACCATTTTTTTTTTGAATGAAATAAGAATGTTCAACAAAACATAAAGTGTAAATTGCATTTTAATGGTTCACCTTCTTCATCTCTCTTTTCCTTTCATATCTTTTTCAATCGGTGAAAGTCATCATTTATTTTCCATCAATTTTGTTCTATAGATTACTGATGATGATGATGATAAAAACGGTTGCATTACATGTATACAAAGCGTGACTTTACGACTAAAGAAATAATTTTTTTTTTCGCACTGATTATAGAACATATTGTCCAGTAAAAAAAAAAAAGATAATTAATCTTGATATGTGTCAAACCACCCTCTACACACACACACAAACACTCATTCGATATTGACGCCTTTTGTAAAAGCATATAAATATATTAACTACCTAAACATATAAAATATAGAACACGAAAATTCAAAGATCAATCAATTCCGTAAAAAAGAAAAAATGTTCATTTAGCATTTGACTTTTGTATGCATGAATAGTTGACTATACTGATTGTCACCATCATACCAAGTGAGATTCAGAATTTCTAATTTTTACACTTGACTGCCGTATAAATCTAATATATAGATCTCCATCTGTGGATATCAACCAAAAAAAAAAAATTTTTTTTTTTTGATCTGAACAATACAGATGTTGAGAATCTGATAGGCAGATGTTTCACCTTTTGTTCGGATGATCGAGAATAAAACAAGCAAACAAACATAAAAACAGTGAATCCTTTAGGCCCAGAAGACCAGATTTTCTGTTTTCTGTTTTTTTTGATGTTCAACTTTTTTTTCTGTCTACATTTTTTTTCCACTCGTTAAAATTACCACTTCATTTTTATTCATTTTTTTTTAAATTTTTCATGTCAATAAAAAAAACAGAAAAAATACATTTGACAGGTAAAACAAACAATAGAAAAAATTGATTCAAAATATCAAAGACACATAGTCCTTCCTGTCATAGAAAAATCAACCCATCACCTGATCTCAAAGTTTTATGACAGAAAAAAGAGCTTTTTCTAGTATCAGTCAAACGTTATTTTTTTTTCTTTAGTTGTCAACCTGGTTGTTTCGAGTGACCAGAATGCTTAATTGAATGAATGTGTGTGTGTGTCTCTTATTATATTCGATCTGTGAATGTTAAAAACATTCAAAAAAATTATCACACTACAGTGAACGAGACTTGAATATGTTGTGTAATATATATATATGGATTGTAGCCTGAATATTTTCCTATTTACAAAACTAAACTATTATATTTTACAAAATGCGCAATTGCCAGATATTCACTATCTATGGTTATCTGATTTTTTTCTTTTTTTTTTGCTTTTCCTTTTGTATTCTGCTAAAGAAAAAAAAAGAAGAAGAAGCCTATATATAACCATCATCAATATATAATGTAGTCAAGAATTTTTTGAATGAATAAAAATTCTTTCCATTTTACATTCATTCTGTCGTTGCGTTTTGTCGATGACGGTGGTAGTTTTAAAAGATTCATTTTCTTCTTTTTTTTCATTTTCATAATCTGATTATACATATTTGGAAAATAAAGATGAAAAAAAATTCTCGTTTTCAATTGAGTGTGTGCCATACGTCTTAATTAAAACATACAAACACTATCAACGTGTCTAATCAACGTGTTTTTTTTTTTGGTTAAAAACTGAACTCCATATTCACGGCAACTAACATTACGGTGTTGCATCATAGCGATTGTACTTTAATGTTTTATGTGTTTTAAAAAATTTATTAAAAATTCCATTTTTTTCTGCTTCTTACACAATCAAGTGGCAACAAAAACGACAACGACAACAACAACGAGTGTGATAACTACAAACCATCAAGTAAATACAACAACGTTTTTTTTTGTCATATCAATATTGTTATTTGCAGAATTGCCATAAGTGGTAAATTATAAGTTGCAAAATGAAACAGAAACATATAGTATAAACAAAATTTTCTAGATATACAACACGAAAAAAAATTACAACAACAACAACAACAGCGACAAAGTAAACAAAAAAAAACAATAACAAAAAAAATTGTCTTGTTACTTTCTGGTCCAAGGAAACATCTTGTTTCGATTTTTGGCCACAATCTTGTTGCACAAAGAATCATTTATAAATGGTTTTTCTTTTAAATTTTTTTTTCATATCTGGCTATGTCACTATTGGGAATTTTTTCTTAGACAAAAAAGAAGAGGAAAACAAATTGGACAAATTTTTTTTCCATTTGAAAATTTCCATTAATTTTTTTTTTGTTTCTTTGCGACCATCGTGATCATCATTATGATGATGATGATGATGATGATGATTCCCAGCATTGCGAATTTTTGTATCTTTATGTTTCTCCAATGAAGGCCAAAAACTCACTAGGAATCATCTGTTTTTTTTTCTTTGAATTTGAGCGACCACAATTTTTTTGGAATTTTGTGTGTGTGTGTTTGGTCTTTAAAAAAAATGAATGAATGCGGATTTTTTTTGTTTCAAAATTGAAATGTGAAAAAAAATTGATTCAATTGTCCATAACAAAACAAAAGCAATTCAATTGAATCGAGCGTGATGTGAATGAAAAAAAACTGAATGTCTGTTTTCATTAATTTCATTTCTTTTATTTTCTAATCATAATAATTTTTAAATAATATTTGACACATTCTTTTTGCACACTTTTTCTCATAATAATACGCCCATCATTCATTCATTCATCCACGCCCATCTAAAGAATCTGGTAAATTTTTTGTTTTGTTTTGTTTTTTTTGAATGTTAGCTTCACTTCATTGCATTTCTTTTTTTTTTATTTTAAATCCATTGACAGAATGGAATTTTTTTTTTTATATTTTTTGTTTCGTCCAAAAGAAAATACTTTTGTTTCATTCGATTCGATTATTATCCAATTGTCAGACTTTTTCATAGTATTTTTACTTTTACATATTTTTGTAATGAACAATTCCTTTTTATTTGAAATTGAATTTAACATTTTTTTGTTTGTCTTTTTTTTCTGGTCTCCGAAATCGAATTTTTCAAAATTTAAATTTGAAATTTTGTAGCTATGATTTTTGCCGAAATCGAATTTTTTTTTTCTCTCACTGATATTCGACACATGCACAGCATTTTTCAACATTTTTATTTTTTCTTTCTCTTTTTCTTTATTCCATCATCCAGTGAATTCCATAAACTTTTGTTTGTTGAAAGAAGACTTTCATTTCTGTTTTATTGTGAAAATCATTTCCGGGTTTTCATTTGGTTTATCACTTTGGTGAAAAAAAAGTTTATTTCAAAATATCAACAACAATCGGATACCACCACCACCACATATGGTGTAGCTATCTGATCCATTTTTGTCATCATCATCATTTGGAATTAAATATAAATGGATTTTGGACGTTTTGTTTTTCGTTAGAATTTTGTATGATTCTTGATCATTTTATTCTGATATGCATACATAAATACTGAATGTATGCAGCAATACAAACAAATGATAATCTAGATTCTAGAATCATCATTTATTATTATTATAGTCTTTAATTCTGCTTGCTTTTCGTATAATTTTTCCATTTCATCGAATATTAACGACAATGACAATGATGAGCGGAGAGAGAAAGAAAGAATCCCTTAATATTATAATATTCATTTCCAAAAAAAAACGAAACGAAACGAAACAAAACATACATTTGTTTTTTGTATATTGTGATCAATTATTAAATGACAATCGAATAATCATTGATAATTGTTGTTTTTTATTGTTCGATTGATGAGAATTATAATCTAATCTAATCAAATAATAATCAAAAGCATGACCATGGTCACTGTATTTTACATGCATGAATAGCGATAACCTTAATCGATAATATCATTGTCATTCATTCAGTCATTAAGTTGTTTCTCAACATTCAATATTTGGGCGTTATTTTTATATATTTTTTAGCTCTTAGTACTAACTGTCAAATGAAGATTCACAATTCATATATTCTATCATGTCATTTGAATTTTTATTCCTATTTTTTTCTTCTTATGAATGATTAAAACTGACTATGGTAGAAAGAAAAAAATACAATAATCATCGTCATCATTTGTTTTTTGTTCTATTTGCGTTGTAGATGTCTTATTAGCCATTGTTTTTGTGTGGCCATTTTTTTACATACATACACAAACATAGATAGGATTTTTTTTTCTTGAATTATTCTTGTTGTTGATGTTTCGAGTCCAAATTCCATTTTCCTTGATTAAAACATAATGATGACAAAAAAAGCTGAATCATGAATCATGATGGAAATTTGTTTTTCTAACGTTTGCCGACATTAAAACTACCATATCTTATATAACAACTTCCTCTCTTATTTATTTTTTTTTTGGAATCTAGAATAAAACCTAATTATTATTAATGAACAAACAAATAAAGAATATGATTTCCGACAATCATTTGAACAAAAAAAAAAAAACTTAAACCATTTCATGTTTGTTGTTTCATCCAAACAAAAAAAAGAAACTCATGTGTGATTAGATCTGAACAGATAAAAAGGCACATAATAAAAGATGATGTTATGGGTGTGTGTGTGTGTGTGACGTATGCGATGGAGTGTATGTGAATTATAACGAATAAACAAAAACAAAAAAATTTCCAGGTAATTTAGCCCGATAGCTACTGTATACGAACACAAAATTGAATTGGCCCACATTTTTCATGGCTTTTTTACTTTTCATTATATTCTCTTTTGGATATTTTTCTGGCTTTTTTTCTGCAAATTTTCATTATTATTATTATCATGCTCATGATTATGATGATGATGATGATGATGATGATGATAATAGAATTAAATGAACCTTGTCCGTATATTTCTATTTTTTTTTTATTTTTTTGTTAGCCGGTAATTTTACAATATTCACTACTATATTAAAAAGGTTTGAATTGAAAACTGAATGAAAATGGTTAAAATGTTATGGCTTATAAAAAAAAAAAATGGATGGCAATCAAACACCGCCTACATATTGAATATTTGGGTACATTTTCCATATCGATCCATTCTTACCTTTTAATATCGATATTGATTTGTGGTTTTATTTGATTTTGCATAGAAAAAATAAGTAAATTTACCACAAATAAAAGAGAAAATGAAATGCCACCAATACTAGAATCAATATGATTTTATTTTTTTTTCACAAGATATTTTCACATTTTTTTATATAAGATAAAGGTATTAATTGAACTCAAAACTTTAACATATTTTCTTTGGTTTAGAAATTGTCAACAAAACGACTACAACATCTATGACAACAATAATTGATGAAAACGACAATCAAACGATAACTGAAACCATTACTTTTAGCAGCAATACTAATAATAATAACAATACTAACAACAATAATAAAATGGCCGAAGAAGAGGTAAAAATAGACAATTTCAATTCAATTGTCATAAAATGTAATATATTTTTTTCTCTCTATAATAATGGCCGTTCTGGAACACACACACACACCAATCCTATGATATAATAATATATATAGGTTGATATTGACCTTAATGATCCAGAGGTAGGAAAAGCAGCTGTAAAAATACAGGCTGGTTTTAAAACTTTTATGGCTAGCAAAAATAAAAATAAAACTGAGCCATCAAAGGAACAGCAGCAACAACAACAAAGTTCCAAAACAAGTAGCGATAAAAAACCTAATTCCAATGATTGTGGTGGCAATGGTGATGACGATGACAAGTCAAAAGCAATTGACGAAGCGTTAGTAAGTAAGGAGTAATGATTTTATATCATTTTTTTCCAAGAAAATTTTTATAGCCGTTTACAATAATGAAAAAAAACTTTGTTTCTTTTTCTACCAAAATAAAAATAAAAATAAAAAACCAGGCGGAAATTGACCTAAATGATCCGGATGTAGAACGTGCAGCACAAAAAATTCAATCATCATATCGTGGATTTCAACAGAATCGTAAATCAAAAACAATGACTACCGAAACCACGTTTGAAAAGAAAACATAGTATTTTTTTCAACAAAAAAAAAAAACAAAACAAAACAAAAAAAATTTCACTTTTAAAAATTTTCAATTAAATATACAACAATACACACCCACACGCACTTCTATATTTAATTATAGCAGACACTATTATATTATATTATTATACTTCATCATTCTTTTTAACTAATTTCACCTATGCGATGCGCACAATCAAGCCAAAGCAAAAAAAAAAAATAATTATATACATTATTTTAATTTACATTCTTCTTCATCATCTTTAACCTATATATATATTCTTTGAAATCAAGACATCATAAATACCCATGAAAACTGTGGTATTTAATATGAAAATGCTTTTTTGACAATCTAAATACATACAACACACACACACACAGTAGACCACCGAATATACATATGAATGAATTCAATTTTTTTTTTTTGATGATTATAAACCCGTAGCAAACTTTTCATACATTGACAACAATAACAACAACAGTCACTTGAAAAAAATGGAAAAATTTTCCTTTCTTCTAAGGGCCCTAGGTTCTCTCTCTCTTTCTTGATATATTTGTAGAAACATGTAGGAAAAAAATGTAGAATAAAAAAAATTCCATAAATTCATTGATGCAATAAACACACACACATACACATTTACAAAGCACACAACAGATTTTCAGAATACGATTAAACAAAAAATCAAACGACCGACGGAATAAATGAATGAATGAATCACAGGTTTTTCATTTTAGATTCGCTTGATTCACACATTAGCAACGAATAGAAAACCTTTGAAATTTTTTTTTTCTTAAGAAAAAACGAAAGTTTTTTTTCTTCACACACACACACACATGGTATCATAAAAGCCTTATCATAAATCAAGAGTCAAAAAAGAAAAAAAAACAACAACAACAACAATTTCCTCGCCTCTATTCTCTATTGATTGAAACCTGGAATAATTTCATCATCATCAACAACAACAACATTCATTGAAAATAAGAAACTAAAAAGGAAAGTAAATACTATATCACATTTGCTGTATATTATGTCTTGTGTGTGTGTGTGTGTGTATTAATGATGTTGTTGATGATAATGAAATGCAATTTTGCAAAAAAAAAAATAAATAAATTCCTTATTCTTGGCCTTTCGTTTCTCTTTGTTCTAATTCAATTTCAGATCTCCTTGTTGTGTCCAACAACAACAACAACAACAACAAGGGGTAGTAAGAAAAAGTTTTTTAACGAATAGTGATTTCAAAACAATTTTCTCAAAGTCGTTGCTGTGTTATGCTATTGTTAGGATTTAGTAGCCGTTGTCGTTGTTCTATAGTCATCATAAATTCATCAACGTCAAATGTGAAAAATTTCTTCTTCCTCTTCTTTTTTTTTCTTGTTCTTTTTTTCTGTTCTTAGCTATCGTTTTGGTCGAACTACCAAAATAAATTTTCATCATCATCAGTTAGAAAAAAAATGATGCCAATGTTTGGATAATAACAACGCAAGGCAACGATATTTTCACCATCCGGTTCGATTGTCCCGTCGTGAATATATCAATTTTTTTGTTATTATTTGGTGGTCGAAGAATCAAATAAATATAAAAAAGAAAAAAAAACAAACCAACCGGAAAATTGAAAAAAATAACATTCACTCTGTCCCTCCAAACAACCAACACACGCACAGTGTGTAATAATAATTTTTCTTCATGAAGAAAAATTTTAGTTCTCGAAAAAAAAGTTTCTAAATTGTTTTTTTCCCTTTTCATTCTTTATTAATTCATTTGTCTTGTCTTTTATAACAACATTACCATCACAACTAACTAATCCACCATCAAGAAAAATTCTCCCTATGGCCCTGATGATGATGATGATAATGATGAATGGATGAATCCAACATTTCTGATGGAATCAATATTATTAATATATAATATTATCATGTCCTTATGGATGGCCGGATTCTGTGGATTCTTTCAGACAAATCAACCATGAACAAAACATTGAGATGAAAATTAGAATAAGAAAAAAAAGATGTCAAAATGACACCCTGTATATGTCATTAATTAGTATCAAAGAAGAAACAAACAAACATTTGTTTTTTTTCTCCATTATGATGATGATGATTATGGGCAATAATTTCATTTAGTCAATGCATATTTTATTTTATTCCACTGAATTCTATTCACGGATTTTTCCATTGGGATTCGTATCGAATGGGAATAGATGTATATGAATGTTTTGTACCAACTTATTCAGTTCATAATGAGATTCAGGCAAAAAATTCCAATCCAAAAACTAAAGGAATTAATAATTACCACAAAAAAAAACTTATGTGAATATAATTTTTCGATGAATTATTCAATTTATTTGATTAGCTATATGTGTATGTGTATATGTGTTTGTACCAAATTCAATGTAAAAAAAACCATAATAAACCAAGATGATTTTGGAGATAACTCCATACTCTGTTGAAGTGTACGAAAAAAGACTTGATTAAATCAAAATTGGAATCCGAATATAATCTTCTTCGAATGGTGAAATGAAAAATGGTGATATAATGGCTGTATATGTGATGATGATGATTAACCATTTGGCATTCGATAATGTCGTTGATGATGTTGCTGATGAAAATTGTATCTGTGATTCAGGTTTCATCGTATAAATAATCATATCTGGATCAATTATTGTTGATGTATCGATTAATGATGATTCTTTTCGATAATCATTATCATCATCGTTATCGAATGTTTTATGAACATTGCCAATATGTGCATGTATTAATTCACGTTTATTATTGACATTATGCTCGATTGATTCGATCATACCGTTGATGTTGCTATCGGTGCTGTCAGTACTGCTACTGCTACTTTTATCCGAATTGAATGATTCGGGCCATTCTCTACTTTCCGGATGAACTGGTGGCAATAGTGGTGATTGATGATGATGATGATGGCCGAGCAATGGTTGATCAATTGAATTCAAATGATGATTTTCATTATCGATCGTAATTTTTGTTTTCGAATCGATTGATTCAATAGACGCCATCTTTGATGATGGTGATGAGCATTCAATTTGGCTAACCAAACAATGAAACAAAGAAAATTGAAAATCGATTTTTTTGGGTAAACAGTAAAGATTTTTTTTTCTAATTAAATTTTGTTTGTCCCAAGATACACAAACATACCTATCAAAATTATCGGTATAATGTTGACAACGTGAAATCAGAAAACTCATTGAATGATCCATTAGATTTTTAGCTTTACGGCCACATTCTTCCAATAATGGACGATTTACGCATCGTTTGAATTGAGCATAAGTGCTATTTTTGTGAAAAAATCAAATTGAAATGAAAAACAAATTTAATTAAAATGACAAGAAGTATCTGAATCGCACACAGATTTTGAAATCAAAAAAAAAATTACCAGCAGATATGTTCATCTTTGGCCATTGGATTGGCAATATTATTCACTAGATGTTGATACGGTACGCCACAATGATCCATTGATATTTGTTTAAAACAATTTGCCCTTGCTAAATATTCTGTTTGATATAATTTAGAACTACAAATTGCATGTACAGTATCGATAGAATTCTCAACGGATTTATGAAATAATTGTCGACGATTCTCTTCGAAACAATGGCTTATATAACGTCGTATGCAATCAACAAAACGGCTCCACATTCTATTAACAAATTAGATAAAAACAAAAATAAATAATCAAATGTCAATGGGAAACAACAACAACAACAACAAAAAAACAATAACAATAATTTGTTTATCTATGAAACGACTATGTGAAAAAGAAAAACAATTTCAATTCAATGAAACGGAAAATAGAAACAGGAAAATGATACTCATATATACAATATATATACTAACTTGCACATTTCATTTACATGTTCCAAACTAGTTGGAAACATGTATTGTGGATCATTAAGATATGGATATATATTATCCGTACAATTTGATTGTTGTTGACGACATTCAATTGTTAATGTTGGATTCGTTGTTGTTTGTTGATATTGATTTGAATATTGATCGGCGGCAACACATAGATTAATTAATATAATTATTATACCAAATGAACACAAATGGAATAATAATTTAATAATCATTGTTATAATGATCATTTTCATTTCTTTTTGTTTTCTTTCTTGATTTGAATTTGTTGATTTATTTTTTTTTTTTTAATTCATTCAAATGACATCTCACATTATCAAAATGTTTTCTTATTTTTTTTTTGATTCAATTCAATTAATTATTATTTGTTTGTTTTGTTTGTCTTGATGGTCATCATTATTATCATTCTCATCAGCATCGTCGTCGTCTTCATCATGATCATAACTGAAATGATCAATGTTTGCCATCATCATCATTGCTGCTATAACTATGATGAAGATGATAATGATGATGGTTGCGCTTTGATGATCATTGACAACATAAATTACAAATAAATAATGATTATAACAACCAGTGGTGGACATTTACAAGAAAAAAAATGTGTCACATATAAGCTCTATTGTTATTTGAAAATATGAAATCAAATCTTCATCATCCTTTTTTCTGATAATTGACGAATGTGTATATATATCCTTGAAAAAACAACAACAGAGAATAAATTCCAAATTATGAATTCGCATACACACACACACACGAACACATCTTCATATGAATGCATGTTCGTGAAGCGGAAGAAAATTTTCAGTAAAATTCATTCATTCATTAAAATACAAAAAACATGTCACATATTGTGTGATTACCATATTGGTCAGTGTTTTTGAAATTTTTTTTTTCATCGGTTAATGATATTATTATCATCATCATCATGATAATTCAATTCATTCGTGTGGTGACTAATTCGATACATCTCTTTCTTTCTTTGGTGGTAATGGAATTGCCACAAAAAATCAAAAACACACACACACACACACAAGGTGATTTTGGTCATTTCATTCCTTTTTTTTTGTAATAAATTTACTAATGAATAGCTTCATTCATCCATTGTCTAGCGCATATTTATAGCTTGGATGTCAATCAAAAGAAATTTTTGTTTTATTTTATGGATGCAAACATTTTTTGTTTCTTTGTTCGTTTGTCATGTAAATCCTGACACATTCATTTCTTCCGCATCCAATGTTTCATTGAAGGCTGGTTGAATGAGTTTCAATTTTGTCATGTTTTGTTGTTGTTGTTCACTATTCAATTAAAATGGATCATTTTATAAAACCAGTTTCCACCCAATTTAGGATTCATTCATTTTCAAGAGAAAAAGAAAGAGGCAACAAAAAAAACCACAACCCTGATCAGATAAAATTGACAAAAATAATTATTGTTGTTGTTGTTGTTCAATCCGGAAACACACGATGTTCACACATGTCTATATCGATATGTTTATCATCAATCATCGTTTGAAAGAGGAATAAAGTTTAATTCCTGTAAAACTGATTGAATGAATTTTTTCAATTTTGAAAAGTTCCATCCACATTATCCTAAGATTCTGGTAGCCAAAAAAAAATGATTGATTACTTCTAAAGGGAGATGAATATTTTACATTTGTTCACCCACTTTACACACACACACACATCAACCCGCCCAGAATTAATCAATTGATTACTGTGTGTGGAGGGGCTTTACTTCTTATTTTAGATGATTAATATTTTTCATTGATAAAATATTCTTAAAGAATTGAAATGAACCGAATAAAAAATGATTTCGAACAAATATGTCACATATATTGATGATTGGTGTGTTTGCGTGTTTGCGTTTGCATAAAAACTCTGAGTCATCATTCAATGAATGATGATTATGTTCCATCATCATCATGATTATTATGATTATAATCATCATGATGGAACAAAATCAATTTTTATTTTTATTTTCTAAACAAAATGATTAATTTTTTTTATATTTCTTTTTTTTATTATTATTTTCCAAATCGATATAATCGATCGTTTCGTCCGACAGCTTGTTCCCTAAATTAATGAATGTTCCTTTTAGTTATTCTATTTTTAGTAATTCAGAAAAAAAGTAATAAAAACTTTCTTTTTTTTCATTTTCGCCGAATACACATAACAACAACAAAATCATTGATTTTAAAAAAAATTTTCTATCGAATCGATTATTATTATTATCATCGTTAAATTTCGTTGGAAATGTGACCTATTGCCCTTTATTTTATTGATAATTCATTCATTTTATTCACATTTATTTAATCGCGACCATTTTTCTAGGGCATATGTTTTACACAAAATGTGAGTGGTGTTTTCTTTGAAAATACTCTTTTCGGAAGTAGATAAATTCATTATTTCGATTGAAGATTTAATAAAATAAAATTGAAATTGAGTGATGTTCATATGTAATGTTCCAACAAAAAAAAAATAACGTCAGAATAGAATTTATTAATCATCCAAAAAAAGAGAGAAATTATTTGAATTTGTAAAGATCTTGAAGAATAGATAATTTTTGTTTGTTTGTTTCCAATAAATGTGTGTGTGTAGGATTTAAAGATTGTTGTTGATATTCTTATTTTTGTTTCATTCTCCGTTGGTTGTTTGTTGAAGTTCGATTTGTTTCCTTTGCCCCGTTTGTGGAAATTTTGTTAATATTTCTATTACTATTATTATTGTTACTACTGATGCTACTACGATTATTACTTGAAGAATTTTCATGATTATTATTTTTCGAAACATTCAAATCATCATTATTATCTTCATCATCTGAATATTCGTCCATTGAACTAACCGATCTTGTTGTAATTGATCTTCGTGATAATTTATTCGATTTTGGGCCATTTCTTGATCGTTTTGTGGTCGATACATATCGATTCATTGAATGTGATGATCCAGTTGTATTCAAATAATCGTCTTCTTCGGAAAAACCAGAAAATCCAGTATTCATACCATGAGGTAATGATGAATCATCACCGAGACGATGTTCCGGACTAGAGTTCGAAGGTGATGGTGATGGTGATAAGGCACGTTTTATTCGACCTGTCGATTGATTCCATATTGTATTCTATATTTGAGAACAAAAAAATGAATAAATAAATAAAAAACAAAACAAATTCAACTAACCAGTGTTCCATCCGGTCCAAATAGTTCGATAAAACTATTGATAAATTCAATCGATTTATCCTCCCATTTTTGTATGAATTCATGTCGTTTTTGGCCCAAATTTTCGACCAACATTTTTCCTTTATCTTTTAATTCATCCATTTTGTTTTGTAATAAAAATTTTTTTTCCTAAAAAAACATAAATGGACAACATTTATTGATGTGATAAACAGAATTTATTCATTCGAAAAAAACTTACATTCAAAAATGAAACATTCAACTCTTTAGCTGTGTAACCACGTGCCAGATTACGTCGTACATAAACATCATAATCACGTACAATACGTGCAACAAGATCAGATGTAGAGATACCTTCCGTACGTTTTGTGGCAAGAAACATTCCACGTTCTTTAATAATAGTATACACGTCATCCGAATCATTCGATGTATATGGTATATCATCATGTGCCACAAAATCAATTTTATGTTCGGATAAAAATTCATCTGTCAATATCCATGGTGCATCACGGACAACTTCATCCACATAACGACAATGTCGTACCGCTTCATAACGTTCGGTTTCATTCATTACTGTTTTACCTTTGAATTTATTAGTTAAATAATCACCATTCACTATAATAATAAAATCAATGGAAAAATTCAAAAGAAAAATCAAATTATATTATGAACATATAAATAATAGGGATTAACAAACCGCCAACAATAAGATAGACATTTGGAAATGCACTTTTAGCTTGCATCAATTGTCTAGCATGACCAGCATGGAATAGATCATAAATACCATCGGCATAGATACGAATTTTACGATCCGACGGTATATGACCAGCTCGTGCAGAATCCAATGTAATACGTATAGAATAATCACAACGTGATAATTCAGCTAACGATTCTGGATCGCCAGCAATGGCAGCCGGTTTTATTGACATTTATTTGTTCAACGAGATAAAAGAAAATTTAAAACAAAAAGTCGAATCGAAGTTTTTTCTTTGTTATATTATTCGAAATTTTTGAGTACAAATTAATGTAAATTATATAAAAATTAGCCAGTAACACACTACATAACCATAAATCACACCATTTACACACAAACACAAGCACAATAATATTGAAAAATGATGATGATCAAATAAAACTATCAATTAAACATTATCGATGATGACGTTGCTGTTGTTCAATATTTTTTTCAATTTAATTCGATAAGAAAATAAAATTTTTTTCGATCGATTTTTCTTGATTAGTTCAACATAAATTATCACAATGCTGAAGATACGATTTCAACACACACACACACACACACATACAAAACAATTTTGTTGTTTATCTGGTTCAAAATCCAAAGGTTTTTTCTCACATGCAAACAAAACAGAAAACAAAAATTTTCAACTTCAAAATGGTGGTGCGTAGTTGGTGTGTGTGTGTTTTTCATTCAATTTTTTTAATCGAGATGAAATTTGGAAACCAAGTTTCACGACAACGTCGTACTACTATTTCCTCTTTTCGTTTTTTTTTGTTGAGAGATTTAACGTTTTCGATGCTTTTTCTTGAAAACTTCCTGAATGACTAATTGTATGGCGTGTACAACCAACAAAACATTCACACGTTGATGAATTGTATGATTGAGTAGAAAAGAATTTATACGGGAATTAATTTGTTTTCAATGAAATAAAATAATGAACAATGATTGGCATTTTTTCTTCTGTTCGCTTGTTTGTTTGAGAGGTGAAATTTATTATTACAAAAATTCGATTCTTTATTCACTCACGACACGTTTAACATACATACACACACAACCATCGAATTGAATTATTGAGCAATTTTTTCCCTGTATTTTGGCAAAGAAAAAAATGTTTCATTTACATTTTAAATGTGATTTCATATCTTTGATGATTTAATCGATACTTACCCGAAATGAATTGGATTATTTTCAAAATCCTAATTACAATATCGATGGATAGATGGATGAACCTTGAAATTATCTTTGACAAACACTCACACAAATGCAGAAGCAAACACAGACACAGTTAAATAACCATTTAAACAACAATGAATTCAATCCGAAAAGAAAAAAATTAACACAAATAATTCCAGTTCTAATCCCATCCAAAAAAAAACAAATGATGATTCATTCAACCAAAAAATTAAAATAACACTGAAACCAGCTGACTTATGGATGATAAAAAAATAAGAAAAAAGGGTAAATATCGACAACGACAACAATCAAATATTTTGTTTAGATTTTATCTGGGCGGAGCCTATATTTGTATCATACAACAAGAAAGAATTTCACGTGATCATTTTATTTGTATGCACCAAATTAATCGGAGCTGACATTGATCATGTTTTTGTTGTTATAGCAATATTATTATCCTTTTTGTTTTGTGAGTCGTCATTTTTTTTTGTTGTAATCCAATCATTTTACAAGTTGTCGACACACCTGATTGTGATAAATTTTGTGGATATTTTAAAATTATCATCATATTAATAATTGTCCGAAAATGATGAACAATAACACCAACAATGGCCAACAAGCAAACAATGATTATGTCTATCGAACAGCTGAATATATGCCACCACCGATTTATAATGATGTTACACCATTGATTGCCGATAATCGTACATCTAGTGGTCGAAATATTTTAACTATAAGACCCGAATATATCTATGTATTTCCTAGTGTAGGTTCAAGACGTCGTCGTTTAATAAATCTTTTCCTATACATTGTTATGATTATTCTATTGGCCGGTCTTTTTGTCATGTTTATGTCTATGTTTATAACATATTCACAAGATTTTAAATACTTACTGTTTGTACGTCGATGGCCACCAACCGTTTGTCGTGATCATAATGTTTGCCGTCCAGATTCTAAACAATTTGAACGTTGGGTTATTCATGGTCTTTGGCCAGAAAATGCCGACAATACTTGGGATCAATTCTGTTCTAATCAACCGTTAAATCAAACAGTATTGAATCCAATACATGAACGTATGTTAAACATATGGCCAAATTTATTACAAGGTAAAACGGAAAATTCTCTTTGGAAACATGAATGGCGTAAACATGGAACTTGTGCAAAAATGACACAATTTGAATATTTTAATCAAACGCTCAATCTATATGAGGAATTTGATTTGGATCGAGCTTTAATTGAAGCTAATATCGTGCCACGATCAGATAGAAAATATTCTCGTGAACTATTCGAACACGCATTACATGAATCAATCAATAGGAAAGATTTTCAATTAAATGATCCTCGAAATTATATTCTTAATTGTAAAGAACATGAAAATGATTCATATTTAGAAGAGATTTGGCTTTGTGTCTCATTTCATCGTCCAGATCAACCATCATATTGTACAATGGAATCATCATGTCCGAATAGTTTTTATTATACCGGATTCTAAAAAAGTGTCCATTGATTCAATTTTTTATTGATTCTTAATCGACAATTTGATTTATAAAACAATTTGAGAAAATATTTTATATGAATTATAATAATGGATAAAAAATTGTCATTACATCATCATCATTTAATCCAATCATTTTTTTAAATTGATTTAATTGAAAAATATTCGACATTTCCTTTTGTCATATAATATATCTTATCTATTTTCAGAAAAAAAATCTAATAAAACCATACTTGATATATTAAAGGTCGATCACTGTTCAATATTTGAAATATGACATTCCAATCGGTTGAGTAAGTTTATATATTGATGATAGTAGATCGATTACATTACGATTGATTGATTGATTTGAATGCTACAAGCCAATAAGAACAACAACAAAAAGAAATCATCATCAGTTTTAAACATTTAAATCTAGAACAATAATCACAAAATGTAGAGTTGATTATTATATATCAACCAACCACAATTACCATGGTTGCAACAAAAAAATTATAGTAAAAACAACGATTGTTTAATTGGTTTTGATCCATTTTCATTGCAATCGGATTATTATTAGTATCTTAGTATCTTGAATGCTGATAATCCACTAGTAACACCAAACACACACACACACACTCATTTATCAATGAGATCAAAAAAAAATTTCTGTAACCAATAGAATCTATGGATGAAACATTAAAATTATTTGTATTTTAGTGCTGTAAAATTGAACGGGAAAAATTGCTGTTGGTTTTTTTTTTAATTATTATAACCATATATACGGTGTTAAAGGAATAAAACATTATTGTATATTGATCATTATAATTATCTTCATCGAGTGTTCACCAAAGTTTTTCTGCATTTTAAATCTATGTAAAAATTTAATTTTTTTTAACCTAAAAAATCATCATTTTGAATCTCAGAACTTGTTGTTGTTTGTTTTGCCACCAAGAAATAATAATTTCCTTTATACAACGATGCCTAGTTATAGTTTGAATGATATATGTTGTCCACCATCATATAACGGTGAATCTAGACGTGCACGTTGGTTTTTTCTCGGTCTATTCGTATTCATTGGTTTTATGATTATATTCATTTTGATTGGTTTAGCTGCTGGATTATGGAAACATGCACCTGAACAGGATCATTATTTAATACTTTCACGACAATGGCCAATTACCGTATGTATAGCACGGCAATGTGATGAAAAATATCGTGATCAACAAGAATGGTTGATAAACGGGTTACAATCACGTATTGCCGGTGAAAAACCATTAAAGAATTGTGAACATGAAGAAAATGATTTCAAACCGGAATCTGTGAAAGATGAAAAAGATTATTTTGCAACAAGATGGCCAAATTTGGATCCATTACCTCACACACTCACAATTAAGGAACCGACGGAAAAACCGACTACAACTGCAACTTCCACAGTAAAGACCACTACTGTGAGTATTAGTAGTAGTACAACAAAAAAACCTGATGATAAACCTGATGATGATAAACACAATGAAAAACAATGGTCAAAAGAATGGAAACAATATGGTACCTGTTATGATGGAAAACAAGCCGATTATTTTCAAACCATTATGGAATTAGATAAAACATATTTATTAAAAGAAGCAAAAATTTCGGAAAAAATAATACCAAACACAACGGCATTGATCGAATTGAATACATTGGCCAAAACATTGGCTGAATATTTCAATAAAAAAAATGAACAAAAATGGGATGAGTCAATGTTTGAATTTGTATGTAAACTGGTTATAAATACAAATAAAAATGATGATGATGATGATGCTGAACAAGGACAACATTTATATCTACTTGAAGAGATACGTATGTGTTTCGGTGTCATGACCACTGATGATGGTGACAAGAAAAAACAAGTGCATAAACCGATCGAATGTTTTGATCGTTCATCATATGGCATTGAATCGCCATACGGTTGTTTTGGTCAACAATCGGTCAGATATCCAAATGCATTTTAAAATCATTTTAAAAAATTCATTGATTATTTTTTTTTGTTGCTTTGTTTTTATTTATTTTTTATTTTTTTTTTAATTTATTCAATTTATTCTTGTTTTTCTTTCTAAATTCGCCATAATCAATCTATTATCTTCTTCTTCTTCTTCTTCTTCTACTTGATCTTTATATTTTTCTGTTAAATAATCTGTAGAATTATCATATATCTAATTTAAAGAAATAAAAAAAAAGTTTTAATTTAATAGTCAATTTCATCATGAAAAATGTATCTAAAAAACATACAATTTAAACATCAAAAAATCATTTATTTTTTGATTAGATGTAATCGCCAAAAAAAAATTTGTACGATTTATTTTATTGTTAATAACGGATGGTGATCATAATGTCATTGTAAATTTGTTGCACTTTATAAAAATGTAGATCGTCCAAGCAAATCGTCATTGTTTTATTTTTCACCACAAATAATCGTTGGTCGTTTTATATTTTTTTGGCTGATTTTTGATTGAATTGAAAAATCGAACGATGAATTTGAAAATTGTAGCATTTACTACCATCGCTGTTATCATTATTAATCTTGGTATTGGTATATGGTACGGTTTTTATAAACAATCTAATAATAGTATTGAGATACGTTCCATCAATGCTAAAGTGAATTATTATAATGTTTTATCCATTAATTGGCCATTTACCGTTTGTGTGAATGCAACAAAATCATGTATTAGACCGTTACCGAATCGTTGGACCATTCATGGTCTTTGGCCAAATGGACTTGATAATTCAATGATTTTCGATTGTACATCAGAAAAATATGACTCAAATCAGATACGAATGTTGAAAACACGTATGGATGAACAGTGGTTATCGGTTAAAAAATCTGGTAATGATGCTTTTTGGAAACATGAATGGCAAAAACATGGAACCTGTGCAACTGGCTATAGCCAATATGACTATTTCAATAAAACATTGTCATTATTTGAACGTTATGATGTGAATCGAATGCTGAAAAACAATGGCATAAATTATGGTAGCCTAATCAATGTGGCTGATATTCGTCGTGCACTTGAAGCCAGTGGTCTACGGTCCGATATGTTTGTGATACAATGTAAAAATTCCTATAAACAACCATATCTATTCGAGATTCGAATGTGTTTTACAGCCGATCTAAAACCTATGACCTGTGCTATAAAAAGTAATTGTAAAAAACCACAAGTTTTTTATGTGATGAAATAATTCGATTCAATTGTTTTCAATTGGACAATTTTATTGATGATAATTATAATTTCAACTAAATAGACCTCTAAAATTTTTCAAATATATTTTTCTATATCGACTTAGTCGGTTCGTCAATAAACACAAATAATTCAACGTTGCATATATACGCCGATATATTGCGAGTGGTAAAGAGATGTGATTTTTTTTTCATTCAATTTAATTTTTTTGTATTTTCAATAATTTTCCTCATTCAATTGATTTTTTAATGAAATACATCTGAATTTTTGTACCCAATTTTCTCTTGTTTGTCTGTGTTTGTGTGTATATAATTGACCTAGTTTGTTGTGAAGGGTGAACACTAAACGAACATAAATATTCAACAAGGTCAACAAACCTGGTGTTTTTTTGTACATTTGAATTTCAAAAACTTCATTTTTTTTTATTTGAAAATGTTATCCGATACACAAAAAATTGGCCTTGGTCTTTCCGGTTTTGGTATCGCATTCCTTATGCTGGGAACATTAATGTTATTCGATAAAGGTTTATTGGCCGTCGGTAATCTTCTATTCATATCTGGTCTTGCATTCATCATTGGTCTTGAACGCACATTTTGGTTCTTTTTTCAACGCCACAAATGGAAAGCATCGACATCATTTTTTTCCGGCATTATAATCGTTTTATTTGGTTGGCCAATCATCGGCATGATACTCGAATCATATGGATTTTTACTATTATTCCGTGGATTTATTCCGGCTACAATTGCATTCCTATCACGTGTGCCTGTCGTTGGTTTTATACTTAATATGCCCATCATACGAACCATTGTGAATGCATTAAGCTCACAGACTGGACGTAATAATGTTTAATACGATATCATTTATATCAAATTAAATATATTGTCATATAAATTTCATATATTATATGCCAGAGACTTGATGGATCGGATACCAGTCAAAACACCACTTCGAAGGACCATCGAATCAATCAACATTCGTTTGTTTGTTGTTGCTTGTAGAATTCACATTGTCATTTCATTTCTAGCCGATTTTTTTTCTTAAAAAACCCATGTAAATATTTATTTATTGAAAAATAAAAAAAAACTTTCATTAAATCTTAATCAAACGTATAGATAGTTTATATCATTGATCACCATGATCTAAACGTTCGAATTTTTCCATCAAATCGTCGGGAATTTCCAGCTCACGAAGATTATCTACATTGATTTCATCCTCTTTTTTAATAATAACATCAATCAATCGCATTAATACCTCTCTAAGATCTTCTCGTTGTTCCCATCGATAGTATTCACGAAGATGATAATAAATATTTGTCGAACGAATTATTTCACGACCATATTTAGTCGAACAAAATTGATGTATAGCTTCGATTAGTAAACGACGAATATCTGCATTTAGTTCACGTTGTTTATCATCAGGCAGATATTGTAGATCCAATGGTAATGATTCCATTTCTTCATCAGTAAGTACTTCACCACCAGCTAATGGCATGACTAAACGTACAAGTAATTCAGGATCTTCTTCAGAAATTATTCGTTCATGGTAACGATAATCTATACAACAATTTCGTATTAATTCAATGATCGATAATCGCAATTCGATATGATCATTGGTATCTTCTTGATGATAATCATAGATTATCATTAATGAATGTAAAACTTTTCCATCAATTAATCGATTACGAATTTCTTCACATTGACAAAGATTATTTAGATATGCAACCATTAATGGACGTGATTTCTGACATTCTTTAGATTGAAATTTTGTCTGAAATCCAGAAATAAATTTGTCCAAGGGAAATGGGTTTAGAACATTCGTAACTAGTGATTGAACAAATGAAATGTGGCGAGTAAAATTGACAAGAATTCCTAGATGACGATCAAGATCTGTAATCTGCTCATTGGTTATATGATCGTTTAGATGATGAAGAAAATCCGTTTCGCTCATTACAGCTTGAGATATTTGTTCAGAAGTTTGTTTATCACTGTCCATCGTAGAAGCTGCAGCCGAACTTATAATTAGCACACAGTCCAATGAAAATCGAATTAAATCATTTGAATTCGATTCATCTTCATTATGAGACTTTTTTCTTTCCGGATCATTGCAATCATTTGTTTCTAACGAACAAATCGTTTTGCAAAGCCAGTGAACCAATGGAACAATTTTGGCACTATTACGACGAATGAATTTTTCCCGCTTTTCCAGATCATCATTTGCCATGATCGCTATTTAAATTTGATAAATTGTATTCGATTGTACACATACTACAAACAATTGATTAAACTAACCTTTTATCAGGACTTCGAATGTTGAATTCATTTTTAAATTGATAATTTATAATCAATCAATTAATGGATCAGCAAATTTCATATATACACAAATCTCCACATAAATAAAACCTCGTGGATTGCAACAGTATCATTGTACTAGCAACGTATGAACTTTTGATAAAAAAAATTATGAAAATAATTTTCGTATTTTTAATTTATTATCAATCTACGTATTAATAACTTGAAAATATTAACTTTATATAATTTTCATATCGCTTATTATAGGAAAAAATAATATACATGGTTATATTGTTAAGAATATTTTTGCTTAATTTCGACGTCGATTCGGAAATGAAAGAAATGTGACTTGAGGTATATATTGTGTCAGATATTGGAGATTAATTCCGGCTTCGAGGATTCATTTAGTATGAAGATTGATTGAACAGTTGTTTGTTTCATATATGAACATATAACACATGGGACAAAAATAAGAAAAAAATTGGAGATCGTCATAGTTGTATTGATAATTTGTACAGGCTAAGGTCTACGTTGAATATTTGAATTGGGCATCACTTGTGTTACCGGACTTGAATTCAGATGAAAAGCTGAATGATTGAAACTATTATTTGATGAAAACATTAAAGAAGTCGTTGATAATGGGCGGGAATATTTTTGTTTCACTATCAATTTTCCTTGATCATCACAAGATAAGGCAAAATCGTAAAGAACTTCACGTATCCGATTTACGATTCTATTTTAAAAATTAACGAAAAACATTTTGTTTATATATAGACAAAAATCTAATAACTTACATATTTGTCTGTATGACTCGTTGATGAATACCGAAAACAAACAGAGCGATTAGAATCACACAATTAATAGTGAAAAAATAATGTTTGGCAAGTGATTGAATAAATGTCAATTCTTCAACATGAATAAGCTCATGATGTTCGACTAATGTCTGACTATCATCCGATATCGATATCATTGAATTTTTTGACTGAAAATGTTTATCATGATTACTGGATGGATTCATTGAATCTTGTAGCCAAAAATATGAACTAATTGCAGTGGATGTAAGGCTAATAGCCAAAACGATACGCCATAAACGTTCGCGTGGTTTTTGTTGCAATATCGTTTCCATAAGTCGACGTTCGAAAGCTTTTAAATCTAAAAAAAGATACAATAGTTATCTTAAAAAACGGCATGTAAATTAAACACAAACACAGAATCAAACCATTGCATTGTATTGTTGGATTCAATTCGATAGTTGAAGTTGTCATCTGATTCGAAGTTAGTGTTGACATGTTTTTTTTGTTGGTTATTTGACTGTTAATTTTTTTTAATAAATATTTTGATTTCTATTTTATTTTATCCACAATTAAATATCACAATTGTAGGGAATAATAATAAAAAATACTAATAAATATTTATTTTGTCGAAATTGTTTAAATATAATTTACCAATCTCCTCCAAGCGAAAAGAGAACCAATAATTCGTATAGAATTTGTAAAAAAAACGAGCGGCTCACTTCAACGTATACACCCACAAATATTATCGAGTGCCAAATTAATACGTTGCATTATGAAAAAATTCGTACCAATTGTTCAAGCTCGGATGGAAATCCCGTTATTGGACAGCGATGATTTTTGTTTAGATAAGAATGAATACAAGTATAACAGAATACATAACCACTGGATGTAAGGGCAGTTTCATTTTGTCGTTTAAGGCCACAAATCGGACATAGATCCTATATGTATATTCAGAGCAAAAATATTATAAAAATTATTGAAGATAAATAATGTCATTGAATAGAGAAAAATCTCACCGATGACATAGAATGATTTCGACTAAGATTTTTATTATCCGAAATGGGTGGTGGTAAATCCGGTGAATGTTGAAAGTTAAACATTTGCCTTAAATCGGTACGTGTATTCCAATAATCAAGAAATTGTATAGCAAAAGCACCGGAACGAAAAGTTAGACTAAAAATACTGCTCATCAAGTATGAAAGTTTGGATAGAAAATTAGTGGCAGGAATTTCATCTTTGAACATTGAATGTACAAGTTTCATACGGCCAGCAGTGGCGGGCCAAAAGAAAACAAACGAAGGACAATGTGGATAATGGTCACCATCGGTTGCATATGATAGCCAAACAAACAGACGTATTAATTGCACAAATTTTCGGACGAATGGATAATAATGAAGAATGATTTTGTGTTGACCATTATTCAAATCTTTAGTCAACATATGATGTTCGTGAATTTTTTCGTAATAATTATCCAATTTTTCCATTGCATATGGCATCAGGCAAAGCTGTAAAAGAGATTTCAACATATCAGATTGCTGGCCAAATGGCGATCGTTTTAGTGAAAAATAATGTTCGGTAAACGATGCCTGCCATCGATGAAGATATGACCACTGCAAAATCAGATCGAATAGTAGAAAATATTCATCAAAATTTCTTTCCAAACTATGAAATTTTAAATCATTCGATGAAAGAAACTATTTTATGAAAAGAAAAATTCGTTTGAAAATAAATTTTGAAAAAATTTTTGCAACACATACTCTAATCATAAATTTTAATGCTCGTCGTATGGATCGACGAAGAATATCTTCGGACCAAATGATAAAGATAGACGGACGATTTGAAATTATTCCGGACATTTCAACTTTCTAATGAATGACTATTTAGTTATGTCAAAAATATCACTCAACAAGTGATGAACGATGATTCAAGCAAAAGAAAAATATCGATTAATCGCGATATTGAAGAGCGCGCGAAATTCAATAGAAAATAATGAAATAAGCTTTAATGAATAACAATAGACCTGATTAGAGAGAAAAAAATACAAAGGCTACAATGATAATATATGTGTGGTAAGCTATTATAAAGAATAATCAATATAATAGAGATCAAGATGAATGAATGGTCTTGTTAGCAGCAACAGATTTGTTGTTGGTATTATAACGAAATTTGTGAAACAAAAATCCCAAATCAAATTCATTGTATGAACTTTTATCCAGATAATATTGTACGGTACGTCGCAGACGATTAAATAGATCACCATATTCTTTTTTGAGTTTATTTCGACGAGCTATAATTAAAATGAAAAAATAAAAATTACATTAAGATCAACCAACATTGAGTAAGTTTACTCACAATTCCATTCATATTCATCCGGAAGTGAAAGCAGATTAAATCGTTGTATAGTGCGATCAAAATCAAATATACGATGAAAAAATGTAAGCTGTTCATAGAGGAAATGTTCAGAATCCTAAGAAAAAGAGAATTTTGTCAAAATTTTTTCAAAAAACTTTTATAACAAACCTTTGGCTGAAGATTTCCGTTACCACATCGTGGACAAACAATGTGTTTTTGTGTAGTCAAACCGGATAGGTAACGAGTCCGATGTGAACAGCCACGATCATCACAATGCATCCATCGTTGACCGAATCTTTGACTTACATGATAATCTATTTGTCGCCTTAATTCTAGATCGAAATAAAATTCAACGAATTTTGTATCAAATCTTCGATGACAATTTAAACAACCGGCCAATGTTAATTCAAATAGACTATCTGATTTATAATTTTTCAACACTTCTTTCAGATCTAATCCACGAATTTTTCGATCTGACCATAAACGGAATAGATCGCGAATTTCCAAAGATTTACCACAATTGTCAAAGGGACAACGAAGAAATAATGAATCATAGCAATCATATTTTTCATCACCACAAGCAACAGAAAAAGTTGGATCCATTTCTTTTCGCGATTGATGATCACCAGATACACCACGATCAACATGACGATGGTAATTAATACCAAGAAATTCGGCCAATATAACGGCATCAGTACCATCAAGTGGTTCACATATACGCGAAACGATTGGAAATACTTGTTGACTAAGGTAATAATCAATATCAATATGAAACGGAGTTTTCTCTTGATTCTCCTTCTTTGAATCTTCCTGCTTAACAAGTTTTTGTCGAACCTCATCCAAATGATATCCACGTTGTGTGGGCGAATTTTTCGTACCATCCACACAAATGATAAATGGGACCGTATCACCTGAGCCCAATTTTTTTCCTTTTCGTAACAAGAAAAAAATTTTGATCAAATAATTTAAGATCAAATTAGACTTACCTAAATTCAATTGATTATATCGAAGGGCAACCATAACATGTGTTAAATTTTTGCCTTGTTCACCATATTCTTCGGGTCGTTTGGCCAACGCTTTATTTATAACAAACAATTCCAATTCCAATTGTCCACTACGAATTTGTTCAGCCAATTGTTTTATATATTGATGAATTTGATCGGCAATCAATTCGGAATTTTGATCAGGTTTAAGAATATGATCCAAAACTGCTTCACCGGCCATTTTAGCTAATGATGACCAATCACGTCGAATAATATCTAGACCTTTGATTTCGCGTTCATATTGCAATTCTGATTGATTACTCGAACGTGGTGGAATGACCGTCAAAGCGGCATATTTTTTTTTCTTCAACAACAACATCGATCGAAACACGCCATCAATATCGATTTCAAGCCGCCGATATAGTTTATTAACTTCGGCTTGGATTTTACGTCCGATTTCACGAACTTCTTCATATTTGGTACAAGACGTCAATATCATTATAGAATCTGTATCACCATAGATAACTTCAAAACCCATTTTTTCGACCATTTCTTTTGTATGTAAAAGAATTTCACGGCCTTTTAGTGTTACCATTGAAGCCAAATGTTTAGCATAAAAACGTGAACGGCCATAACCCAAACAACCATACATTGAATTTGCTGTAATTTTCAATGCTTTTTGTTTAATGTCCAATTGTGACCGTTGATCGTTTGAAATGGCTGGATCGATTAATTGTCGTTTAACTTCACGTCTAGATTCGACTAATTTACGAATTTCGACCGGTAGTACACCTTCAACATCTTTTTCGATGGACGATTCCAAGTCAATTAAATTATCATCATTTTTCGAAAGACGACGGATTGTTGTGAAACAAATATTATATTCTTGTATAATCGATGGATAAAGTGAATTGAAATCCATCAATAGAATGAAACGATCATAAAAGCCTATTTTTGGTTCTAAAACCAAACCACCGGTATATGATGATTTTTTATTATCGGCCCATTTATCATCCGTTTCTGTTGTTTGTTTCGTCTCCTCTTGTTTAACTATTTGTTGTTGTTTGTTTTCTGATTTTGATGTTGTTCGATCTGCTTTATCCGGCACAATATAACCACGTTGATTAAATGCATGTAACAATAAATATTCATTACGTTCGGATCGGCCACCAAGCAATGTTCGTGATAGCAAATTTCCAGCAATATTAGTTATTTGCTTACAAAGTGGTAGGCAATTCAATTCATATGCAATGGACAATATGAGATCATTATCTTTCATAAGAAATTCGATTAAACGAATAAGACGAGTTGAATCTTCATAATATTGTGGCAATCGATGTGGTTCTATCTCAAAACGACCTTTTCGTAATAATTGACTTGACAATTCAGTAAGGTCATAACTTTTAGCACGTGTCAATAGTTCACGGCTCATTAATTTTACATCACATACCAAACGACCATGTAGAAGATGTTTATCTTTATTCGTTGATCGATTTGTTGCAGGTATACCTGAACATTTAAGCCGCCCTAATTTGGACCATTGTAATGGAATTTTATGATGACCAAATCTTTGCAATAGAATATCATAATCAAAGTTATAGATATCATGGCCAATTATTATATCAGGATCGATTTGTTGAAATTTAGCCATGAAATAAGTCAGCAATTCTCGTTCATTCATCATGATTTCAACTCTGGTTTTTCCATAGTCTTTTAGAGCCATTTTATGATTGAAATCAACAGGAAGATCTTTACCATTTCGGCCACCCAATTTGGTGATAATACAAAAATGATGATCAAATTTTTTCTGTTTTTGTGGTTGATTATTCTGTTCAAAATTGAATTGACGATTCACTAGACAACTAATGGCTACAATTTCGGTCGTTTTAGTTTCTACGTGGACAAATGTTTTGAAACAAAGACTAAGTAGAGTAAAATCAGGTGTTGCCGGTAGAGTGGTTCCTTCCAGAACCGATAACTGATCTTTTGGTTTAGATATGGCCAATTCCAACTTACACCAGCTGACTGGTTGTTCGGTAATTTCAGGATTTTTTATCAACAACCATCCTGGACCCATTAGGTTTTTATCAAGAATAAAATTCTCAAGAATTGAAGCTTGCGTACCAAAAACATGTCGATACGTATTTCCTTGAGCAAATTTCGTCGGAAAAGGCGGATAAGAGGCAGGATATAGGATTTCCAAATATTCAGCTTCATCAGGAATCTGATCCAATTCGAATGCATATCTTTTGATTACTTTACGAGAACGGAATTGTCGCAATTTTAATTGTGGTGCAATTTGTTGTTCAAATTCTTCACGTACATCGTCCATTTGAACACGACGAGCTCGATCTTCACGAAAATATTCCCGTGGTAAAATGAATATTCGTCGTTCAAGATTTTTTACTTGCAAACAACAACTAACATGTTGTTTGTGTGAAGAATCAGCATAAATTTTACCAAACAGAAAAATTCTATCTGAATGAGAATTCGGATCATGGAATGCATCGAACCAATAGAATTTCAATAACTTATTTTGATCCTGATCGAATTCGAATTGTATATCTTTTGGTAAGATGTAATGTGGTGTAGTTTTCGTCACAGTTGATGTTTCATTCGAATCAGCTACATCAACATTACTATTCGAAACGATCCATTCTTCTTCTGGAAATTTTTCCACTTTCAATTTCATTGAAATCTGATTTGAAGAATCGATATCATCAAAATCATCGCTATTATGATCAGGAAGCGTGAAATCCGAATCATTCAAGGAAAAATCGTCCAATGGTTCTTGTTTGATCGAAATCTTAATGTTTGCATCATCAATTGTTTGCTGTTGGTTTCTATAAATTTCATCTTTATCGATGATTTGATCGAAATCCAAATCCGTATTAATATTCGAACGACGTTTAAACGGTGGTAAAAACTGTTGTAAAGTAGATTGACCAATTTTCGATGATTCAAATGTTTTCCGTTTTTTTGCACTATTTGGTGTTCCGATGCCAGTTTGTTTACGCTGCAATTTCAGTGGTTGAAAACTGTTTCCAGCTACCAATGGAAATTTGGATGTCGATGTGATAGAATCGACCAGATTATCAATCTCAGTATTATCGATACGAACTTCATTCAAAGATTTTTTCACGGGTGCCAAAGAGACGGCCATAGGTGAGTGTTTAGGCTTCGTATTTTTCCATTTATTGAACATGTTTCGAATATCTCCTTTTTTATCTTCTTTACATTCTTTCGAACCATTTCCTTGTAATTTGTATTTATTTCGTATTTTTGTGCGATCACTATTATTACCAGATTCAGCATCATCCTCAAATGAATCATATTCATCATCGAATATTTCACGGCCATGTTCAGCATAACCACCCCCATCATCATCAACAATCCAATCATCACGTTGACGTTTTGAAACCAATTGGGCATATGATTCTTCATCCACCTCTTCATAGACACAGGCTTCTTCCAGATTAACTAGACGATTTTTTTGGCCAGAATTTTTCAACGAACGAAGTCGTTCCAATGCTTCTTGTTTTTTAGCTGCTTGACGGCTTAATGCTCGCTTTGATCGTCCTAGTGATGGATTTCATATATCAATCACACGTGAGTCGAATAAATTTCAACAATAAAATAAAATTATACTTACTAGTATCAGAATCCATAGCATCCATAGCAAATATATTAAGTCGATATGTTCACAATTTTCAACATCGAACAAAAATCAAAGAAAAAGCGCCAATATTACGTTGAGACTCGAAATAAAAAAAAAAAAATGAACAATTTGATATTACCATTCATAAACAACGGGACATGGTGAATTTATTTTTTTATTTTTTAATTATTTTTTAAAAAATTCTAATTTTAAACAAATTTTTATTATTCATAAAAAATCAAAATTTCGATTTTTCACATAAAACTAGATAACCAGAATTCCGAGTGAGTAAAATGATATTTTGTCTTTAGGATGCCCGACCGATTCCCGTACGGATCAATTCGCTGAAATGATTAGGAATTTTGTTTGAAAATTTAAATAAAAAACATTCATTATGCATACCAAAATTCTTTCGAAATATCTTCGTTGTTATTAATACGTTTTCCATGGCCGTTAATTGATGATGATTGCCATTGATTAAGTCGCATCAATTGCTTCTTTTCAAGTTCATAAAGCAGAAATCGATATCGTAATGATGCTTGATTTAAATCTCGAGTAAACTGGAATGCTTGATTATAATCATGATCATGAGTGAGAACAATCTCTTCAATACGATCAACATAATCTAAAAATCGCTTGAATGCCATAATTCGTCGTGTTTCATTAGCCGAATTCCAAGATGATATACGTCCATTTCGACCTTGAAAACGTTGTTGTTTTTGCCGAGATATGGACGACAATTTTTCCCCGTTTTGAGCCATTGATTCTTTAAGATTTAAATCATTGGATTTCAACAACTTCCTACGTTTACGTTTTGGTTGATGTAATTCAGATTGGTCAGAGCTAGTTGGAAATATTACCGGGTATGTTTGATTATCCATAATTTCTGGTTTTTGTTCCACATCTTTTTGTATCATTTCAGGTAGAATATTTTGGCCATGGTTATCATCATGTTCAGACGATAAAGATTTCTTCAACAATGATTCATATTGAATTTTATTTTTGATGATACGCATCACTGTATTTGGATGCATTGAATATCGCTCTGCAAGAATGACGGCCGTATCACCATTTTGATGATCACGAAGTAATTTTAATTTAACATCCAAACGTATAGTTTTGGCACGTCCCATCTTTGAAATTGAGTTAATGACAATAACAACAACGAAAAACGACAGTGTTAATCGATTTCCTGGAACATTGGATTGTTTTCTGTTCGAATGGAATTTCCCAAAAACATTACCAGAATAGTTTGCTCAATTCAATGAAAATCATACTGTTTAGATTCGTATTCCCTTGCTATATAGAACTAATGTAACGGTGAAATTTTTTTCAAAAAAAAAAAATTTATTGCCAAATAATCAAATGATCAGAAAAAAAATGTCTAAATAAACATTGCACACGCCTAATCAAAATTCTCTAGATAAGAAAAAATTTGAAAACATTCTAATATTACGAATTCGAATCCAATGAAATAGATCTTTTCGATCGATGATTATCATTGGAATCGATACTACCGTTTTCATTACAATTATTATTCGATTTGTCTGAACGAAAAAGACGATCAACATAATTATTAGCAGTATTCAACATTGTTTCCGTAAATTCTAAAGCATATGAATTTAATGGTGATGATAGCCGTTTAGAAATGATACGGATATGTTTAAGATGATCGAAAATTTCATTAATCGAAATGACAAGTTCTTCATCCAATGAATGATAACCATTATTACTACCTGAATCAATCCATTCTGGTAGTGATATTAGATTCGAAACTATAGATTGTCTGTTGACCACTTCAGTTTGAGCTTTATTTTCAAACATAATCTCAGGATTCGAATTTGGAATCATCATAGAGAAATTAAGAGAAGAAGAATGAGGTCGCTGATCAATTGAATCATCAATGTTGGAATGATGATCAATGGTGCCACTAGCATTTGGTTGAATCGCTATTGAATCAGTATCTTCATCGTCATCATCTTCAATGATGTCAAATTCATCATCAATATGGTGATTACGATATTCATCAGAATTATGATTATTACTACCACTACCACCACCGGCGGTATCAGTGTTCAATGATGACATTGATAATTTCAAATCATTTCTTTTAGCAATACAACGGCTAACACTACGTGAAGAAACACCAAAACGTTCGGCAATTTTACGCATTGACCAGCCCACACCACCACCACCATTATCAATGCAGCCGGTAATTTGATCACGATTTTCCCATGCTTTAATTATCTTCAATTTCATTTCATATGGAATTTTTCGTATTCTTATCTGTTGTATTGAAGATTGGCTCTGTCGTTTTTGTTGTTGATCATCATCATTATCATTATCATCACTCGAACTTGCCGATTCTGATTTCAATAATTTAGTCAATCGTTTACGTTTCAATGAATGTTGATGATCGTTCGATGAATCATTTTTTCGTTGTATTATACGATGAATTCGTTTATCATGTTGTTGTTTATTGGATAAATTTAATCGATAATCCATACCATTATCATCATCTTGACTTTCAGTAATTTCAAATTCAAATCTTGAACGATTTCTTATAAAATATAAAACCGTTGAAATTGGCATCTGATATTCTTCAGCAATACGTTTTGTTGCTTTACCGTGATCATATTCATTCAATATGGATATTTTCTGTTTCAACGTATATTTCATCCGATGTGACATTGTTTTTGATCAGTTTATTAACTAATAAACTCAAAAAAAAATATCCATATGAATAAATTCTCTAATAACAATAACAACTGATATAGACGAAATGTTTTTTGGATTACTCACGCGCGTAAGCCGCATCAATTTTTTGTTGTTGTTGTTGTTCCTGGAACAATAACATAGCGCAATGCTTTAACATAAAAAAATATTGGTTTTTTTTTATTTAAGGAAAAAAGGATTAAAGTTTAATTATTATTATAATAATAAAAAGAAAAATCTTAATTTAAAACTTGTATTCAAATGTTAAATTCAATGTAATGTTTGTGTGTGTGTGTGTGTTATTGTTGTTGAAACAATTTGTTTATTTGATTATATGTTTAGGTAATGAATGGGTGTTTTTTCCTCATATTGTCAAAAATGGCATCATGACTATCGATATAAAGTGAACACAAAAAGTGGCGTTGATGTGTGTGTGTGTGTGTGTGCGTGTTTGTGTGTATTATATGAATCGGAAATAAGTTTTGTTCCAAAAAAAAGGAAAGTACAAAAAGTTTGATTCAATTTCGTGGTTTACGTGGTGGACGACCACGACGAGCTACAGCTGGCTCTTTGACTATTTCTTCTTCATCTTGGGCAACTACTTCAGCTTCCTGTTGTTGTTGCTTTTTTTTACCACGAAGTTTACGATTTTCAGTCTGTGTATCACCAGCAACAATTACATCAACGGCGCTATTTTTCGCTTCTTTTCGTAAACGTCTCAGACCTTTTGCGTTTGATGATTGTTGTTGTTGTTCCGGTTGTTCATTAACGGAAGTAGAAGCTGTTTCGGTTTCATCATGTTCAACAATAGCATTATTACGTTTAGGTCGTTTGTTCGATTTTTCTTGTAATTGTGGTTGTTGAGCCTCTTCAACTTTTTCATTCGATTCTTTTACAGCTTTTAACACTGCAGCCTTTTGTGTTTTACCAACAGCCATTTTTTGATTTTTACGTTTGGTAATTTTTACTTCTTTTTCATCATTTGCAGCCGTAGCTACATTTTCCGATAATGCATCATTACCACCATTAGTTTCATCATCGTCACCATTCATTGCATCATTACTGGCTTGTATCGGTTTTGGTGTTATTTGTTCCAACGGAACATTCATTGCATCATCATATTCACCAGTATTTAATTTTTGTAGAAAATTTACAGCCAAATTACGGTCAATAACTTCAGTGTTGCCAAATTTTTTCAACCATTTATCATGAAAATCTTGTACTTTCAATGATGGATCGGCACGCCAATTAATTTCGATAGCAATCAATTGTTTTCGTTTAAAATTGACAAAATTTGATTGAGACATGATTAATTTTTTGATGAAAAAGCAAAATAATGATTTTTTAATAATCTGGTTTTTTCAAAGTTTTGAAAAAAAAAAAAAAAAAAATTAACAAACAATAAGAAATTTTCACTCGATAAGAATGACGACTATAGTATTACAAATGCAATCACTTTTCTACAATCACACAAACACACACGTAAAACTGCATACACAAATCGAACAAATAAAGGCGCCACTTGGACCGTTTTATTTTATCCCATTCGCTGTGAGTGTATTCATTCATTAACAATGTAATTGCTTTAAAATTTAATTTAAGAATTCAATTTAGAAACACGAAAAAAAAGATTTTCTTTTTTTATTTTCAAATTTAATTTGTAAATGTAAAAAATGTTGTCGTATCCAAATCAATTTGTAATCGACGACGATGACCACTAATTATCGATGATGAGGATTGACCACCGCTACCAACCCCATTTGAACAAATAGAAATGGATGACATATTCACCAATGAACGAGTTAATTTCTTTTCATTTGGTTCCTGTTGTTGTTGAATACAGTTTTCATTTCGTATGAATAGAATATTATCATTATCAACATTATCATTTGCATTTGTTCTATGGTTTTTCGTTATATCAAATTTGGATGCATTTTCTAACGTTATAACAGATGCTGGATGTTTCTGTTTTTGTTGTTGTTGGTCTTGTTGATTTGGATTCATATGATTAGCCTGAAATATAGCCGAACAAGTTTCATTCGAATTGATCAAATTGGTCACCGGATTTGGATAGGACACTTTACGAATCCGTTTCTCAACAGCTGGTGGTTGACAAATGAAACGATCGATAATTCTTTCACCATGAATCGATGATAAACGATTTATTGTACGTGAACTTTGTAATATAATATATGCTAGTTGATCAACACGATCACCGATTTCATCATTATTATCATCATCATTACAATCGCTACTTATGCGGCAACGATATCCCCCATAATATGGATTTGTTAGCTTATATTTCTGTGCCGTAGTCATTGATCTAGTGGTCATTTTTAGAATAGAGGCAAACAAAAAACAATTCAATTTCAAAACTCAGAATACAAATTTTTTTTCTCTTTCAAATATTTCTTTATTCAACATGAATGGAAAAAACAAAGTTTTTATACCAAAAAAAAAATATGTACATTAGATAATTAAATTATTAAAAAATCATTGATTTTATATATGTTGTTTATGTTTTCATTTCATTTTAACATGAATAAAGTTTTTCCACAAGAAAATCACCCAATTTTGTTTGAATCAAATTCATTGATGATTGTAATGATTGAAATTTAATTCTTAGATCAATCTTGATATCTTGAAGATTTTGTTCTTGTTTCAATTGATTCATAAATTGTTCCAAATAGTAACGAAATCGTCCAATGATTTTTAAATCATCAATAAGCATATCTAATTCCAATTCGGATGGATTTCGTCGAAATATTCGTTGATATTCATGCGATAATCGTAGACAAAGACTTTGTTTGACAAAACATTTGTCATAATCAGCTTGTTGATCAATAAAAATATCATCGAAATTGAATTGATGAATACGAATTGTTTGAAGATAACAATCGAATAAGATTGTTATCATATCACAATAATAGGATAATAATTGATCAAGATCCATTTGGAAATTTCGAGATAATTCCTCAAACAATGGCAGATGATTAGACATTTTTTTCGATTCGATTTTCGAAATAAATTCACTTAAATTTTCATTCATTTCATTGTCATTCGATTGTTGGTCGATGATACAGTTGATCATTGTTTCGGGTGAATAACCATCTTTTGATTCAATGTATAGCAGATGACGGCCACCATTTTCCAATAATAATCGAATCGATTCTCTATTACCGCTAATTATGGCATAATGTAAGGCTGTATAGCCATTTTCTTTCGCTACAGCTATCTCATAATTTAATGGATTATTCGAACGATTACTTATATCAATTAATGTTTGGAGACATTTGTAATGTTTATAACGGATACAATCAATCATTGGTGTATGGCCATTACGATCCTGTTGATTTGGTTGTGTTTGATCGAAAAATTTTTCAATAGCATCCGTATCATTCTGCCGACAAGCCATGTGTAAGGCATTACCGCCATAGCTAGTTTTACGTGTTAGATACCTTAGATTTTTAAGCATAATAAAGAAATTTAAAATTTTTTTTAAAGTTTTACAACCCATACATATACACACAAAGCTACTTACATTTGATATGATAGCTGATTATCACCCGCATCATTTTCATCGTGATCAATGAATGATGATTTTATTACATCTTTAAATCGTTCAATTTTTTCTCGGATTTCATCCTGATATGAACCAATTCGTTTACGTTGCATCATTCTAAAATGTGTGACTCGAAATTCATCTAGATCGCCGGTTAGAAATGCAGTTACAAGTAGCCGTAATGTGATACGTGTCTTTCGAAGTCGATTACCATTATTCTGACCGAGTATCATTGGCAGCGTATGCTTGAGATCGGCAAACAAATGGTTCATTATTTGCAGTATAAATTGAACATTAAACCATGGTAGCGACCGGAATTCTTTGGACAAAAATCGTAAGATAGTAAAATCTTCATTCAATTTGCATCGTTCGATTTGACACCAAAGATCGGCAGCAACAAGATTACGGTTAGATGTTACAGATAAATATGGTCGTACATTACCCGAACCCATACGCAATGATTCGGCTATTATGAACAACATTTTATTGATTGATTGAATGAAAGTATTCGATTGTCGTAACTGATCGATCGATGTTTGAATTGATGTATTGATTTTAGCAAATGTTCGAAAGGATTTAGCCACTAGGAATAGGAAATATCTAACTATGCTGGACATGTATTCCGGATATTTATTATTTGACCATAACATTCGAACCAATAACGGACGATCTTGGCCTTGGATATCGTTATGAAAATCAAAAGAAGCATGTAAGAATCTTTCAAAATCAATGGCCAAAAATTCGATGATAATTTTAAATAATCGTACAGAAACATTGATAGCATTTAATCTTTGATTTCTGTAATTTTTCTTAGCTTTTTTCTCAGTCTTTACTGTTGTTATTAATTGATGTTGAACGCTGCCAAAACAATCGTTAATGAATTCAATTAAATCAAATAGATAGCTATGATCATTATTGGAAATGACTGTTGAAATGTTAACTCTTGAATCTGATTTAAACAAATTGAGTAAATTCATTCTTGTCCAATTCATTCGTGAACGATCAAGTTTATCGAATACTTGTTCAACAACATGACAATATTGATGAGCGATTTCAGTGCTAGAATCTAAACTTTCATCGAATGATAGTTTTGAATATAAATTAAGAAAATCGCAAAGAAAATCGACAATTTTGGGCTGTGGATGTCGCAAATAATCCAATGATGAACCGACCGTATTGATCAATAGTTCATGCTTGTTTCGAATGTTTTGTATTGAAATGAAAAATAATTCATTGATTTTATCCAAATCGACATCATTATAAAAATGGTCAATAATGATATTCGAAACTAATGATGATGGTGGTGATAAATTCAGATAGGTAAATTGACCAAATTGTAGCGAGTTTTGTGTTAGCTGTGAAAAAGATATCTGACTTTGAAAAGATTGATTACCGAATGAAATATCGGACATGTCAAACGATTGGCTTCGATTTAACGATGAAAAGTCATTGTTTTCAAACTTCATTTCGTCATCATCATCATCATCATCATCATCGCTTGTATCAATATGTTTCAAATGAATTATTTTCCGTTTTAAGGGTGATTTTAATTTCTGCAATCGACTACTTCTACGAGGTTGTTCCAATGACGCTGATACCATATTCGATGAATTTGTAACATCCATTTTTGTGTAATGAATGTACAATATAAATCAAAATTATGAATAAAATTGATGGCACAATTTCAAATTGAAAACAATGGTTCAACATCAAATGAATGAGAGAGGACAACGCACGCACACACAAACACACGGTGGTTACCATTCATTAACAACGTATGGAAAAAAATTCGAATTAAAAAAATTTTCTTTTTATTCAATTATCATTCCTTAGATTTTAAGGGCTTAGAAGATGATGAAGAGAAAGAAGAAAAAAATTTATCCCGAAGTAAATTGACAAGCACTGGCCATGTATAAGAACAGATGCAAATTTCATCTTTTGAATGTTGTTTCTGGTGTAATGATTTCGATTTCGATGATAATGATAATGTTGATGTTCGTTGTTGTTGTTGTTGTTGTTGTCGAGAGATTTCAATAGCTGTTTGTTGTTGACCAAGTTCACGTTTCGGTTGACGACGTCTATCGAGAAAACCTGGACAGAAACATCGTATCAATGAAAATATTAATGCACAGATGAATACGAATAGTATATAACGTGATACAAGTGAATATTCTGTTTTGATCAACATCACCGAGAATAGCTGTAAAATCATCAACACCAGACCAATATGTACATAATTTATGGCCGTTAAATGAATTTGTGAATTAATTTTTGTCGGAACATAAACATGATAAATGTTGTAACGATCAACCAAATGTTTTCCGGTCATGTATGCTAGGCCACAAGGAACGATCAATGGTGATGCAAAACTAAATATAATGGTCATTGTAAATATGAGTAGAAATTGTGAATAGAAAACGCCTAATGGAAATTCTTGTGAAACCATCATACGAGCCGTTTTATATTCGGCAGGTGAACGTATGAATACCAAATAGTAGAACATATAGATATAAGCATCTGTTATACGTAACAATTCAATAAGATTGCCCAATATGGCTGCATGAATTATGTAGATCAGAAAGAATGCTCCATTATCAACAGGGAATAGACATTGCCAATGAAATGATTTTGATGATGAATGTGATTGTTCCATCTCTGGTACATTACTTATGATCGTTGTATTCACACCAAAAATACTGTCCAACATGGCGTTCATCCTATGTGTAGTGTTTTTGAAAAAAAAAATATGAAATTGTTAAATCAGTTGTTCAAAGCAAAAAAAATTAGAAAATATTTTTACGTTAAAAATCCTGCCGAAGGTAATATGATGATTGTAAGGACCATGAAAGAATACAGATGTGTCATGATGGCATAATTCAGACCAGAAATGGTTTGATATGGTATCATTTCAAGAACATGTTGTACGATAGTTGGCATCGATGATACCAACATGACCATGAGCATTGGATTTAAATAGTCGACTAAAAGTGATATTGGTCCTAGGATATTCTGATCATGTAAATGCTTTAAAGCATAAAGATCCAATAATTTAAATACATAAGTTGGTGTCGAAAGGAAAAAAAATATTATGAATAAGATGAATGTACAAAGACATTTCCATGCCCATTTTCGTTTCGTTTCAACGCCAAGATTTCTCCAATTGATATCATCCGGTCTGGGTGCCGGATAATGACATCGGTCATGAATGAGTCGAGTCAGATCCGTTTCAATGTGATCCATTAGATTTGGACTACCTATTCGACGTTTGGACATATTTGAACGGCGTTTGATGCGTTTATAGACGCTCGATGCAATCTGTTCGGATTCAAATTCGACAAAAATACCACGTATAGATTGATTTTGGAGTTTCGTTAGATTTTGTAGTTCGTAATTAATTTCTCGTCGAAAATTGGCTAATTCTTTGCTATAGAATTCTTTTGGTGAATCAGTTGAAACGGACATGCAGCAACAAATTTGTCCATAGGGACATATTTGAATTTTATTCTGAGTTACATTACTCACTGTACTTTGTAACCATTGCAATGCAAGCCATGAACGATGATATTTTTGCTGTAGATCATTCAAGCGACGATTATCCATTATAAGTTGAATACCATTAAGTTTCGCAAATGGGTATGAATGATTCAAATTTGATCGTAATCGTTCTAATATATCGAATTTATTCGGTTGATGATGAGATGATTCTGGTTCATCGGATATTTTGGATAGGGCAAAAACAGATTGATTATTCAACGGAATTTTTTCAGATTGTCGCAGCGAAGATAACTGATTTAATGATGGTCGTATTAGAAGAATTTTCTGCTGTTGATCTTCATCAAATGCGAAAGCTTCTTTCACGTCATTTTGATCCAAACTTAATTGACATGGTAGCCGTAATTCTTGCGCAAAACGATTCATCAAAAATAATGCGATTAAAACGACAATAACCGATAGATTTGCATGAAACCAACAAAGCCATGAACCATGTGGTAGATTATTCATCGATGTACAAGCAAATCCATTACAATCTGTGGAAAAAAATTATGCCATTAATCGCAAATTAATAATTATGATGATGATGATGTGATTAAAACTCACTTGAATTACTGTAAATATTTACAGGAAGTATCACAAAAATCGAAATTATAGTCATAATTCCCAAAAGACAGATTAGATATTTTTGAAATAATAGATATTGATAAGCATCGATGCCACGTTCTTGTCGGATTCGTTCATCAGAAATGCCCATTGTCCAGAAATCATCACACTTTAAGTTAGAAAAAAAAGTGAAAACAATCAAAAACCATACAAATATCATAAAGCTAAAAATAGATTACCATTTTTCGCCATATAGAATTTTGTCGTAAAATTTTCGAACAAAGTGATGATTCATTCATTGTCATATCGGTTGTTTCGGAATCGAATGGAATCGACGTCGATTCATCACGATTCTTCCCAGTGAATCCAATCGTACAATCATTATCCGATCTATCACGTCTTGGACATTTTTCCGGTTCAAAATGTTTAGGTAGAAAAGCTGCAGTCGTAATGATGTTATTTGATTCCGAATTTTTAGATACATTTTGATCAGAATTATCATCATCATCTTTATCATCATTATCTAATTGTTGTAGATAAGTTTCTATTAGTTTTAATGTGTCCGAATTGATGATCAAATCGTTCGTATTATCCATATCATCATTGGTAACATCTTTTAGATTAAACAAATTATTTTTACCAAAATAATTTATCCATGAAAAACTGGAATATTCTTGATGCCAACCAAATGAACGTATTAATCGTGGAAGATAATAATACGGTATGAATAATATCTGATGATGTGAAAGAATTTGTATGGAAAAAAAAATGAAAATTAATATTCTGAGAAAAAGGGATGAGCGGCAGCTGGTTGAAACAGAAAAACAAAACACACACACACACACACACATACCAGCGCAAAAATCAAATCTATTATTATAGATTCGGGTATCGTTTCCCAGCCATCATCAATTTTAAGCATCGTTTGATTAGTACTGGCCAATGTATTACAAGTATAATTGGAATCAAAATTGATATTCATTAATAGAAGATTAATATGATGATGTGATGATTTGGTTGAATGGGTCATTTTTTCTTGGTTGCTAAACGTTAGTTTTTTTATTAAATAAAACAATAGAATCGAATAGCGAGAATTTTTTTTGAGCAACGCTTTTTAAACAGAATTTATTTGGAAATTAAATTATTTTCAATTTTTTAAAATTAAATTTTGTAACAATTTTCAATTATTTTTTCTTAATATGAGCTAACGACTGTATATTATTGCCGAATGTTCGGCGTTCAGGCCACCTGTATGATTGCTTCGATAGTCTAGAAGCTGCATATGGATTCATTTTATCACGAAACACTGCAGTCATTGCTGAGTAAATGGATGGTGATGTCTTTCGATATAATCGATCGTGAATGGAATTTGATTTCAGATCTACACTTAGATTAGGCATATGCGATGTTAATGATGGTAACCTTGAAATTCCTGATTTTGTTCCTGTCTTCATGGAATAGAGCTTATTTGTTGATGATGATGATCTTGATATATTCAAGGCTCGATTCATTGGTATCGAATTCGATGAAGATGTTTGTAACAATGATGTTTCGAAAATGTTCGGTTGATGATGATGATTCTGATTGGTAGGATGATGATGATGATGACGGGTCTTCAATGCCTGCGATTCTTCATGATTCCGGTAATAATTATTGCTCACCTGGCTAAACTGTTGTTGTTTTTGCCGTTTTTGGTAGCAAACATTGATGGTATTTTGTAATTCTATCGATCGTTTTATTCGTTCGTCTTCGATTGCTTTCAATTGACCAATACTTTGTCCACCATTATTCCATTGTCGGCTAAATTCCATAAATTGTTGACGAAGATATTGTTCAAACGATTTGAGTTGCGTTTGTTGAAATTGAACAATTTGTTTATGTTGACAATGTTCATTTACGTTTGGTGTGAAAATTGCCCGAACATTTGGAATTAATTGATCGGAAATTAGTTCTTTTTGGCAATTTGATCGTGAACATTTGGTACAGGCGATATTTTGTAATAATTGCTGTTGGTGACAATCATTACATAAAATTCGTGCACATGCACTTACATAATAGGATAAGTTTTGATTATCCGGTTCCAATTTTGATCGATAACAAACGGAACAATAAATTAATGCCGGATCAATCATTCTAAGTTTTCAAATTTACAAAATTTTTGCTAATCAAACACTTTAATTATTATAAATATAATAATAATAAAAAAAACATCCGAAACGTTCGAATTCCTGTTTGAATGACGGACGACTAATATCGATACATTTGAATCGATTAAATGAGAGAAAAGTTTTGTCCATAATATACACTTTATATTTTGAAATTTCAAAAAAAAAGACAATGAGGCAACAATTTAACACAATTCAATAAACCCAAACAGACACACACATACATAAAGATAACAATAACAAAAAAAAAATAACAATTAGTTTTATAATCAAAGCAAAAAAAAGGAAAAAAAACAATGGTCCCCATCATTAATATTAGTTAAAGATAGTAAGGTCGAATTTTAGGCTTTTCAGCTCAGAATCTGGCACGTAGTTTTCCAATACGCTTCTCCAATTGTTTAATCTCTTCTTTCAATTGTTTATATTGCTTAACATCAAATTGACGACTTTTAGCCAATTTCCAGAATTTCGATGCTATCATACGTTTTTCTACACCTGGTACAACATATTCTTCCGATGTTATTATATAATATGCAAATGATCTATTATTTGGGAAATAAAATTATTATGATAATAGTATTGTTATATATGATTCTTTTGAAAAAAAATTACCCAACCATAGTCGTATAGGTCATTATCCATGTAACCGGTTCCATTATATCCCAGGAATATTCAAAATAAGTTAATCGTCCAACGAAACCAAGTTGAGCACTAAGTAAAAATAGGCCACCAAATTTAAAACGTCGTCGTGATTCTTTTCTTGCTGAATCGATAAGTTCGGTAAATTCTTGTTGTAATGGTTGAAAACGTTCCAAAAGTGATTGATGTTCTTGCTGTAAGAACTGAAATAATATTAAGACATAAGAAAAAAATTAAAATTTGAATACTTGAAAAAATCAATAGTGACAAATGGAAATTAACATGAAAATTTCATACAAATGAATCAGATGAAGTAGTAAAAAAAAGCCAAAAATAGTATAGATCAACATATATAGATAGATAGAGGACGACAATTACAATAATTAGTTTTTTTCAAAAAGGTTTAGGTTTAGGTTCTGTGCAAAGGAACAAACTGGGGCGTGTACCTGAAATATAAATTTTCTAACCATAGTTTTTTTTCGACCATTTTCAAATCGCGAAAATGAGATCGATGATGGAGATCGATAATAATAATTATAATTGGAATAAAATTGTAACAATACACGTACCACCAATTCATTTTGTTCAAAAAGATTTGGATCAATGGTTTTAGATTTGAATAACATTGTCTGTGCATCCAATGGATTATGATGATGCCATTGTTCGAGATCGATTTTTAATTTCTGTGTTTTATCTATTAGCTTGAAATGAATCTTTAATGGTCGTTCAACATGTGGCCGATATCCATCTGGGCCGGTTGCTTGTATTGTGCCGGTACCAGTACCAAGAAAGTAGATTTCATCTAGATCACAGCCAAGTAATGCATAACCGAATGGCATTAGACGAGCTAATCGATATCTATGTTTAGCCGAAGATGATGCTGATGATCGAAATGTAGTTTGATTTTGATGATGACTAGATTCAGAATTAAAAGTGTTGGATTCAGTGTCGGTACTACTACTACTGCTTGTATTTTCGCTACTAGTACTAGTATCATCCATTTCATTATCCAAATGTTCGGCAACCATTTCAATACGGCCAAATTTTATATGATCAAATCGAAGTGGAAATGATTGACCACTATTACATTGTGTATCGAATTCAATGAGCAATTGATCAAGAAAATCATTATGTTCATCAACGAATGGAATAGTTGTTTGTGAACCAATATTCATACAATGTATAGCCGTTGCATGTGAAGCGGACACAAGTTCTTCCTGTAACATTTTTAATACTAATTCTATTGGTGACCAAAAATGAAATAAACATTCACGTGATGCGAAACGAACGGAAAAATAGCCATTTGAAAATGAGATAGATAATCGTATCGTAATGGTCAATGGTGGATTGGATGAAGAATGAGTACAGGATACTAAATCGTTTTCCGTTTTCGATGATGATAAAGTACTGTGGCCACGTACTAAATGATAATGTCGACGGAAATCAATGATTGAACACAGGTAGCTATTATTATTATTCATTAATGTTCGAATCTATTTTGACAAAAACGGAAACAGAATTGAATTAAGTGGTAAAATATTCTGTTCGAATGTTCATATTTACCGAACGTATATCAAATACGGTTGTCGTTGGTTTAAATTTCAAAGTATCACTAGAATAATTATAATTGTTTAAGAATGTCTGATGCGGTATGGAAAATTTTATAAATTGACTAGTTGAGCAATGTGAATTGGAAAATAATATTTGGTCATCACCATGATAATTGGATGGCCATTTCCTAAATTGGTTTTGATATTTTGATAACATTGATGATGATGATGATGATGATGATGACCAGATAATATTATCAATATTTCTAATGATAATATAACCTATATAACGATGATTTAATAGATTCATAATTAAAATTGAATTTTGTTGATTTTTTCTTTGTTGTGTTTCATCTCAAAAACGTTGATCATCTGGTCACATATGGCTTGTGTATGTGTGTATAAAACACACAGACTTCACTAATAATATCCGGTTCGATTTTCGTTGTTGTTATTTGTTTTAACATGATTCGACATGATGATATGCTAATTAGAAAAAAAAGTAAATAAAAAAAAAATGAAAAGGAAAAGCAAGACACAAAAAAAATCAATATAAAGAATTTCTGAAATTTTTTAAAAAAAATGATAATTGAAAAAGCATTTAATACAACAACCTTTTACATACAATCAAAGAAAAAACAAACAAACAGAACAAGACAGACGGAGACAACTCATCATCATCAACATTCGATAATGTCTAAAAAACATGATTGATGATGATGATGATGATGATGATGGAATGAAAACAACAAAACAAACAGAAAATATTTACTTTACTTTGGTGTGGTATATAATATAAAAATACTCGATTCAGTACTGGTTGTAGAATTAATCAGCAAAATTTTCTTCCATTCATAAGTAGTTCTTGATTAGAATTCAGTTTACCTGGTGCCCGGATCACTCTCTCTCTCGCTCTTTCTCTTTCTTTCTGTGTGTGTGTGTGTGTGTGTGTGTGTGTTTGCGTGTATCTCGTCTATTTATCCAGAAATGATTTACAGATTCATAATGGAACCAAAAAAAAATCAAATGATAGGATTCAACGAAGCATTGAAAATGGATTTTTTTCTACGAAAATTTCCATGGATGATGATGATGATGCTTCAGCATCAATGATGATTGTTTGTCTGCTAGTTCTGTTGAAGAAAAAAAAACAGCGATGAGTTTTGTCATTCCCAGTAGTAGTGTGTTTGAACAAACATCATCGTCATCATCAAAATTCCAAGAACGAAAAATTTTTTTCTCGAAACAAGGAGACTATTTGCAAGCATTACAAAAAAAAATGAAGGTTCTATTGAATAATGTATGGTATATTTTATGTTGGAACACACATTGACATTCTTGGATACCCAATTCATTCATTCATTCAAGTAAGCAAGCGAAAAAAGAATTGACAAACCAAAAAAAAACAGAAGGCCTGCTTACCAAATTGTATTCATACAAAAACAAAACAAGACACTAGGAACCAGAAATAAAAAGTTGGAATCACTGGAAAACAAAACAAATTAAATGAGAATTTTATGTGAAAGTTGTATAATCGAAACAGAATATTTGAATGTAGAAGGCTTTTTTTGTGTATGTTTTTTCCTTTTTTGGTTTTCTATTAAAAAGAGAGCTAGGAAAAAAATTTGGATCATCACAGAATAGAATAATAATAGTTGGGCGTGAGGGTAAAACGAAAACTTTTTTTATTGATAGAATTTAAATTTCGAAGAGAAAAACTACTATATATATAATTGAATGTTATGTTATGTATGAGAATTTTCTCATAAACCAACTGTAAACAAACAAAAAAAACCAACAACAACACAGACAAAGACATCGATGACGACCCGTTTATAATAATGTGTTTCTGTGGTTGAATATCATTCATTCATCGAAATAAAATAAAAAATAATTTACAAGGATTGGCGCGCGCGTCTTCGACGTGATATGATGATTTGGATTGTGTCTTCATTGTCAGTTGTGTCGGATTTTTCTTTTAATTTAAACATCATTATCATTATTGCACTTTTAAAATATATCATTTATATTACATTTACATTGAATAACCACAAAAGAAAAAAATTGATCATATCAATGATAACAAAAAAAAACATGTATAACATTCGATCATCATCATTTATATACAGTCATACATACTTTGATGAATAAAAAAAAACCACCGGTGAAATAATTTTGAAAATGATGCCTAAATTCTTTGATGTTAGATTCATCGAAAAAATTATTACATATCATTTAGATTGAACAAAATAAAAAAAAATGTCGACAATTTCAAATGTGTGATGGATTAGAATCAAATAAATTTTGGAGTTTCATTTTTGTAAGAAAAACATTCATATTAAAGTGTGTGTTTGGTGTTGAGTGATAACTGTATAATATATACAGTGTATATTATCAAAAATGTTTCCATGGCGTGTGTGTGTATATTGTGTTAATATATTTTTTTTCATTTTACAAGATTCAAGGATTCGAATAGGCGCCACAATTTATATGTGTTTACAACGGGATATATTCTTTCATTCTATCGATGTATGCTCCTACTACTTTTTAAATTCAAGTAGTTGCATAAATCCAATGTGCATCTCATGGTGTGGGTGTGTGAAAAAATGATGATAGCAGCATAATTAACAGTTACAGTTACAGTTACAGTGGATTAACGCATCAATCGTTTTAGACGATTTTGTCTCCATCTATAGTGAGGATAATGAATTTGATGAGAATTGATTCACAGAATAAAAAAAAACTATAGGTTCCAAATAAGTGTCTTTTTTTCTATCCATTGGAATTTTTTTTTTTGTAACATAATTGTCCTTGTGTTTATGGAATTGGATTTGGTTTTTTTTTAATATATAGTAATGATTCTCTCTTTCGTCCACATCTTTACCAAACAACATCCAATGATGATGATACCCGAATGTGATATTCGGAGCAAACTCCCGAGTATTATGTCTACTGTTCCAAGAAACGAACTTAACCGATGTTCCATACACACACACACACACACATACACAGAGATTGATTCTATAGTAAACGAAAAAAAAAAATTGTTCCAGTTAACCAAACTAAAGAACCTCATCATCAACATCATCATTTGTCTTCAATATCTCCTTCATTTTATTTTTATTATTGCTCATTGCTCATTTGGAAAATTTTGGAATTCATTTTTTTCTTGATTTGAAAAGCTAAATTATTTTTTGAATCTTAACAAAATAATATTCGAGACAATGATCAGTTGACTACTAAGATCAATAATAAATCACATATTTTTGGGATGGATATAATAACCGGTGTATTGGCCAGTGGTGCTGGTCTATATGATACAGATAATGATGGTGATAATCTTGGTGGTAATGGTGATGATGATGATCATCAAAATGGTAATGATGATATGGTTATGATGAATCATCATCATCATGATCCAACAACGATTATTCATCATAGACAAATGTATGGCCATCATCCACATTTAAATCCTGTCAATTCTAATCCTAATCATCATCACCATCATCATCATCAGCAATTGCCGTATCCTTCGGCATTATATCCGATTGATGGTGATACGAACAACAACAACAACTATAGTTATAATCTAATTGGATGTCCATATGCTTCACAATGTCCGCAACAACAACAACAACATCTTCATCACAATCATCCACCACCACCACCATCAACACAGACATCGCAACAGATTTTACCACAAAAATCATTATTGAAAAAATCATCAAAATTTGATTCTTCATCAATAACAACAGCGCCAATTATAAATGCTCATCATCATACACATTATCCACAACATAATCATCCACAACAACATTATCATGGCCCTTATCGGATACAACAACATCAACATCATAATCATCAGGTAATACCATCGATGATGTGTATGCTTCAACAACAACAACAACAACAATCGCAAAAAATACTGCCAATTGAAACAACAACAACCACTGCCAAACATTTACAGCAAATGAATCAAATACAAACATTGAATACAAAAACAACAAATAAATCATCAATACCGACTAAAAATCGAATAGGAGGATTATTAATGAGTCGATCTTGTGCCAAACATGTTGAAGTATTAAATTTTATATTAAAAGGTGGACCACCATGGGGTTTTCGTATTAAACAACGTAATGGAAATGTATTCATTAGTAAGGTATGATGTATTTGTTTATTTGAATGATGATTTGTTGATTTGTTTGCATTAATCGATTATATCGATTATATTTCGAAATGAATAACGATTATTATAAGATAATGTGTGTGTGTGTGTTCGAATCGAACGTAGCTGATTGATTGATTATTTCACTATCATCATCAATGGCATGAATTTTGTCAACTTTTTTTTCTCACCCACTTTTGATAATTTGTAATGCAAACATTTTTAAATGTTAATAATCGACATCATTCATTCATCATCTAATAAACATCTTTCCAAATGGAACTATTTATATCATGGCAAATATTTTGCCGTTATCTAGGTGGTGGAGATGGTGTTGTTGTTGATGATGAATCACAATCATTGATTCGAAAACAACAACAACACCAATCCTCTCACGGTAATGGACAAATATGTAAATATGTTGCATGTAACCATGCTAATGATGTTGATGATATGTTATGTCAATATTTATCGGTAAACATTATTTCAAGTGTCATACCTTTTAAAATATATGACAACCTTGTTTCTATTTATGATTAGAATATATATAAATTAATCACCTTTTTTCTCATTTTTTTCACATGGTTTTTTTTCGTAACGATTATCAGGTAAACTGTGGAGGACGTGGACATAAAGGTGGATTACGTGTCCATGATGAAATTATGGCTGGTATGTAATTTTTCCTAATAATAATAATTTGTATATTTTGTATAAGTTTTAAATTTCTTTTCTTTTCTCTTTTGCATCGAACACAAACAACAACCATTTAAATTTTATTGTAGTGAACAATTTTGAATTAGACAATCATCCATTGACATTACATCGACAGCCTACAGCATCAACATCATTAACAAATATCACGGCAACAAATGTAACAACAAATGCACAACAGGAACAACAAACATCAACAACCACTGGTTCTGTTGTTCATCATTTAGATCATGTTGGAACGGCTGGTTCCGTAACCTCATCGATGCCACGAACGCCAACAAATAATCAAAATGCTGATAATAATAATAACAACAACAATAACGGAACTAGTAATATTGTCAATAATAATCAAATAGAACAACAAACAGATGATTCATCAACCGGTGCTTTTACATTCGGTGGAATGGATGAATTAGAATTGACCAAGTTAGATTTTACCTATCAACTTATTAAACATACATTGAATCGACAGCTACAATTAACCGTACGACGATGGCATAGTGATTGGGAATTGGCACCATCAATATTTTTACCAATTTCTGCTGCATCAATTGGTCAACAATCATCTATTGGATCAACACGTAAAACAATAACCGGTGGTATATCAACACCGGCAATGTCTATGGTAGCCGAAGATAGTGAAGGTAAGTGCCACGAAAAAAAATGTTCACTTTTTCTGTTTGTCTGTCTATTCTCAGAGATTATTTAGCTTAATACTACTTACAAATTCAAATAAAAGTTAAACCCGATTCTATTTTTCACGCTGATATATATTGTTTGGTGTGACCTAAAAGTGTTTAATATTACATGTGAGGATATTGATAGACCCTAATAATATTTTTTTTATTGTTTTGTTATTCTAAGGCACGTGTCATGTTCATTAGTTCTATAAATGAGCATCTGGTCGATTGAATGTGTTCTGGTTATATGATCGTTGAGGTCATATTATATGTGAATGTGTAAAGATAGAGAGAAAGATCTAATAAATTATCTCGTCAAATTTTATGCAAACATCATATGTCCATGGCCATCTGGCCTTTTTCTGAAGATAGTCTGTGCGCACGTGTCTAAATGCACGAAAACTTGCATTGCACGATGGCATTCGAATAGGGTCGTCAAATGTTCTTTTTTTTCTCATTGTTGATTCAGGACAATTTTCTGAAATCATATCACATTGACATACACACACACACAATGAAAAAATTCATTGCCATTTTCAACATTACTCTTGCAATGATCACACCATATTACATACATTATTATGATGCTGATCGATAATCGTTAAAATGTTTTCTTATCTTATCTTGTTGTGTACTGAATGTTGATGATTATGAAAATTACAAGATTATTTTCATCTGTGATCGTTCCGTTCTCATCATTAGAATGTTATAAATGAAAAAAAAATTACTTCGGTTTGTTGAAACTAGAACAATAAACCGGTTCATCATCATCACCATCACTGTTACTACTGTTGTTGGTTAATTAAATTCCGTATTTTAATGCCATTTGCGGTTGAAAGGATAATGATGATGATGGAAAATAAAATTCAAAAATATATTTCACACGATTAAAATAAATTGTCATGTCGGGTTTTGATTTTTGTGTTATAGTTTGATATGTGATGAAAACAACGATGAACTATTGATGCAAATTGAAATCAAAAAAAAAAAATAAATTTATCAACAACAACAACAACAACAACAAAGATAATAAATATAGACAGAAACAATCCTTAACTCAATTTTAAGTGAATAAATTTTTGGCAACAACAGTGATGATGATGATGATGAAACTGCTGATAAACTTTTGGTTGACATGAATTTCCTATCACATCACATTGATTTTGAATTGTTTTTATGATGGTGTTTGACTGTTTCAATTTTTTTTTTTTTAGTTTCATTCATCATGATTATGATGATGTTAATCGCGGCCTCTTTTTTTTCATTCAATAATTCAATATTAATTATCGAATAATTGATTTGATGTTTGACACAAATTTTTTACCAACATCACCCCTCGACACACCCATCAACCGTCAACATCATCATCATAATGATTGTATAATTCCTTTGAATTTTTGAATATTTGATGATGATGATGATAATTGTTGATTCATTTATAGGATTTTGGCTTCGAATTCAATTCGGGTTATTCGCTTAACACATAAATTCTAAATTTAGATCCAAATATACAATACACACACACACACATACACGCCCATTACTTTTTGTTTTAATAGTAGTCATCAAAAATTGTAGCCATATGTTTATTTCTTCGTTTCATCACCATATTTTGTGTCATCTCTTCCTGTTTTATTTTACATATATCATATTCATTTTCTTTATGACTATCATTCACCATTAGTGTCTATGGTGATGATGACATTCGGTCATTTTGGTGAAACGATGTAACGAAATTATTATTCGACAAAAGAAATTTTCAGTCCAAAAATTGTTGCATATGCTTCATGTCATCATCATCATCATCACTATCATCGATCATCTAGACGCAGAGAATATGGTGTGAGAATTAAATATACGTATATGGGTGTATCTATGTGTATTGGCTGTTCTATGTTTGTTTTTATTTTCATTTTTTTTTCTAATTGAAACAGTGATTTATATAAAAAAAAACATTTTGAATTTTTGCAATGTGTGTGTTTTTTGTATATGTTATGTTATGTGTTATGACATGATGATTATAAACACAACAAACCATTGATTACCCGTTGATGGTGATGAAGATGTATTCGGATATTTTGTTGCTATTTTGTTGCTATAATAATATTGATGATCGGTTTCTGTATATTTAAATATACACTAATTTGTTTGTTGTCTGTGTCTGTGTATTAACCCGAACAGCGACAACAAAATATATTTCCCGATTTGAACCAACACAACAATCAGTTACAAATGGTAGAATGTTGATAGCATTCTACTATACCAAAAAAAAAAAAAAAAAACATTATTATTTCACCAGAATTGAAAGAAATAAGAAAATCTAATGTGTGATCTTCATGTTTTGAATGATTGAAATTTTTTTTTGACTACCACAAACGACGATGATGATATACCTTGATTTTTGATCATGTGTGGATCGATTATGCTTTTTTGAATTTGTTCATTGATTTTACACTTGGTTTTGTTGTTTTCGATGTTCGTGACTAAATGAATATTTTGGTTGGTTGATTGGTTGACGCCTAATCTTGATATTGTGTGTCTGCGTGTGTGTTTGATATATTGTTTGTTTTGTTCAGTCCATCATTATTATTTGATTTGATTATTTTTGACAAAACATGTCGTCATCATCGACATTCGTATCGAAAACAACAACAATGATTCCAACATTGATTGGTTCAAATCTGTTATCATCATCAATGAATATTGATAATAATAATTTTGAAAAAAGAAAAATGGCTAAAATTAAACCAATGAAACAGCAACAACAACAGCAGCCGCATCAACAACAAATAAAAACGAATTCAAAGGAATCGAAAGGCTATTTTGATATAATCGATGATATAGATGAAGCAGATTCTTTTGTTAATATAACGGCTGAAGAACCATTGCCGGATATACTTCGATCATCATCCACATCACCATCATCATCATGTGCATCATCATTATCATTGTTGTCGATTACTACACATCAATCTGCAATTATTGCACGTAATGGACCATTGAATAGTACTGATAATGAAAGTAGTGATGATCATGATTATATTGTCATACATCGATCAGCAACAAATAATGTTGTACATGAAGAAGAAGATTCAATTGATCTTGATGATAAATCACCACCATTACCTCCACGAAATCAATCAAAACAATCGGATTCAATTGTTGATTATTTTATGAATCGAATCAACCACAATTCAGATGATGATGACAATGATGACATTGTTGATGGTGATAATGATGAAGATCATGTGGATAATGAACGTTATCATATTGTATATGATTTCCCTGTACAATATTGGTGGCATTTATATCCAATACCAGAAGAAGATGAACCAAATACTTCGATTGAAATTGATGCACCACAAACTCCAAATACATTAGTCAATGGTTTTGATAGTCATGGCCCTACGATTCATGATGATAATTTAATGCATGATATAATTTCATTAGATTGTGAACAATCCCTTGTAGCTGATAATTTGAATTCAACTATAGAAAAAAATAACCCGGAAAAAATAATTGTTAATAATAATAATAATGAAAATGGTAGCAATAGTCCGGATAAAGATTCGGGATTAGATGAAACGAAAGATTCGAATTTAGAAGGTCCGTTAACGTGAATGACAGACACATACGGATGTTTTCATTCCTTCATAAAATTTGTAGCAATTATCTAACATTTTTTTTTTCATTTTTTCTGTTTGAATAGGTCCATTACATCAAAGTGAAGAAGAACTTTTATCACCAAATGAAGATTTTGGACCAGAATCACGAAATGCACATAGAAAAATTCTTTCGATGAGTAGCCATTATCCTTATTCCGGTGGTTTCGTTCATCATCATCCACCACCACAACATTTGTTTTATGATCCAAGCACGCCACCATTTGCATTTTATCATCCACATGAACAATTTCATCATCATCCACCACCACCGCCACCATCTTATCATTTACATCATCCCGGTAGTGTCATAGATCCAGATGATTCAACACGTGCAATACGTGGTGATGATAATTCATCATCATATTCAACAACAACGGCAACAACAATGAATGATTCAACATCAACATCGACAACAACAACCGGATGTTTAGTTTCACATCATTCACTGAGAGAAATGCAAAAAGAAGCCGAATCAAGAACCGAATGTCCAGCCCTTCAACAATCGTCATATACAAGTTCAATTACAACGGCAACTACAACCACGAATGATCAAACTACAACATCATCATCATGTCCCACCTGTATGTATAGTGATCGTAGTTATTGTCATCATTATTGTCATTGTGGTCTTACTGGGCCACAAGCTCCAGATCATTCACCGCTATTACAAAGGCCAACAGCTTTCGAAAGCAATGGTGATGTTGAATGTTTGAATAAAGCCGATTTTACTTCTGATGGTGATATTGATTTCGATGATGATGATAATCGAATCGATGATCCAGGCCGTCAAAGTCAACGGCGACGATTATCCAATCATCAAAGACGATATACTCGATCGATTCGAACACGATCGATAGATGGCACTTATCGTCATCGTCATGGACAGGAAGAAGAACAATCCGATGACATTGGACAATTAGTTCTATCACCAGATGGTAATGGTGGATCAGCAAGTGGTGGTTCATTACTTACATCATCTGGATCGACAACATCATCACCATCATCATTATCTAAAGTAACAACTATACGACAACGACGTAATAAAACACGATCTATTTCCACACGATCATCATCACTAGATCCGGATGATGATCTTGATAGAAATATCGATGATGATGATGACTATACGGACGAAGATGATGATGATATTGAAACGGTACGTATTCGACCAGATACACAACATCAACCAATCGATGGTGATCAGATGATCACAACAACAGCTGCGACAACAGAAACAGCGACATCAACAACAATGGCAAAATCAATGTCCTCATCATCATCATCGAAAACTAAAAATAGTGAGTAGAATTTGAAATCACTTTACAATAGATATAGTCAGAATAGTTGTCGTTTCCATTTGACCAAAGTAATAACTAAACATCACATGATCAAACTATCTTTGGTTGTTCATATTTGAACTTTTCCGACTTTTCTCTTATTTGAAATTTATATTGAGATTTTCTTTTACGTTCAATCGATGTGTGTGTGATAGTGAGTTAAAGAGAGGCGGCTACAGTCGTTTTGAGTGATTCATTTTAGCTAAATTTTTTTCTGTTTGCTGTCTGTGGTTGTAGATATGATCATTTACAATATATGACCTGTTGCATACATACACACCTGTGCATATTTGTCTTTAGATCTTTGATATTTGCATTTATTTACTATTTTGTTTTGGATGTCCGCAGTGTTGGTGGTGAAAGTTTTACCTGTCTGTGATTTTTTCAATTTTTGATATTGTTTTGAGAATTGAAATTATAGAAATGGACATTGAACTGCTTGAAATTCGCCGTTGTAATCTAAACAATGTGAAATGTTGTTTGAAAGAACGAAACGATAATGATAATCATGATATTGATAAACAATCGGATGAAAATAGCCGCCACCGTAATGAACAATTTAAATTAATCGATCAGATTTGTCGTTTTGTTGGGCGTAAATTTTTTCTACAACAACCTAAACTGATTACTTTCGATGATGGCCATCGTCATAATAATAATAATAATCATCAACACAGTGAATGTTATTTTTGCCATCAAAGTTCATGTTTACCTCGCCAACATCGACATCAACTTCAATCATCATTATCTTCCGGTTACCATAAAGAGTCATTATCATCATCACCACCACCATCTTCATCATCATCATCATCAACGACAACAATGTCATTAAAACTTATCGATGGCAAAATAGATGCTGATGATTATGATGATGATGATGACCAGATGTCATTGTATCGATATAATTGTTGTTGTTGTTGTTTGAAGATAAATCCAAATTATCCATTATATTGCAATAATTATCACATCATAACGGATAATCGTTGTAAGTTTTTTCAGAAGCGGAAAAGTGTATAGGGATGAAGGCTTTCGTTTTTGCTCATTTCTAACCGTTATTTGTGAGGACTTGTGTGTATATGAATTGCAACTTGAATTCTAAATTCGGAATTTACGATTCATTTCTTTCTATGATGGTGATGATGATGACTGAATTGCTGTCGAACTCATTTCATTCAACACATAGAAAAAGAGAATGACACCCACACGAAAAAATTGTTACTGCATTCACTTAGCCAATTGGCAACCAAAAAAAAAAATATTGCCATTAGATTCTTTCCTTCTTCGATTCTATTATTATCTTACGCACACACACACACACACACACACTGTTTGTCTGTGTCACATATTGAAATTTGAATTCTGTCGCCAAAGTAGAATGAAGTTTATTGTAGGTTTACAATTTTTGTTGTTGTTGTCAATTTTTTAAGCTTCTAGCTTCTAATTTATTTATTCATTCATTTATTCATTTTTTTCATAGTAAACAAGAAAATTTCACTTTTTTTTGTCATCAAATCAAATTAAATCATTATTCCATATATACTATATTCGGACACAGTGTGTTTTGTGTGTGTGTGATATAAAGAATTTTTTTAGTTTGTTTTTTCGTCAATAATTTTCAGTTGTTTGAATTCTGCAATTTGTCAATTTGTAATGGTGAATGTTTCTGTTGGATGTTGAAAATTTGAAATTTTCTTGTTAAATTGGTTTTTTTTTTTTTTTTTTAAATTTTCTGTATAAAAATTTGGGTAAGTTTTTTTTTGCTTTTCCACTTGAAATTTGAATTAAATTTTTTTTTCTTCGAAATTTAACACCAAATGGTATCCATTGTCTATTGGTGTGCATGTATGTGTGTGGTATGCGAATGAGGTCATGAAAGTTCAAAGTTCATCCCTCTTAATTTTTGTTTTCTACAAAAAAATATTTGACCATTGATCTATCTATCTATATTTGCTTAAAATATGTCTCTATTTAGAGGTGTGAATTTTTTTTTGTCTTTTTCTCATGTTGAATTTTTTTTCATCTTCTTTTCGATCATCGATCACGGATTTGATGGGAATTCATTTTTTTTCTCATTTTTCGTTCTCTTGATGGGTTATTAAACTGGCCGAATCGATATTCGGTTATTATTGTTGATGCTCGATGACATCCTGTTTATACTGTAAATTTATTTTTACAATTTTTTTTTCTAAACATTTTTCCTGTTTTTAAATACTTAGTCAATTTAGGTCAGATTTTTATGTAGTTCCCAATTCATTAATGGTTTGTTGTAATCGCTTGTTTGTTTGTGCTGCAGGAGAAAAAAAAATTTGTCATTTCTTTCTTAGCTTGGATTTATCGTCATTGATCACTTAGGTGTTTTATTCATATATAACATTAAAATTTGTATATGGATTTTTCCGGTATTTTGTCATCATTATGATTAATTAATCTCAAAATTGTATGAAAAATTTTCGGCTTTTTCTTTTTATTTCCACTATTTTGATTTGGTTATTTGATATATTTTTATTAATTTTGATTAGATTTAGATCATCATCATCACCATTTTCGACACTATTTCAAAGTTCATCAGCAAATGTTATTGTTGTAATAATAAGCTGAATTTAGATTAGGTAATGAATAAAAATCTTCAAAACATTTCTTCATTGATGCAATGAATGTTGTTTGGATTGTGTCTGGGTAAAAATAGAAATAAAATGCATCATGTTGATTTTTTTTTTGTTTTTTGCTCTTTTCCTGTCTATGTCTGTTGATGGTGAAAATGAAAAATCCGGCCGAATTTTTTTTCGGCACCGATTTCGATTTTTCGCACACACACACACACAAATAAACCGCCTACGCCTACATGACAAAAGTGAAAAAAAAAATATTTTCCCCTATTAAATTCTTGTTTCTTGTTTGTTTGTTTGTCTCAACCAAAAAAAAAAAAAAAATATGTCACGAATAATTAGAGCATTGAATAACCGAGAAGAAACAGATTTGTTTGAAAATATTTCTTCATCCATTCACAATTAGAGGATATAGCTATTCAAATCTTGGTAATTTGCCAAAATCATCATCATTATCATCGCCGGACATGATTTGATTTCTAGAAGTGAAAATAGGTCTGATTACATAATTAATGTTTCATATCTCAATCATTTCATATGCATTACAAGTACCTGAGAGTTTGAATGAAAAGATGTTATCACAATGTGAATGATGAAAAGAGTAAAGTGTGTAAATGTGTTTGCTTGTTTGCGTGGGTGGTTTTTAATGACTTTGTAATTTGTAATTAAAATTGCCATTATTGTTGTTTGTAAGAATTTTGTATTGAAATTTTTTTCATTTTAGACAAACTCTTATATAGCAAATGACTTGGTTGACCAATCGATTAATATTCAGCAAAACAAAATAACCATCAATAGTCTAGACTAAGCTAGACTTCCGTATGTGGATTGATCCACATAACATAATAATAATAATGATTATGATATGATATTAATGATCTGATTTTTTTCTAAATTTCATTTTAATTATAAAAATCTAGTTTGGAGTCCATCAACAACGACAACAATATCATCGACAACAGCAGCGACAACAACAACATCATCACTATCAACGTCACCATCATCAACATCAATATCAGCAGCAACAACTTCTCGTTCAATAGCCGATTATGATGATGATTATGATCATGGTCATGATCAACGTCAACTACTATCACTTCATCAACATCGATCAATAACCGGTGAAAATTTAGATAATTTAAAATCAAAAGCTCAACTACTACAACAACAACGAAAGCAGCAGCAACAACAAGTTGATAACACTTTATTGCCTCAAGCTTCATCGAAATCTTCATTATCTAACGGTCATCATCATCAACAACATCAACAGCAACCAATCAAGAATCACCTACAACAACATCATCAGCAGACGTCATCATTAGGTACAACGGTTCAGGCTCAAGATCAACAAGTAGATTCAAGTAGACAGCCACAACTGCAGCAGCAGCAGCAGCAGACGACAACATGTATTGATGGCAAAAGTTTGAATGAAACAGCTACTGTTTCATTTCCACCACCATTTTCATCACGAACATATGCTGAATTTAAATCATCACCTGTATCAATTGATCCACAACAAACAATTACACCGCCAATCGATTATTTAGGTACAACAATATCGACATCTATTGCAAGTGGATTATCATCATTAACATTACCACGTAATATGGCCATCATGGATCATCCATCAACCGAACAACAACAACAACAATATCATCATGTAGCTGATGTATATGAACCTCGGCAACATCCGGTACATAAATATTGGACATTACCGAGATCTATTGCTACTGGTACTGGTTTAGGTGCTGAATATACTACATCGAATATGGCACCAACAGAAATAGAACGGCATTTTCCTGCACAACAACAAATGAAACCAGACGTATCATTGTCCACAACAATTGCTCAAAAACAACATTATGTTTATGAAACGGAATATTATACAACAGGTGAAGAATCGGTCCTTAGTCCACCACCACCACCATTACCACAACCAATGATAACAAATGGTGATTCGGAAAAAATTCTACCCATACAAAAGAATGGATCAACATATGCAGCACCGATTAAAAAACCGCCACCTCCACCACCACTACCTTCATCGTCTTCAACACAGCAACAAGATAAAACGGTAAGTAAATCCTTATTTTTTATATCAGATTACTGGCATTGGAGCTTTTACACATTGAAAGAATAGAAACAAAAACTTGATTTAGTCACAATCAAATCAATAATTATTGCCCAAAAAAGATATAGCCAATAGGACAAAGTAATCAACAGTGTGGTCATTCGTAAAATTAATGTTTCACGATGTAAATGAATACCAGTTTATTATTCATTTATTGGCTGTCTGGCTTGCTTGCTTGTCGATCTTTCTTTCTTTTGTTTTGTCAATGTTGATTGATTTGATGAGCATTTTAGTTTTCAATGAATTGTATTGTTATGTACAAAAAAAGATGTCATTGTGTGAGTGATGACTACTGACAATATATTTTCAAGGCAATATATATCAAATAATGGTATACGTTTTGTTTGTGTGTTTATACATACAGTGGATACAATATCCATTTTAAATGAATGAATGAATCAAATGTCCTTGTAACCACTTGCCTTTTAATTTTTGTTCTTTTGATTTTGGATTTAAAAAAAAATTGAATTCTTCCTCGTTACACTATTATACATTTTTCATCATTACAAACAAATGAAAAAAATCCCAACTTGCTTAGCTTGTTATGTAATTTTTGTTTTGTTTTTTTTGCCGCTCTGTTTAGAAGTCATTTTATTTCTGTGTGTTTGAAATATGTATATGAGCAAGAAAAAAAGAGAATAAAAAAAAATTAATTGCATAACTGTAGTTTATGGATTGAAATGATTTAAATGTGAATTAACGGTTAAAACAATGATGATGACTGATAAATTATATCGTAGTAGTAGCAATAATAATAGTTTTAATAATTTAATTCAAACAAACCACAAAATAAAAAACACCATGGATAAACAACGCACACGTATATGTGTTTGTTTGTAAAGAATCCATTAACTAAAAATAAATATCTTCATCGATTCTTTGGTATTATATGATATGATGTGTTTGTATTATTCTTCACTAACACTTTGTATGGCGCAAGATATTAGAAATAACAATTGCCACATTTTGTTGTTGTTGTTGTTGTTGTCAGCCATTATGGTTGTTTGTTTGTTTGGTTATTGGCCAAGTTGCCTGCTTTTTTTTCTACCCGATGATGTATATTATATATACCACCCAATGAGGCCTTTTCTTTCCTTTTCTCATTTTCTTTTTGTTGCCGATCACGATGGTGATCATGATGATGATAATAAATAAAATTGTCAGTAAAAAAAAGTGTAGTATGTGCATGTTTTGTGTTTGAGATGTTCTGGTTTGTGAATGAATGGATGTATAGATTGATATGTATATATATAATGCCATTGGAAAATATCATCAACTAGAATGGATATCAATTGTATGTGTAGACAAAAAAGTGTTAGAAAAGTGAATGAAAATGGATATGGGTTTAGTTTTTCTATTTTTTTCGGAGTACAGAAAAAAAATTGAACAACAACAACAACTAAATTTTCAATTTGACAATCTGTATCTTTCAAGAAAACATAGTTTTTTGTTTGTTTTTTTATATATGTTCTTACAACATGAAGACGACATTATAATTCGATTGGTTTGTTTATTTGGAGCCATGATTAATTTAAATTGTGTATGTGAAGTGAGTTTTTTTTTCTTTGAAATTGTCATTCTTGTCAATTGTGAATTTGTTTTTGTTTGAATTGATAATTTTCATCCGAAACAATCAAATTGAAATTGAATTGAATGTATTAGAACAACAAATGAAACCAGTGGTCTACTATTTAACATTGTTTTTTTTTCGTAATCCCTCTGTTTCCCAATCCCAATGCTTCAAATTAATGCCTGAATCTAACAAATAAACAAAAAAAAATTTGTTGCATTTCTTTCTTATTCGGTTTCCTTATCCTATTTTCATCATTATATACGCTATTAATAAATCAAACAAACAAAATCTATAGAGCATGATCAAACCGGAATATAAACAACCACAACAACAGCAACCATCATGCGAATCATCATCGATCCAACATAGATCTGAACGTTATAAAGCGTTTATACGTGATATGCAAAATGAAATGCAAATACATATTGGTGGTGATATTAATAATAATAATAATAATAATAATAATAATAATAATGGTGATCGACGATCAATGTTTGCCAATCAGTCCATATGTGTTAAAGTAAAACAACCACGTTTCAAAGGAACCGGTAAGTATTATTATTAATCAAAAAAAATCGAATCAAATAGTTTTCCATTGATATCTGACTTTTCACATTTATTATTATTATTATTATCATTCAATCAACATAACAACATCGACCTTCAACCGTTATTCATTCGATTTTAATGACCCATATTGTGGATGATGATAATCACTATGACAATCAATCGCCGAAATGTTTTTTGCAGATTATCATCTTACAATTGATAATAAACCAATACAAACATTACAACAACAACAACAATCAAATGTTCCTATTGGTCATATTGAAGATTATGAACCTGGTATACGTAATAGTATATTTGAACGTGAACGACAGATGGTAAGTTTTCGAAATTCATTTCCTGTGAAAGGAAATAACAAACAATACATCAGAAAGAAACAAGCATTTTGATTGTCGTTTTACAAAAAAAAAAAAAAAAAAAAACAAAGTATAAATTATCCGTAAAGATACTAACTGAATGAAAACAACAATTTTTTTCTCATTCTCTCATTGATTCTTTTTTTTTTTCTATTACGCATCATCTACTTTACTGCCAAAATATATACAAATATATGCTTCGAACAATGATGCTATTTTTTCCAAATCCATTCCACACTCATTTCCTGCTATTTCTGCTGCTGCTGCCCAAAAATTTGTTCTTCTCTCTTCTTTCTTTCTACATCGTCATCTATTGTAATTACATCGTAATATTATTTCTCAAAATATTCTTTGTGCAAAAAAAAAATCAATTTTTGTATGTGTTATTGTGGTGGTAATGTTTGTTTGTTAAAAATTCAATCAATCAATAGTTTTACAATGACATCTTCAACTATATTGATTCAATATTTGCCGAAGTATTGGCCACAACGGCCGTTTCCGCTAATCAGGTAATCGAATCCTCAGTTCATTATTTATTAGCAATATATGTATAGTTGTTTTGTGTTGTGTGTTGGCTTGGTTGGTTGTTTTTAGTTTCCATTCTATCTGTCTATTTATCTATCTATATATATGTTGATTCTGTTTATTTTTCCACCAAAAAATCAAAAATTGAATTTTTTTGTAAAAAAACAAAGAAATTACAATCTAAACTACGCAAACGTGCACAAAGTCTTTCACGAATGTCATCAAGATCATTATCATCGGCACGAAAGAGATCCGATTCACAACGATATCATCAACAAACACAACGTTATTCTGAATCACCAAAATTATCAAGCCGTTCATTGCCATCATTGATGACCGATCAACAACAACAACGGTTATTGGAACAAACTAAACAACAATTATTAGCTACATTTCTCGAAGCTACTACTACTGCCACCATTAAACGATCTGGATCATCATCACGTCGTGGTAGATCACGATCTTCAAGTTTACGTCGCCATTCCACTGATCCAACACCAATTGGAACCATTCGACGTCGTCGAAAAACATCGAAAAAGCGGCGAAAATTATCAACTGATAAGAAAGACGGTGATGATGAGGATAATGATGATGATGATGATGATGAAGAGGAAGAAGAAGAAGAATCCGATGACCATCATCGATCCTACGATAATTATGATGAGGATGATGGTAGTGGAAATGGACCTTGTAATTCAAAACATAAAGATAGCCATGACGATGAACATGATGGTGATGATGAAGTATCCGATGATGATGATGATGATGATGATATCCATCATCATGAGGTCGGTTTTTCTTTCTTAACAATTTAGTAATTTGATTTCGGATTTAATTTTTTGTGTTTTATTCATTGATATTGTTGTTTTTGTGGGTGTATCCGTTTTTTTCTTTTTATTCGGGTTTTTGTCTGTTTTTTTAAATTATTTTGCTTTGCTTTCTTGCTCTGCTTTTTTCTCTTTTTTTTACTTTTTTAAAAATAAATTCCTTGTTAGTTTTTTTTGTAAACATTTGTTTTTATAATTTTCATTGATAATAGAATGCTAAACATACGAATGGAAATGCATTGTCGCCAAAAGAGAATGGTCTTATTGATCAACAACAACAACAACAACAATCACCAACGACATCAAAAATGGAAAAAAAATTCTTTTATCATGAGAATTGTGTTTTTAATCAATTAACATCACCGCCAGCTACGGGTATAAATCAACCAACTGGTACAAATAGTATATCCGGTGGTTCTGGCTATGATTCAGATTCATCATACATTATACGTAAAAATAAAGGAAAAATTGGTAAGTGGTTGGAATGTGTGTAATGTACATTTTATTTATTTGAATTTTATTTTCTATGACATTGCTGTAGCACCACAACCAGCATCACCATCAGTATATCGTGCTGTACAACGTGGTGAAGATATACCATTTCAAGGTTTGCAACGTACAGCACCAATGAGACAACTATCATCTGGAAATGGTAGTCGAACAAAATGTAAGTGATAATTATTCTACAAAATTAATTAATTGATGCATGGGGCTTTATTATGGGTTATATTATTGCCTAATCGATATTTAACACAATTTTTGCTGCTGATGAAAATTCCAAATACAAAACAAAATGTTTAACATTCTTAATGCTTTCACAAAATGAATCAAGATTTGCATGAATGAATGATCATGCTTAAAATATTTTCAAAATTGTATTCATCTATCCTCAAAAATTTATCGATTTTGATCTTTCATCGAATCCTTATATAAATATAGTTGACCAGACTACTGATACGGATAGCGGTGTAGATTTTAGCCTATCCAAAAAACCTGGTGGCGAAGATTGGGATAATCTTGATGAATGGCAAACACAAATAACGAATGATTTTGATTATATCTATGAAACATTACGATCAGTGTCCACCAATGCAGCTCCATCAAAAAAATCGAATACCAGTAACCAAAAGAAACAGAAATCTGTTGCATTCGAAGCAGTGGACGAAGTACAATTAATCGATGCGGATGAATCGGATGAATTCTATGAAGAAGATATCACCATGGATGATGATGATGATGATGAATGTAGAGCAGTAGCGGAAGAAGAAGCAGAATATGCTTATGGTGGCTTATTACGACCCGGTTCACATCGTCCTAGCGATAAAGCACATTCATTTGAACATTTTCTCAATACACAGCCGGATCTGATCAATAAAGTGGCAAGAATGAAAGATCCACAAGATCGAATTTGTGTGATTAAATCGAAAACACGAAAAACACGATCACCACAAAAAGCCCGAATGGGTAGTGCTGGTAGAACACCACCTATACGTAGTGGAAATAGTGGCTTGATTTCCGATTCGGAAACAGAATCAGATTATTTAACTACAACCACGACAAAGAAAATATTCTCAACTGATACATTTACATCACCACCTAAATTATCATCAGCTGTACCGAAAAGTTATTTTCATAGTCCCAATATTATCATTGATGACCCAACAGTAGCGGTCTCTGTTGTACCAGCTACTATTGACCCAATTAGTCCAGGTTAGATAGAATACAAATTTGTTGACCTATTTCTTCGATTTAAGCCCAAAGAATTTTTTTCTTTCTTATATTGAATCAGTATTAAAATTCAAAAAAATTGTCTCTGTTCTCATTTAATTTATAGTCAGGAGTACAATGATGATGGGTCAACAGCCATGCGGATCATCAACAGCGACACCGGATTCGGTCGGATTGAATGTTCATTACCGAATACCCGGTAGTACTGTTACTGAAGAGGATAGTTCATTTTCAAGTTCAGCCACACCAAATCGATCGGTAAGTTTATGAGTTTATAATTTGTTTATGGATACTTATTGAAATTTTTTATCGAAAAAAATAGTATGGCCGTCATTATATTGGACCATGTGGTGGTCCATTACCGGGTACATCATTGAAACCAGTGACAACTGTTGTTAATACCTCATCTAATAATTATAGCCTACAACGACATCATTATGTTCCTCAACCAATGTCACCACCGGTCGTTGCATTAGATCGTTATGATCGTCGGCCATTATACACAACCAAAGGTAAATTCATTCATTAAATCGATTTCAATGATAATGGTCAGTCAAATGAATGAATGAAATGTCACATCATATGCCATGAGTTATCAATCGATGGAATGAAATAAACAAATCCATTTGGCAGTTAATTTAGTGATAATGATATTATAGCAGCTGCAAAATGACTAATCTAAATTCATAATCAAATAGCAACAGCCACTTATTCATCATCGTCAATGATACTGATGTTGTTTATTGAAGATTTTTCGGAGATTGATGGATTTTTAAATCATTTTTTTGCTTAATTTGGCTTTCTTTTTATCTAATCAAATTTTTTCTCTCGTACTTGAACGATTAGAACCAACAGGTAAAATGGCTCGAGTAATGTATGATTTCCAGGCAATGGCCCGTAATGAATTGGCAGTTAAAAAAGGCGATCTAGTCACCATAAGAAAACAGATTAATCAGCAATGGATGGAAGTAGAAGATTGTTCCAGTGGATTAGTGGTTTGTATTGATCAATCACTCGAATGGAAAAATTTTAATGAGGATTTTTTGCTCTTTTTTTTATCAAAGGGATTTGTACCACGTACGTATCTGGACATTGATGAAACATCATCACCGAATGGCGTTGCACGTGCCAAATTTGATTTCAATGCCAAAACTAATGTTGAGATTTCATTTAAAAAGGTATGGTTTTTTTTCAACACCTACAATAATAACCTAGTATTGTAAATAATTTTTTATTGTATTAAAATAGGGAGAAAAATTAACACTATTACGACGAGTTGATGAAAATTGGTATGAAGGCATGAACGAACGGCAAGATGTGGGAATATTCCCCGTTTCTTATGTTGAAGTGATGAAACAAGTTGCCAATGGTAAGTGCATTATGGATTATAATACTTTTATTATTTCATTTGGGTATTTTGGTTTCCCCATGAAAAAAAATTCATTGACTGATTTCCTTTTTTATTTTTATTTTTTTTTTTTTTTTTCTTAAAAAACCATTTTACACCGATATATTATCAAAATAGTTAATAAACGTTAATTGATTGATTGTGTGCGGTACTACTCTCCCCGTTATGTTTTTATTCATCAATTTTCTGTTTTTTTTTTTTTTTTGTTCTATCCTGATTATAAGTTCTTCAATGTTTTTTCGTTCTCTCTCTCTCTCTCTCTGGTCAATCTAGTCGTTCGTTTTATTTTTCGTGTTTTTCATTTTACAAACGAAAAAAAATTCTCAAATCATCTAATCTTTTTTCAAAAAAAAAACAAACAAACAAATATACAAAGAGCACTGTTTAGACTATTTATAATAATAAATTTTATTTCGTTTCATAAATCAAATTTTGTTTTTTGTTTCAATTTGAGAATGTCTATTTTTTCCCCAGTTTCCGTTTAACCTTTTTTTTGCTTATAATGTGCTTTGCTTATCGAATCACATCACTAATCTATGGTTGTCCATTGTCCATTTTTTTTATTTGTTTGCTTTTTCTTAAATTTGTTCAATTTTTAAATGCTGCTTCTGCTGATGCTACTTTTCTAATGTTACAAATGTTGAAATATCACGCGCTATCACGTGTGTGTGCGTTTGCTGCTTCTCTTCGGTCCATAATCACCAACCATTTGTTTGCACGTGCATACAATTTGCTTTCGTTTCGTTGTGGATGGCCATTAGCTTCAGCTATTCGTGCTTCGTTATCATTTCTTGATCAACAGTCATCATCAATCATTACGGCAACGGTAGCAACATCGAATAGTTCCAATGAAAAAAACCAAGAAGGTTTAGAAACATCATCATCATCGTCATTATCATCGATGCTTTTGTTAAATCTTCCAATTTCTGGTGCTAACTCATCATTGCCTCAACATCATCATCATCCATTAACATCGATACAACCGATGGCATCAATGCCACAATTACCAACTGAAACTGGCAGCAGCAGTGGTGGTAATAGTAGTGTTGTATATGGCCATCATCCACACATCCATAATCATCATCATCAACACGCCCATCATGAATCACAACCACCCCTAACTGGTGATTCTTCTTCAACCACTGGTGGTGGTAGTCAAATTTATTTCAGTTCAACAAGATCAGAACCAGCAGGTTCAACAACATCGGGTAGTGGTGGTGGTGGCGGTTATTCTACTTCGAATTTAATGCATCAAATACGACGAGCACCGGATGCAAGCCGTTCACAACCAGGTACTAATGTCGAACGTTTTTGTTTACCAAAGCCGAAAATCTATCGTGTACTTTATCCTTATCAACCACAACAACCGGATGAATTAGAATTACAATATGGTGATCTATTAACGGTCACTATTCAATGTGATGATGGTTGGTTTTTAGGCCGTTCAACATTAACGGGTAAATTTGGAACATTTCCTGGAAATTATGTTGAACCAACATGACAACAGTGGATTGTTTTGGAATTTTTTTTCTCTCTCTCTCGCTTCTTAATTCTTCATAATTATTTGTTACAAATAAAAATAAACTCTAGTCAACAAAATCCAATCCATTACATACTAAACATGCTTATATAATTTATAAATAAGGTGTAGAATTTTATCCAATTAACTGAAAAAAGTTTATGGTGTTTGATTGATTTTAATCCTCTACTACCCCAACATTACCATCCTTTCTTTTTCTTAATTTATTGTTTGGTTGTTTTTTCGATTTTAAATTTCAAAATTCTTCATCTCTTATTGATTGTACATCCCCTTCCACATTCTATGATTATTGTTATTTATTATTATTATTATTAAAAATGAATGTGAGTTTTGATGATGAGAATAAAAATAAAATCAAAACAATAATAAATATATTACACCTCATTTTCTCTTATATTATTGGGAAATTTTTTTTTCGCTTATACAGAAAATGTTTTACGTTTTCGATGACGATGATGGTGTTTAGTTTTTTTGGTGGTACGTCCATCAATAGTTTTTCGATGTTTTAAATTTCCTATGATTTTTGGTGAGAATGGTGAAGAACTATATGATGATGATGACGATGATGATGACATTGGTGATCGTCGAATGCTTACTAAACTTGATTGAATCGATCTAGTTCGTGCGAATGTTTTACGTTTAGAATCAATGATACGTGAATTGGTAATCGCTGTTATACTGGAACTCGGTGTAGAAGAAATGTACGATGATGATGATGATGATGATGGTGAATCATCGTTATAACGACTAGCACCACTTCTTGTAGATGGTGATTGATATCTGATTAATGGAATCGGAATAAATTGAAATCTAAAACCACCACCAATGATTGGTCGTCGAAATAATGGTTGTGAGTCGGCCAAATTATCATTACCGAATCGCCATCGTTTTGGTTGAAGTTTTCGTAGGAAAAAATCGATGATACCATATGATGAACAGAATGTACAAAACAATATGGTTGTGATGATCGTCACAATAGCAATAAATATTGAATATGAAAGAAAATTCTGATATTCCAATAACAATCGACGATTTTCTGGTATCATCCATTGACATTCATCTTCAATTATTTTTGTACAATTTTTTTGTTGTTTTTGTCGATCAGAAGATTTTCTACCATTTGTTTGTTGTTGTTGATGATGATCGATTTGTTCTAAACCTGGACAACGACAATGATAATCGGCCATTTTATCGGATAATTTTTGAAATTGTTTCATCAATCGTTGTTGACATTTTTGTTTAAATTGTCGTTCAAAACAATGACATGCAGTATATGTTAGACAACATTGTTTTTTATATAATGATTGTTGTTGAATAACATCTCCACCACCACCATCATCACCATAAAGCCATTGTTGTGGTGGACCATAAAATTCTCGAAGAAATTCGACCATTTGCAAACGACAATTACTATAATGGATCATTGTTAGACCAAATACACTAATGAATAAAAAAAATTGAAAAATATTCAAACATCAACATAAGAGAGTGTCACAAAAAAATGAATTACAAATAATAAAACACTTACCCAACATTTATATCACAATATTGTTTAGGTTGTCGTACGACAGGTAAACATATTGGATCGGTTATTGTAAGAAATATTTGTGAACAATTACCTATTATTGATTTATCGATAGCACCTTTATTATAATTGATACATTGTTTCTCCATACAATCATTGAAATGCATATGATGACAACATTGTCTGATTGATGTAGCAATCTTATTATTCAACTGAATCTGTCGATGTACATTCGTAAGACACATTTGTTTTGATTTATTCAATTTTGAATGAATATTATCAATTTTTTCAATTGTTTCTTTATTATCTTGTTGTGTTATCATCATAGCCATGGCTAACCAGCAATGTAATTGATCAATGCTGCCACTGGATGTAGTATATGATATTAGTAATCGGATATGAATACGGAAGTGAAAATAAATTTAAAAAAGAAAATAAAAGAAAAGATGAGCTATTAATAAATAGCCGGATTGTTTTTTTTTGTTATTACCTAATCCAAAGAACTGACAACCATAACCGCCAGTAATGCATTCACGATTATGTGAAACGTTCGTTCGTTGATTACAAATCAAATCGAATGTTTTTTTTCCACATATTTTAAAATTTGAATCACTAATTTAATTAAAAATTTTCTTCAAATCATTTTCTTAAATTTAATTTTAAAGGGGTGTGTCGTTAATTGTTACCGCTGTTATTTTCTGATAACGAATTACAAAAAAAAAAATTTTTTTTTTGTCACAATTTTGACGTCTACCCAGGCGTCATTTAGCTATTAGTATACTATAGTTAAAGACAAGATTTCCATATTTCCGCCCACATACATAACATTTTTTAACGATTAAAAATGAAAATAAAGTTTTTCTCTTGACGATTTTTTTATCACGAGGAAGAAATTAACAACAACAACAACAACTGAATGAATGAATGAGAAATGATTGTTGTCATCATCATCATCATCATCATCATCATCAAACAGTATTTCAATTTTGTAAAATGTCATAAAAAGCAGTAGTAATGATTCAAGTGATGAAGAATGATGATTATTGTATTATGTGTGTGGGTGAAACGACAACAAAATGAAAAAATGCTGTTGTTATTTTCAGAATATGTATGTAATGTAATAATTCTTTAATTCGAATTTTTTTCAACAAAATTCATGTGAAAAAAAATACAAATGTCATGCGCACAATTGACATACAAGGAGAATAAGATCGACTCCATCATCTTCAATATTATTTAGCGGCGGGGGAAGAGAAATGAAACAAATAAACACAATTCGAGTAAAAGAGAAAAGCACACGTTTGGATGTGAGTATAATGTAAATGTTTTTCGTTGCTTTATTCACGCGATTTTCACCGTTAAATTATATATATTTCGTGATTAAGTTCATTGTGTTCATATCTATGTCCTGGATTTTTTTTTGTTTTTGTTTGTGTTTTTGAAATGAAAATTCGAAAAAGAAAATTTGTTGATTAATTTGATTTATAAATGAAAAAAATGGATCACCGACGACAACAGCATCAACAACAACAACAACAACAACAGCCATCGAATATGAATCGAAAATTCAACAGTCATCAACAACAACGATATTCAACATTATCATCCCAATCACCTACATCATCATCGACAGCTACAATTCATCAATCATCATCATCAAATATGAATAAATATGAGCTTGAAAATTCTGTATCCGAATTGTTTCGTTTGTTTAAGTAAGTTCGAAAACTTTCTATTTTGTTTATTGAATTATCGAATTTTTTTCTCCCACCAACACAATCATCATCATTTAGTGTTTCAGAAGCTAAAAATTTTAATCGTGAAACAATCGCCGAACGTTTTGAAAAAGGTCTCAATCGGCAATCATCAAAACCGTTTTCCATATTCTATAATCGTTTAAGTGATAATCCAAAATTTGTTGAACAATATAATCCATTGAAATGCCAAAAGTAAGTTTTTTTTGTTGAAAAATGCTACTGTCATTTAAAATTAAAAATGACCATGTTTAATTCCAATGATATAGCTCCAGAGAAGTTGATCCATTCGTTAGATTTATGGTTCGAGTTCGTGAAGATAAAAATGTAAGGATTTATTCTGTCAAAAAACAATTTATTGATTGATTTGATTGTTGATTATAGATGAGCAACTTTATGAACAATTACAATGATATCGTACAGAGCAAGAGTAAATTCTGTCCAAATTCGACGACAAAAAATAACCAAATTTCTACACAGATTTATCGTCGAACGAATCAAACATCACCACGTGTGTCAAGGCCATCATCAGCCACATCTGCTTTGTTGAATATGGTCAATCAACAAGATTTTAATCCACTCAAATATCAAATGTCCGCTGCTGAACATTCGAATAATATAGTCAAATCAAAAACACTTGGAGCAAGATCAATAGAGGCAAAAAGTCCACTACGATCATTACAAACACCGAAAGGTGGTCATAATCCAAGTCTTTTGGCATCACCAATGATCACTAATGTTGATAGTGGACAAAACGGTCAAGATGATACAAATGATATATCATTTAAATCACAGACGTCAACGACAGTTTTGAATTCGAAGAAAACCATTTCAAATCATCAACATAATCATAATCAAAGTCGCAAGATACCGCCATATTTATCTCGAGATTTTCATCCATGTGATTGGCCTAAAGAGAATGATTGTTTCAATACACTCGGAACGTATCCGGTACAAGAACAAGAACAGCTTTTACTCAGGGATCTCCTTTTTGTTCTAATTGTAAGTTTCGTAACTTTTTTAGATGTTTTAATCATTTTAATTTAAATCACAGGGTATCGAGGGCCGTTTCATTCGTCTTCTACGGTCACAAGATTCAAGCCATTATAAGTTAATACTTGATCCTAGTACGGATCATTTTTTCGCCGTAACTACGCAAAGAATTCTTAAAATCTGTTATCATTATTCGACTATTATTAGTTTTGTTGAATCTCGTGTATATGGTCTGGTCAATCAGGCATTAGTAGCTAGTATTCATCAACATCTTTATGATTATAATATGACCATATGTCAGATGGAAGATTCTTTGATGAAAAATGACCTATTCCTACAGAAAATGTTTTTCATTTTACTTCCTTATTTTTCAACATTTGCCCTATTGAAAGAAATTTGTGCCAAACTTTATAAAAACAAAAGTGTCGGTGGTGCTGTTCTCACTTTGTTACATGAAAAAACTAAATCCATACAAGGAATGGATAATAATGCTCTTGAGCTTTGTCTAATGCTCACTAAATCAGCTGCCATACCTTATTTTGATATAATGAAAACATGGATCTACTATGGAGAGATTGGTGATCCACGTAAAGAATTTTTTATTGAAGATACACATAGCCATCAAAGTGTCGGTGTGATGGGTGGTGGTACTTACTACGCTGGAACATCTGGCAACAGCCATCAAAATGGCCGATCGGCAACTGATGGTTTGAATAATAGCAGCAGTATTCAATCACAGAATCAATCACATCATCATAATGATACGGATCTTGTCGAATCTGATGACGAATATGATGATGATTTTGGCAAATTTAATGAGTAAGTTATAAGAAGCAATTAACTATTGTGATTTTTGTTTATAATAATATATCTCTCAAAACATATAGTAAATATTGGGATGTTCGTTATCGTATAAATTCCTCAAAAACACCATGTTTTCTTCGTAAATACGAACAAGTCATTTATAAAACTGGTAAATATGTATCGATCATCAATAAGGTAAAACAACTGTTCCTGAAATCTTCTAAAGTCATTCCGATACCTCAATCGATATTCCAACAACAAAATCAACAACAACAGCATCAAATGCATAATCTAGGTGCAACAACGACGGTAGGCAGCAGTGTTCTTCAAAGTGATGCTGCATCATCGTTTGTTCCAAAACATTATGGATCGAATGCCGTTATGAATACGATTGGAGGAGGAAATAGTCCGTTCATGTTCATGAATAATCCTAATGCTAATAATAATTATTATGGTCATCACCAACATCATTCGACCAACCCAATGATGACTGATAATACATCTTTTGCATATTCGATGGCTTCATCATCTTCATCGAATGCATCAAATCATTCGGGTGGTGGTGGTGGTGCACCCGCACAACCTGCCAGTACAATGGCCGCCATTTTTACTCCGAAACCAGAAGAGATTTATTATTCATTCGATGAATCCACTTATTTAGCACCGATACAATCAGCTTATGAAGAAGCCAGTTCCCAACTATTGCATATCCTTGTTCATGAATCTCAATTGGTCGAAACATTCAATGCTGTGCGGCATTATATGCTTCTATCAATGGGTGATTTTATTGTACATTTTATGAAATTCGCCTCTAAAGATCTTTGTAAACGTACGGATTCTGTGGTTCAACATCGTTTAGATTCAATGATGGGTATGGCATTAGGTATATCGGTTTGTCATTCCGATAGACAATATCTAAAAGATGATCCACATGTTGAATTTGTTGGAAAATCGTTTCTAAAACAAATCTATCAGATTATGAAACCATTTGCAACTCAAGAGGATAATTCTTTTAATACATCATTCGCAAATGATCCTTCGCCTTCATCATCGTATCTACTTCGATGTGATGAAGATGCCGAAGATGATGATGATGATGTTGCTCTTAATCGTTCAATTATAAGTTCTGTAATTGAAGATCAAGAATTCAACGCGAACGACGATTCAATTGATTCAATTATTCGCCGACCACCAAGATATTTGAACAACAAAAATAATTCACCCAATTCCAAATCAATGGATAACAAGTCTAACACTTCGACGTTGAAAAAAAAGTCCATTGTTATGAACGAAATGAATGCTTGTGAATCATCAAAATTATTTTGTTACGAATCATTAATGCTCAAATTCGATGTACCATTCCCATTATCATTGATTTTCACGCAGAAATCTGTCGTTTGCTATGAATTACTTTTCCGTTATATTTTCCTATGTCGTTATGCTGAAATGGAACTTGAAGAAACATGGAAAGATAATATTTTGAATGTTCAGCTAAAACGTTGTGATACGCTTACGTTGTTGAATCAATTGACCAACAGTAGTGGTAAAACGGATCAACAACAAGATCAAACAAATCATGCCCGATTATTGGCTAAATCATTCAAATCTATCCATAAGAAAGCATTTGCATTACGTTATAAAATGATTGCTTTTGTTCGAAATTTTCATTATTTCTATGCATTCGAAGTAATCGATCCATCATTTTCACAATTCATTAGTCAAATCACTAAACGTGGCTCAAGTCTTGATTCGGTGATTGAATGTCATGAAAAATTTCTTGAACACTGTTTCAGTAGTTGTTTTCTGACATCATTGGAGATTACGACCATCATTATCAAGATATTTACACTTTGTATTGAATTATCTCATTTATTGAAAGTATGTTTAGAAATATTTTTTATCAATATTTTGTATATATCTAATCTATGGTCTAATGACATTAATTAATCGTTTTCAAATAGGATTCAATCGATGCTGAAGATCAATCAACAATGATGGAAAGTAGTTGTTTTTTTGGTCAATCTTTAAAGTCTTCCAATCAATCACCCACAAAGCCAACAACAACGTCAAGCAGCATTAGCAAAAATCTTGCACGTGAATTCGATTCGGCTGCTAATTCCGAAGTAGATGAAGATTTAATTCATGAAAAATTGAATAAACTTTATTTTTCTAATCGAATATTTGGCGGTTTATCAGATAATCATCAAACCAAAGTAGGAGGACAAACTACTACTAATACTAATAGATCGTTTACGATCAAAGATATCATTGACAAAGCAAACACCGAATTTGATTCATTAGTAAGCCAGCTGTTGAAAAAGATTTATTCCGATAATTGTGAATATCATATGATGTTTCCATTTGTTGCAAGGTTTGTGTACATATCTTAGAAGAGGTGGATTTTTTTTCAAATTTATCATTTGTTTTTTATAGGTTGGATTATAACGATTTTTATCGATTCCAAATAATGGAATTAAAAAACAATTCATTTGTGTCATAAAGGTTTTTCTATTTATTTAAACGTCTTATTCGTGGCCATATTTTTATTGAGAAAAATTTATTATAATCTTAAAAAGAATAAAATTACCGAAATCTGCGGTATAACATGTTTGTTGTTTGTGGTCAATGAATTAATTTTATACAAAAAGACCAATTATTTATATGCATGATGCGCTCATTTGGTGGTCGTTAAGAAATATAAATTGTTATATATTATTATAAGAAAAATATAAGTCAATAGTATTCAGGTCCAACATTTTATGGGTTCTTGTTGCGATTGATGAGAAAGCTATATTCAAGATGGATGTGTGTGTGTGTGTGTGTGTGCGTTAAATAGTTAAACTCTTTGCTGTAGATGTGAATATTGCATTGCCGGTGTTGTTGGTGATTGATTTCCTGTTGTTGATGGCACTTGTTGTTGTTGCTGCTGCTGCTGTTGATGCTGTTGTTGTGATTGCTGTAAAAACGATGGATTTATAGCCATGAATGTGACTGGAACCCCAGCACGATTAGATGTCATCATCATACGTGGTGTACCAACCACGGTCGATAGTCCTCCTCTTGGTCCAACCGTTTGAAACATTCGAATGGGCATCCCTCCTCCTTGACCAGATTGTAAATTGAATTGTTGTTGCTGATGTGGATTGCCCACAATTCCGACTGTTCGAAAATCTGGCAATGTTTTGAGATTTTCCAATTTTTTACATGTTTTTTTATCATAATCGATAAGGAGTTGTGTTTCGACAATTAACCGCGTTTCCGGTTGATCGGGCAAACGTTTTCTTAATTCGATTGTTTCACCAAGTCGAAATTGTCGTTGTGGTCCCAATTCTGGTGATGGATTTGGACAGCCATTTAAAAAATCATAAATAGTCTTAAGGATTTGAGGATTCAAGTGAGGGAATTTATTGGTTATTTCTCGCATTAGTTGTTCAGCCGATGGTGATAGCCCTTGTAAAGATAATGTTGATTGTGGTAATCTTGGCTGTTGTTGCTGCTGTTGTGAGGGTGGTGGTGGTCCATCATACATTCCAAATGATGTCTGGAATGCTTGCTGTTGTGATTGAGGACGATTTTGTTGACCAAAAGAGCTAGGTGTAGGTCGTCCCTGTTGTGCAAATTGTTGCGTTGATGGTGATGTTTGTGATTGTTGTGGTAAATTTCGATACGGATTTTGTTGTAATTGTTGAACGTTACTTGTGAAATTGCTATTTCGATTTTGTTGTTGTTGTTGATAGGCAAGCATTTGTTGTTGTAAAGGAACTCGAATATCCGATTGTTGTGGTTGTTGCTGTTGTTTAGATTGTGATCGTTGTGCCATCAATGATTGATTCAACATGGTGAATTGAGAAGATCCTGCTGGTGTTCGAATATTGGTAATTTGAGGTTGCTGCTGCTGCTGTTGTTGATTATTATTGAATTGATTGGATGAATTTTGATTTTGTTGATACATCGATTGAGTAGTCGTTTTCAATGGCGAAGATTGTTGTTGTTGCTGCTGCGGCTGTTGTTCATGGTATAATGATGATGATGATTGTGTTAGAGATTGTACGGGTGTTGATTCAGACATTTGTTGATTGATACGTGAATCGGTCATTTTAAGATTCGTTGGCGCTGTGGTGATAACAGATGTCGATTGTACAGGGGTTAAACCAGCAGCATAATCTGGTGTTGATTTTGATGCTAATATTTGTCGTTGTTGATTAAATGACGGTAGTTGATTACTCGTATTGCTCATAAGAGAATTCTGTGGTTGTGAATGCGATTGTTGAGATGGAATTATGTTATCAACATTTTTGGTATTTTGAAATTTGGACAGATTTTCTTGAACCACACTTTGAATGGTTGCAGTTCTAATTACTGTTGATTCATTTCCATTATCTACTGAATCATTTCGGTTAAGCAATGAATTTCTTGATGCTTGTAATGGTGTTGTTGTAATGTTGGTCTTCGTGGTTGAATCATCAGATTTTTGTTGAAATGATTGCCGTTCCACAAAATGATCATCATCTATCGATGATGTTGATGTTAGTTTTGTTATACTAATATTCGAAGAGGATAAGGTAACCGTAGGCGTAGTCGATGAGGTCGCTGATGAAGATGCTTGTTGTTGCTGTTTTTCCGATTTTTCCTGTTGTTTCTCTTTTTCTTTATCTTTACGTTGCCGTTTTAGATCACGTTGATTGGTCGCCGATGGTGCTTCATAAATATCCAATAAAACGATTCCACCATCACGTTTCATACCAGAACTGCCTATATTAGATGCAGCTAATCGTGCTGAACGACTACCACCGGCATAGCCACCTGGTGTAGATGATAAACGACTTAAACCCGATTTAAATGATGAATTCGAATATGAACCAAAATTATTGCGACTAGGTATTCCTTTATAAGGAGCTATAAAGATAAAATAAATATAGAATATAAGATACTGAAAAAATATATGAATTCTTTTTACTTGAATCGCTAGAATTTAATCCACGACATCGTATCGGTACAGTTGGACCGGTAGATGGCCGTCTTCCACTTGATAGATCAGTAGCTGAGTATATGAGAAAAAAATTCCAGTTTTAAAATTTTTTCTAAATGAATAAAATGATGACTAGTATTGTGTTACCTTTTTGTAATAATTCGGCACGTAATGTAGCTGATTTAGCTTTACGTTTTAATTGAAAATGTTTAACAGGTTGTGCGGGCTGTCCAAATTGACTATGGAATGCCCAACGATTTAGGAAAAGACTTTCTAATGGGAGAATTTTTTGATCTTGTTTTTTCACTTTTTTGAAGACAAAATAAAAAAGAATAGCTATGATTTAAAAAATGTGTGCGTGTGGATATAATTTACATACCCAGTTTTTTAAGTTCACTACTCAATTCAGAAAATGACGATGATGTTGGATCTAAATCGATTGATCCATGACGTGGATAATTTTCCAATAATTCAGCAACAACTGATACCCATGGATCGGAATCATCGGTAGCGATACGAATCAGATCTTCGAGTTCATTTTTCCACTATGAGTTTTTTTTAAGAAAGTTTAAAAAAAAGTATTTTTATTTGAAAAAATTTTTATTTATTCAACAAATAAATCATACATCATCGAGATTTCGTTTCGGTAAATGCAAAAATGATAACAATAATTTCAGCTTAACATTTAATTGTAATTCGGTAAAACAGGATTTAATCGTCGTTAACATGTCAGCATTTAGTTGTGAAATGATACTACTTTTGTCTGTTTGTTGGTGATTATGATGGTGGAGAAAGAAAGGTTGAAAATTTGTTGAATTGGATTAATCATCTTGACAGACATACCTGACCAAATATCATCGGAAGATAATTTATTATGTAACCATACAGCAATATCACCCGGATTGGATAATGATGGCATAAGACGATTGCCTGTGGATGATGATGGCCCAACATGATTTGATGATGATGAAGCCATCTTTGATTTTAAATAATTCAGACAATCAAATGATAACAGCAATGATAGTGATAATGATGAAAGATTCTCAAGAATTTAAATAAGAAAGATAGTTATAAATAAAAATTAAAATCAACTATCAATTGTGATCAACACATCTTTCATCATCAGAAACCATTATTTTTTTTCATACAGGTAGGTAGTGAAAAAAACTGCGAAAAAAATTTTCAGCTGAAAATATAAAATCTGGTCACGAAACAACAACAACACAAACACAAGAATAAGACCCGAGTCAAATCAATCATTCACTGAATTATCAGATACATCATCAAACCAAGAAGCGCAAAATGTGATCGATTGTTGGGGAGAATAAAAAAAAAGTATGTTGATGAAGTGGAGGAGAGGGATACAACCACAATGTCAGCCATCTGTATTGGACATTGTACCACCACCACAACAATTGTTAACAATAACATTACAAGTGTTATTAATTAAAAATAAAATCAACATTAATAAATACTACTACCTTTTTTTTGTTTCATTGTAAAATTATAACCAGAAAAAATAACGCCTACATTTTTCTTTTCCTTTTAGCCCACTGCCACCACAATAGCTAAAATGTGAACATTTGTCGAAATAATAATAAACAAAAACAAAATTTTTTTTTTTACATCAAAGTCAAACCACTACTACTACCATTTACCAAACGCGCCGATTTATAAGCCACAACACCATTCATAAATGACATATAAATGTTAAATTTTTCTTTTTTCATGAAATTCATTTCGTTATTGAAAAATATAGAATTATTCAAAATACAGCGATTAATGTATTAAATAATTATATTATATAATAGAATAATAGAATAGATTTTGTAGGTATTATATGTGTGTTTTTAATTCAACAATATATTCACCACTCATATGTCATATATGAGCCATTGGTAGTCAATGCGTTAAATGATTGGTATGAAGAATATTTAGGTGTATCTGCTGTGTGGAGATTAATTTTTCTTCCTCATCCATGTTTGTTTGTCGATTCCTTTATTACCTAAAACATGACGAAACGTACAATGTTGACGATCACAACCAGTCGTACGATAATAATAACATTCGGATACTGTTTTCGATGATGGAGAATTTGAACCGCTAGTGGATGCAGCGATAGCCGCATTTGAACCATTAGCCGATGTTGTAGTTGGTAATGAATTCGAATCATTCGATGCATCATCAATCTTGTCATTTTTATTACGGAAACGAATCAATAATGGGCAGTTGTCATCTTTGGAAATTCCGGGAACGATTTTATCCTAAAGTAAAAAATATATTAGGAAATTTAGAAAATACTGTCGTTTTTTTGTATAACATTTTTGATCGACTGTCACAAAAATATGGTAAAGGTTTCGACATCGGGCATGACCTCGATTTATTCTTCGATAACCATACTTTAATTTAAAAATAAATTTTTTCCAACTTTGACCACCGGAAGTGGTGGCCGGCCTCTGTTTTTCGACCCATTAAAAATCGAAATTTTAGCCATTTTGATTTTTGCTCGTGGTGACCCCGACCAAAGAGTTAAAATTCATCTGACCACTCAATGCGAATTCCACATGTCCTGGGAGTTGAAAAAAATTATGGGCATAATTCTTCCTCAACTCATCCTTTCTCAAGAGCGGATCAAAATCCGGTCGACCGCTATCAACATTCAGTATAGACTGCTAGCAATTTCAATGGGCAATGCCATTGGCAGAGTGGCTGACGGCACATGAATTGCATTGACGGTTATGCGATTTTCAAAATTGGAAAGAATTTGGAATTTTTGGTCAACCAAATTTTTTTGTTGACTTTTTGGTTAGCGGAAAACGTGTCGTGCGATAATTGATCAAAATTTTTTAAAAATTTCATTTTGACGCATATTTTTCCTATGGCTGAATAACACAGTGGGTGATAGCGGCCGACCGGATTTTGATCCGCTCTTGAGAAAGGATGAGTTGAGGAAAAATTACGCCCATAATTTTTTACAACTCTCAGGACATGTGGAATTTGCATTGAGTGGTCAGATGAATTTTAACTCTTTGGTCGGGGTCACCACGAGCAAAAATCAAAATGGCTAAAATTTCGATTTTTAATGGGTCGAAAAACAGAGGCCGGCCACCACTTCCGGTGGTCAAAGTTGGAAAAAATTTATTTTTAAATTAAAGTATGGTTATCGAAGAATAAATCGAGGTCATGCCCGATGTCGAAACCTTTACCATATTTTTGTAACAGTCGTTCAAAAATGTTATACAAAAAAACGACAGTATTTTCTAAATTTCCTAATAGTTAATCAAAGTTTCGAATTAGATTAAGATCGAATGAATTTACCTTGAAATAAGACATGACTAAACGAGGAGATATATCATTATCATAATGTAATAATAGATAGGCCACATCCGGTGATCTTTGTTCATTTGGAAATATCTTACAGAATGTAACATTACCAAATTTCATGAATAAATTCGTAACAAATGTCAATGAACAACTGGGTGATACATTTCCGATCCATAAGGCTTTCTGTCCCTTTGAATTTGGTGGTCTATAGTTTTGTTTTTGGAATAAAAAATTGAAAATAAAAATCATCATGAAAAATTAAATTACATACTCTTTTGCATCTTCGAAATGAACGGGCAATTGTTGGAGAATATCTTTTGGTCGATTCCATTGATCTGGATGACCATACCATTGTTTACGTTCATCTTCTTCACTGAAATATATCTCATCATCATCATAATCATTTTGATTGATTGTATAGAATTTTTGTGATTCTGTTAAAAAATATTGCATCGTTTTAGAGGATAGACATTTCGATTCATTTAGAAAATCTAATAAATCTGTTGTTGTTGTTGTTGTGGATGCAGAAGAATTTTGCTGTTGTTGTTGATGATGATTGATAAGCCATAAATGTAATTTTGGGTCAGATTCATTCAATTTTTTATCCATTAAAATCTGACAATTCTGTTCAATTGCAGCTATTGAATCGGCAATCATACTATATCGAGTAGCATAGATTCGTGCCAATGGTATCGTATAGCTACATGATACAAGTTTTTTCATACGTAACAATAGCAAATCTTTTTCAAGGAATGGTATAAATTTCGGTTTATGTGGTAACGTTTTAATACGACAAAGTAATTGTTCCGCTTGTTCATATTGTTCTAAACCGATTAAACAACGAGCTTTAAGACAAAGGGCATGATCCAGATGATCACGACATTCGTCAAAACGTAATGCTGATTCTGTATCACTAAGGGCATGTTCAAATTCATTCAAACTATATATAAAAAAAATGAAATGGAATATATCGTTAATATATTATCATTCAATAATTCACAAACTTACCGTTCATGATAATATGCTCGATTGATATAATAAACAGGGTTCTTTGAATCAATTTCCAATGCTTCACTTATGTATTGAACCGCACCTTTCAATTCATTATTACTATGTGCAATCTGTGCTTCTATTGCCAATAATTTTGCTATAAATTTGGATATTAAATAATAAAAAAGGGTCAAATAAATATCAAACGATTTCATCATTTTCAATCATCAATTATTACCTTTCGATGCTGCAGCAGCCGAATTCAATCCAAAGGATGTACGTGATCCAAGACCTAGGCCACCGCTACCACCACCACTTCCACCAACATTATCATTGTTGCTATTATTATTATTTGTTTGAGTTATTGATGAGCTATCATTATCATTCGTATTAATTGATTTACGTGATTTGTCACTTTGTATCACTTTGAATCCATTTTGATCTGGTGAATCATACACATCCTTATTATTATAATTATGATTAAAATAATCGTCATTATCGATAGAATCAATACCGGCTATGGTCATATCATCATCGACAATCCAATCGGTATTAGTATTTGAATTTCCAGAATTCTGTTGTTGTTTATTTTTATTTTTCACTTTAATCCATTGTTGTATATCGACCGATGTTGGATCACCATTTGAATCATTAACAACATTTGAACTTGAATTATTTACATCCGATGATTTACGGTCTTCTTTTGATGCCATTACAGTCGATTGTAAAGTTGTTTTGGCAACTGTCAATTCCGTTTCAACCGATTGATTTGATTTATTTTTCTTATTCTTTTTCGATGTAGTTGATGTCTTTGATGATTGTTGTTGTTTATTTGTTGTCGTTGACTGTTGTTCCGATACGGTGGCGGTGGTGTTGGTGGTAATATTAGTAGTAGTCACCGGTGATTCGACATTTGACAATTTCAGAGGTTCAGATTTCGAATTTTTTTTAATTCGAATCACAGATTTCTCTCCATCATTATCGTGCATTTTCTCTTGTTCAACATCATCATCTTTTTTATTATCTTCTTTTTTCTGTTTATTACTTTTATTCTTTTTCTTTTTCTGTTTTTTCTTCTTGGAACTTTCCTCTTCAGCAATTAATTCTTCGGCAATTTTTTGCCTCTGAATACATGCTTGGCAATGGCAGTCATCTTTTTTCGTACAACATTCTTCTTGTGATCGATTACTATTATTCGTTGTTGATGGATTACATAATTTTTTTAATTTCATTGTCAAGGGTTGCCTTTGTTGTTGTTGAGATTTATTTGTACTCGTTGTGGATGTGGTAATATTATTATTACGTGATGGCGATGTTCCACAACTACCGGTTTTTGATGTTGATGATTGATGTGGATTATGAAAATGATGATGATGATGATGGTGATGATGATTATGAAATTGATCAGCTACGGCTGGATTCATATTCAATGATGCACCAAGTAATTCCATTGTTAATGCCGGATCAGCCGTTGCCATAGCTGCCATTTGATCATGAATTTTTGAAAATGTTGTCGTTGTTATTGTTTCTTGAACGATACCGGAAATACATGCAGCTGCTGCTGCTGATCCAGCAGTTTTTTTTCTTCTAATTTTTTCTTTGTTTTCTCTTTCAAACGTATTTTAACATTATTGGCACGAATATTCGCTGTTGATGATGATGATGATGCCGTTGTTTTTATATAACAAGTTCCGGTTGTTGTGGTCGTCGTCGTTGTTGTTACAGTAATCCCATTATTGTTATTATTATTACCCGAACCATTATTATGATGACCATAATGAAAAAAATTGGAAATTTTCTTTGTACTTGTTGTTGTTGGAGGCATTAATGTTGTCGCAGCTTGTGCTGTTGCCGTTTGAAATGCATCAACAACAACTGATGGTACAGTCGTTGCTGCAGCCGTCGTGGTAGTCGAAGTTGTTATTGTTGATGATGATGATGATGACATATTTTTCGATTTATCTTTATTATTATTACAACGTTTAGAATAGATAATTTCATCTAAATCATGAATTGCTTCATTTACACATTTTGGATCCAGATGACAATCAATTTGGATTTCTTCAGCAATATGGAATTCTTTTTTAGAAAAAAAAATCAACATCAATGGTCAAATCAAATAAACAATGGTTGTCGTTTTATATTTACCATGATCTTTACAGGATTCACAATTGACAAAATTATGCATTATCACATCCGTAGATAATAAGACAGACAGACAGACAGTAAAACCAAAGATAAAGACAAATACAGATCAAAAATGTCGATGTTCAATCAAGTCAAATAACAAATTTTATTTGGAAATTAAAAAATTTAAAAAAAAATACCGTATCAAATAATAAAGAGCTACACACACACAAACGAAAAACAGAAGAAAATTTTTCAATTTCAAATAAAAAAAATTTCTTAATTAGTCATCAATAAATTCTTAATATTTCATAATAATAATAAAATAAAAAATAATCGATAAGAACAAAACAGACAAACACACACGTGTGGATTGTGAGTGATAAAGTAAATAGAAAAAAACACCTTAAAATATTCAACTGAAAGACAAAACTTTTTTCATATGAGCTCTTCTCACAAACGCACACACACACAAATAGAGATAGAGAGAGAGAGAGAGAGAGGAGACACAGTCACAATTCACGCGTTATAATGATACTATTTACACAATATCTGCCATACTTTTGTCGAAATAGTTTTTTCAAATATTCCTTTTTTTGCTGTTTTCTTTTTTGTTTATCCCTCCTTTACAAACTGTTTCCTGCGATTAATTTATTTATCTATAGTGGGTTCTTTTGGAACTCAATTGGTTCGTAAGTAAAGAGCAATAAAGAGTATTTATAACTGAAACAGAATTTTTCCATTTAAATTTTATTTAGTTAAAAATTTTTATTATTAATATTTTTGACAATATTCAACACCTTGTGCTTTAAGAAATTCTTTACATGCATATTCAGTAATATCATCCCCGGTAGCAACATTTTCAATCACTGTCCATGGTACACCGGTTTTTCCTTTAGCAATTGCAACCGTTCGATTATGCATACCAAGCACCAATTTTTGTCCTTCATCACCTTCGGCACATTGTTTCATTTTGGCAAAATCAAAATTCATCTCTTTGGAACACTGATAATTAAAACAAAATAAAAAAAATTATTATTATCTTGAAAAAATTGACCATAAACAACAATATTTTTACCGATTCACATTTGCCTTTAACATCTTTGATATTTTCGTAGGTACGGAAAAAGCAAGCAACAAAATCGAATGCCTTTTCATAATCATATTTATCAATAACACATACATGGAATGCATTGCCCCAACATTCAGCCTCACCATGTTGACAAATGATACCGAAAACATATTCATTCTTGAAAATTCGTGCATTACCCCATGGTACAAGATCAAAATTCAGATATTGTCCAATAGCTTTTTGTGCCGGTACAACACTTCGCACAAATTCCTGTTGACAACCCGGACATATTGTCTCATAGAACAGATGAACATTTACTTTCTGTTAACATAGAATGGGTTGTAAATTAATATTTAAGAAAAAACCTCGAAAAATTTACCTACCTTGACGGCTAATGATGAACCGATCAACAGCAAAACAGTGACGAATGCTAATTTCATCATTTTTAAAAAAAAACAAGAAAAACTCAAATGAAAAAAAATCAAATTCAATCAATCGTGTCTTTCATAAAATTTGAACTCAACTTAAATACAATCTGAATTCTAATATCAAGGTATTTGAGATTTAGTTATTAATTAAGAAAAAAAAATCACTTGTTATCAATAAAACTAACTGGAAAAAACTAGAACGAACTAATTTAATCCATTATCTACATTGGTGATCAATCAATGAATCTATCAATCACTTTTCTTTACTAATCTAAATCCGGGTTTTTTTTATATCTCATTATCAAACAAAAGTCTAAAGATCAACAGGTACAATAAATATATCTATAATGATTTCAATCACCATTGATAGATGGCGTATGAATAAAAATTCATTAATCATCATCGTTTTGAATTCGATTCAAAAAAAAAAAAAATGGAACTATTTCTATTTGCCATTATCACTAATTGTCATTCGTCATTTATCATTTAAAATGTCTCAACAATTTTTCATTTTCTACAAATTTCTTCTGTTTTTCTGATGTTTCCTACAAGATATATGGATGTTTTGCTATTGGCGATTTATTTTATTATATGTAACCATTACAATTTTTTTTATTTATTTATTTTTTTTTTTTTGATTGTTAGTGATTGAATTACTGGTGAAAAAAAAATACAACGAATCATCATTGATTTGGATCAATGGATGAATGAAATTCCCGTTTGTATGTTTGCGCGCGCCCGGATAAATAATGGTAAAATACTTAACGTTTTCATAACTGAATCGAATCTACGCATCGTCATCATGTATTGCAAAAACAAGAAGATTCAAATGTTGGTTAGTAAAAATGGTACCACACATACTGACATATATATAACTATGATCCAAATGGATCATGGTAGTCAGTTTTTTTTTAGGTTCTGTTCACTTGCATACACACATACACATTGTCGATATAATTGAAATGACAATTTTTTTGTCTTGTATTACTGGATAAAATACTTCATTATTATATTCACATTGTTTTTGTTTAATGGTGAATTTATTTTAGGAGAAAAAATTATTCCAATTCAAGAATTTATTAATTTTCAATTTTTTTTCTACCATTTCAAACTCATTTTCATCACTCAATTAATTTGTGTGTTGTATGTGTGTTTTATGTTCGTGCCATTTTTCGGCATTAATTTCATATATATATACTTTAATCATTCTAACTCCTTTGTAGTGAAAATACACAGAAACATTCACTGAAAAAAAAGATTCAAGCACGATTCAGAAACCCTTGTTTCATAAACCACGAACCACGAACATTTTTTTTTTTAATTTTTATGGTTGAATGTGTGTTTTCAACTGAGTTTGTTCAACAAACTTTTTTTTGTTTTGTTTTGTTTTGAAGAGTTTCTTCGTGTTTAAATCCAAATTTTTTTTTGTTGTTGTTATATTCACTGTGTGATGAAACTGAAATTTTTCTTCGGAATCGGAAACCAACGTGTGTCATCATCATTGTGTGTTTGTATAAAAGTATGGTTTTTCGATCGTGTGTGGTGTTTTTTTTTTTTTTTTTTTTGAAACTAACGACCATACACTAAACACACACACACATTCACAAAGCCAATTTGGTTTTTCAAACAACATCTTGGATAATAATAATTCTCTCTTTTTTTAGATTTTGGGTATTTTTTTTTGAGTACAAGCAGAAAAAAAAATTTAGAAAATAATAATCATCTTTTTTTTCATCTGGAGAATCGCCAAACTTTTCTTTCAAAAAGAATTATTATTTTTTGTGTTTGTGTGTGTGTGTGTGTCTGTTTATTTATGAATAAATCGTAACAACAAAGACGACAACAACAACAACAACATTAACATTATTTCGTTTCCGACAACATTATTTCATTTTTCATTATTCAGTTACAAGTGAAATAAATGTTTGTCAAAATTTTTTTTTTTTTTTTATTTCTTTGACGTTTGTTTTGTTTTGTTCATAATAATAATTAGCTGTGTACACTACAAATATATTTTTTTTTCATTTAGCATCACTTTTTTGATGCTACCACATTTTTACCTCAGAATCATTTGAACATTATCAACATTCACAATCGAAATGACAAAACTATATAACTCTTGATGATTGAAATGTGACAATTTTTCATTTTTTTTTTTTTTGATATTCGATAGCAAAAAAAAGTGACAATAAAATCGAGTGAAGAATATAGAAGCAATACACAGTGTTAATTGACAATCATCACCATTGATACAATACCGGATTGAATCATCAAAATTCAGGTAGTGATGATTTGCTTTTATACATTCATTCATTTGAATTTTTGTTGATTTTAGATTTAAATTATTGCAAATAAAAACCATGACATTATTATGTTGAGTTTTTTCTCAGTAGGCGAAAATTCATTTTTGTTTTGTTTTGTTTTCATTGTTTTTTCTTCTCGGAAATTCCAACGGAAATTCAAATTTTCTATTGCTCATTTGTTTTTTTTTCTCTTTCTCTCTATTTTCAATGACATGAAATGATAATTACTTCCTTTGTTTGGGTCGTTATTTAATACTTTGACATATTAATAAACAAAACCAATCTACGGTGGTATTCAAAATTGTGAAAATGAAAAAAAAACCAAGTACCAAAATGATATTGAAAAAAAACGTATAAAAATCAAAGCCAAAGGGGCAATATTTTTTTCTGTAAAGGGCAATGGGTAATGCCTATAGGTAAATGAATATTTTTTTTTTCTATCATTATTTGTTTCACAACACAACACATTACAACACAACACAAGACAAGAAAACTCAAAGACCTAAGAATTGATGAAAATAGTAATAATAATAATGAAGAAAAAATGAAACCAAGTGTAAGAAAAAAAAGTGAAAGTAATTTGTTGTACAAAAAGATACTATAATCCTTGTTCATTTGTTGTTGTTGTTGTTGTTGTTTTGGGTGTCATTTTTTTTATTATCGTTGTTTTCTCTTTATTTCTGAATTTCCATTAAAAACAAAATCAAGTTCTTATTTTTTTTTTGTTTAACATCAACAACGGCTAAAAATTCTCTATTATTAATAGCAATGATGATTATGATGATAATGATAATAAAAATTCATTTCCTTCTTTTTTTTGCAATAAAAAAAATGTGAAAAAGGAAAAAACAATAAAAAAAAAAATTCGAGACAAAATAAAAACAAGTCTCATGTGTTTTTTTTTCTCTATCCAAACCAACTAGCCAAACAACTAACAAATTGAAAATATATACTACCGGCTATTATTATCACAACTAAGTAACCCGCAAATTATAATTCAACAAGAATATGCCCATGTGTGTGTGTGTGTGTGTGTGTGTGTGTGTGTTAAGACTTTAAGAACTTTGGATTAAGGAAAAAAAATCGAATGAAATGAATTTTCAGTGTTAATATCTGTCAATATAGCAAAAAAAACAAAACCAAAATTCCATTGGAAAATATTCTTTTCTTTTTGGCTTTAAATTGATCATTTTATTGATTTGCGAAAGGCTTATATCTTTTGGTTTTGTTTTTTTTTTCTTACCTGATAATAATGATATATTTAGTGCTGTGTGTTTAAGTGAATAAAATTCTTATCAACCGTTATCAGGGGCTCAGAAACAAACTCACACTCACGCACACACACAAGAAGTTATCTATCGACAAGTTTTGCATAGCAAAATAATACTTTTTTATCTTTTTTTTCAATTTGATTTCCACAATATTATCATCATCATCATCATTCAAGCGTTTTTTTTTCTTTGCTACAGCTGAAATAAAGAAAAAAAATTTTTGATTCGATTGTAACTTTCGTTGACAAAAACAAAACAAAGACAAAATTCATTATCAACAATTTCAATATATGTAATACCGGCCTATAAACAGTTTCATGAATGAATTCAAGACAAATGCAAACTTTTTTTTATGTTACCTGATACGATTTTTTTTTCTTTGTAATTCCGATATAATTCGATAAACTTGTTTCTTGTGACCATCGTTCACATTGACGTTTTGTTTGAAAAAAAAATTCCAATTGGAATAGCACACGCACTAACTCAAAGAAAAAGAGAGAAAAAGATAATGGAATATTTATTGCACTTGTCTTGGTCTTTGAGTATCTCTTCAATTTCATTTTCAATTAACAACATACACACACACATATCACCAGAGATCGTTTCTTTTTTTTTCGTTTTCGTTCTTTCATTCTTAATTTTCTTTGCCTATGCGAAAACCTAATTTGTCTACAACAAACTAAACAACAACCGAATTTTTTTTCAGATCGGTCTGGCTAGCCACGATGATAACCAACCAAACTATTGCGTCCTATTAGATCTTATTTTGTTGATTGGAGATCTTATTTTCCCGGGCATATTTGCATCAATTTTTGTTTCACATTTACTTCATCTTCAATTAAATTATTCATCAGACACAGACACACACACAAAAACCACCACTGAAGACTTTTGACTGACCAAGTACAACATTCCTGATAAATATAGTGATGATGATGGTGGTAATAAATTGACATGAACGAAAAATGCTAACTCTTTTTTTTTGTTCTAAACATTCGGTACATTTTTCTTATCTATCGTTTGTATCAAATGTATCCTGTTTTTTCTTTTTTTTCCAATTGGTTTCGTTACTTTTCCGGTTGTTTTTCTCGAATTTGATTTACTCTGATAATCAATCTTTGATTTTCTTTCCAAATAAAAAAAAAACAATAAATTAATCAATCAATCAAATTCAATAGAATTCTAAATTTCTATCAACAATCAATCACCACCTGGCCAATCAAATATTTGATCAATAATAATGGAAGGTAATTATTGTCCTTTATTCTGATATCAGCCATCATTATCATTATCATTATCATTATCATCATCATCCGAATACTAATATTTTTCCTAATGATGGCTGATAATAATAATAATAATAATCAATATAATGATAATATCAACATTATGAAAATTATTATATATTATTATTTCCACTGTTATATTCCAGGGTTTTCCTGATAGTATAGGCTACCAACAACTAGAAATATGATTTTAATTGACGTGATAGGAATAATTGATTTCATATATGATTCAATACGAACATACTTTGTGTATCTA